GCTTCCCATCTGAAGCTGCAGGGCAATGAGAAGTACTGATTTAAAAATTCATACTGAATGTTTTTTGATTTGGGGCATATTTTGTGAGAATTTATAAGAATGTTCACAACTGAAACTGTTTAAAGCATTTTAGATGCCAAAGTGGGCAGTGTAAGGCTAAGACAGCTCCGCAGTTGTTACAGAGGTATACAGGTTGCACACGAAATTTGATTTCTACATCTGAATGTTAATAGCCTTCAGAAGTCCTTGCTGCACTACTGAAACTAGTATTGAAGGCTTTATTTCTGTGAAAATGTTTCTATTAAAAAAAACTCATTACGCATCCATACATAATATATTACAAAGCAGAAACCAAATCAGTGTTTATAGCCAACCTGATGTAAGTTAATGAAGTTCCACACAACCTTGAAGTTCAGCAGGTTTGTACACAACTGAAAATTCAGATCTGCTGTAGGAGCCTAAAAGTGATGGAGTCTCCAAAAAACATACAGCAATGGGTGAGGGGCTGTACCAAAAGCAAGGTGACTATACTGACCTATTTGGGTATTAAGTTGATCTCTATCAACCTCTTCTAAATAAACATCATTAAAAATCCAAATAAATTGGGGGAAAATAGGTGTTCATCTTAGCCATAACAAATATCCAAGCTACACTGAACTACTTTTGTATAGGAGCTCATACTTTGCATTCACCTACCATGGTAAGGTATTTACTTGGAGCATGTGCCGTAGAATCTGCTTCAGTGTTGTTAAATACTATTAGTACGACAGAAGTATGTGCTAAGGTTTTAGATGGCAGTAGCAAAAGCTGACAAGAGCTGATCTTTTTTCTCTACAAATATTTTTGTAGCCTTGATTCATACAGGAGCCTCCTCTGCTCCTCCACAGAGTTAATCAAATTATTCATTGTAAAAACAACAACTCCACACATGTGCTCCTCTTGTTACGGCTCAGGCACAGCCAAGTTCTCTTCCAGGATTCATAAAAATTTCCTAGGAATTTTATGCAGCTAAACATCATCTTTTGTGTTCCTTACTGACTGTGCTCTTCAGGCACTGTGTAACCTGTCCACGTCACGTTTTGTTCCCGATACAAAACTGATGTCACTTTGTCAGTCCCTGGTTCGATGCAGTGCAGCACTTGCCTTGCATTTCTTCAGTGCACTGCTAGGCTGACCTCACATTTTGAATATTCCTTTTAATCCCCACGTAGACCATCAGACAAAGCTGTTGTACTAAAACTTCAAAGCATTTTAATTTTGTTAATAATGTGAATTAAATGATCCCATTGATTAAAGTAGTAGAAATTAAATCTCATCCAAAAGAAAAGTGATAAAGTACACTATCTCCATTCACAGGAATGCTTAAAATCCTTTTATTATGAGGCTTGCCATTTTCTCAGTCCAGCTAGCAGGACAGCCTAAGAAGAAATCTGTAACTAAATAAGAGTATCAGTGGCATTCATCAAGATTGAAATCAAAGCCTCTGATTATTCATTCTTCTGTTGATGGTATTATTGCTCATGGAAAAATTTAATATGGGATTGTCTCTGATTAAATCTTTGTTTAAGTGCTGCTTAAAAAGGCATTGCTAATTTTCTCAATAGATTTTACCAATGAACACCACTTTCTGCAAATCCTCTGTCATAAAACTGAAAAAGTGTTGATAAGTCCCAAAGATTGCTCCTGTTTTCTATCACAGCTCAGCTATCGTGTGATCTTTCAATATATGACATTTATTCTCCAAAAGGTTTTTTTTTTTAAGGAGAAGAATATGACATGGCAAGATTATATCAAGTATGTTTTACTCTATCTTGGTATGGAGAATAGCTTTGAAAACAGTTCAGACTTTCAGTACCAGCATTAAAGATGCTGGCCAATCTGAATGTGTGCGAAAGCTGTTGGGAGGCTTTGGACAACAAAACTCACAATGTCAAAAGACAATAGTTAGCATTCAGCACTGTTATCAGAGAAGCTCTAGATAGTTTATTACATGTTGATGGTATTGGTTATAGCTTGAGGCACTGATAGCATAAATGGAGTGTTTTAATTAGTCAGAGTGCTTGATTAGCTTTTCTGTTTTAAGGAGATAAAGAAGCTTCTTAAAGAAGTCTGCCCCAGAAATAATTTTTTAATTTTTTTTTATATTTTAATAATGAGAAATAGTTTAACAATAATTTAATGTTTTAATAGGAAATAATAAACTTGCCACACATCTCCCTTGCATCGATCATAAATCCACATACCTCTGCCTCCCTTTGGAACCACCAAAATTCCATGCTCTTACACTAGCCCCTACTAGAACAAATAATAACACATCAACTGATCCAGATGCCTCAAAAGAAATACAAAGAGGAAAGTGAGCAACTTATTGACACCAGAATTAAATAACTGAAGAACTAAATAAAGGACACAATCATCCAGCTAGTGACAAATCATCCCACCTCTGATTTCTCAGTCTTACTCTTTCAGGAGGACCCTGCAGAGATGGGAGTATTAAGAACTGTGAATTTAGGAGAGGTACTGGTTTAATGGCACACCCTTCCTCCTTCTGTGTTCTGTGAGTGAAAGGTCTCTGTCTTTTCCTTTGGAGATAACTACCTTATTATCTTTCTTTCCTTCCTACCAATATCCTCTCTGATTTCCTACTGGTACCTACTGCCTTTTTTTCTTTAGAAATAATCTGGAATATATTTTATGTGAAAAACATGTATCTCTAAACTCTTCCAAACCTGTAGAACTGTGTATATGCTCTAATGCTTCTTTACTTTTCTAACTACATTTGTTAATCAGACTGAGACCAAGCACCATTCTTCTCTACCATCCCACTGGATATCATGTGCTTTTACTTAACTGTTCCTGAAAGCTTTCAAAGCTTTGGTGTAAATGAAGAATCTTTGGGTGTATGCATGGAATACAGAAATGGTACACAGTGACAGAGAAAGCTAATAATGAGATCTCTGGGCAAGCATATTGTGGGGATGAGTTGTACCAGCTCTCATTGGCAGAGCAGCAGAGGGGGAATGGCTGGAAGTTGGACATATATGTGAAAACAGAATGATGGGATTAAAAAAAAATGTGAAGTATGTTTTTGACATATTGAAATGATGGAAAAATCTGTATCTTTTCCTTTAAATCTCCTATACTACTTGCTGGATTTCTACACCAGCAGTTCTGTTTCCTGAGGCAGAAAATTAGTTTTTTCCATTTTGACTGCTAACTGATAGGTGGTTGTCCCCAAATTCACCCCAGATGATGTGTACGTGCCAGCAGGAGATGGGGTGGAATCAACAGCAAGTCCAGAAGTAGCAGAAAAACTAACAACAACTAACAGAAAAGCAACTGGCATGTTTTAGCAATTACAGCACATGCCTAAACCTTTCCAGATCTCTCTGTCAGAAACAAATCTTACATGAGATCTTCAAGGCTTTTCAGAAAGTAGAAGTACATCACCTGTTTTCTTGGTGTTGGACAATTGATGCAGCCGGGCAGTGTAAAGAAATCTGTCAAGCTTTGGGAAAATTCATCCTTTCTAGAGGAATCCCTGGAAGCTGAAGTTACTTGCACAGCCCTAGCTGATCTTTCTGGCCTCTAGCACAAGTTGGATGCAAAATGTTCTTGTACCAGCTGTTGGAACAGCCATGGCCAGACAAACTGAATTAACTCCAAACTAACTTAACTCAATAGAGCTGCACAGTTCCACCAGCATGAAGCAAACACAGGGGAATTTAATGACCCCTTTCCCATCTATTTCCTTTGCCTTGCAGTGAAATACATTGGTCAAAAAGGATGGATCTGGTTCCATCAGAATGAGATGATTTACTGAGGTCCCTTGAATTCCATTTCAAATGTTAAATTTCAATCACTGAGTTTAGTTAATGGTGATGTGGAAGCCTGAATGTGTTATAGCTTTTAACTGTTGAGCAGGAGAGATGGGAACATAATGAAACATCAGCTATGCACAGCGTACAGAGATTAGCTTCTTCTATGAAAAGAACTGTGAGACGTGGTCAGCTGCAGGATGAACTTTGTGTCTTGGATGTGTCCCTCCAGGGCTGCGTTTCTCTGCCTCTATTACTTGAATGAAATCTCACACATGTGCTTCCTATCCACTTTCTCAGTGGAAATGTCTACCTTTCAGCTTGCAATAAAAAGCAATAGCAATAACAATAAAAAGGACTGTTCTGTTTTCCTTTTTTGAGCTGTAACAATCAAAGGCAGCGTATCATAAAGTGGCATATCGGAAATGAACACTGAACTTTGCATCAATGTATGATAATGTGAAAATCATTTTTAAAAGCTGTCACAAAGTAGTGTTCATCAGAGGCATAAACTGCCTATAAAATTAAATAGGTGAAGAAGTCCCATAGTCTCTCGTCTATGATAAAGATTACATCAAAACTTTTTTCTTCCTGGAAGCAACACAGATTTGTGACAGCTGTGTTCTCTGTCTTATGGTCAGCAACTAAAACTATGTTATGGTCAATAACAAATTTTAAACTATAACATGTAACAAATTCTATAGCACTAACACTTGCTGGGTCACCCAGTTGGACCAGATGATCTTAGTGGTCTTTTCCACCATGATGATCCTATGCCTCTGTGATTCTATGATGCTATAGAGGGGCACCAAGCAGTGCCAAATCAATGGTAACCAAACACAGCTCTTGCATTGCCATTAAGGCTTTCTCCCCAGGATTTTTGGTTGACCTCTACAGTGTCATCAAACACAGATGGCTTCTCCCAGGTCTGTTCCGCAGCAAAGGACTCTGATGAGTCCCATAAGCTTTCAGAGCACAGCTCTGGGGATTATGGATCACACCTTTTGTTGAGAGAGTAATACCAGCTGAAGTTTTTCAGTGTGAAAGGTGAAAATGCAAAGAAAGGAAGGAAGCCTTAACTTTTTTAATAGTGTTAGCTGTAAACTATATTTTTATAATAATAAAATCACAAATAGCAACACAAACTGTGCTTTTAGTTCTGATTTGGTTTGTGTTTTTCAGAGACTGGCTGGATGCATTCAGTCCCCCCATCACTCCTGCAAGCCAGAAATTGGAAGAGCACATAAAATCTTCACCAAATCAGAGTATTCCAGGTAGGAATTTGTGAAGACACTGGACCTGGGTAGAAAACCATTTCTGAGTGCTGTTCCTGTAGAGCTGGTTCTGCTTTCCAGTAGCTGTTTTTTTTATACTGCTACTTTTGAGTTCAGCATCACTTATTATTTTCAGTTCAAACTAGCAGAGTTTTCCATGCCTCTGATAGAAGAATAACTTATGCAGGTATAAATTCTTAGCATTCTGGTTGAATATAGATTCATCCCATTAAAAAATACATCTTACTTGTTTAAAATCACGGATTGATGATAGTGAATATGGGGGAAAAAAAAAGAAAGAATGCTAGGACTGAAGTTGATGTTCACAAGAACCAGAACAGTTATATATGTGGCACTTGCCTTCTGATTAAAAAAATAAATAAATATAGCCTTAAATGAAGCCTCAGCGCAGTTTCCAAAGGAAGAAATTGCTGAGTTACCATCTCAAGGGCTGCAGGTTTTTTTCTTCATAACGGCATTTGCTTAGGGAATGACAAAGAACTTTGTGGAAACTGGAAAGTTGGCAGCAACAGAATAAAGCATCTATCTTGTTTTCTTCAAACCCTCTTTTTTTTTTACTTATGCGTTGGGAAATAGGGTAGATACCTACATTTTTCTTCAAGTCCAGGGAATTCGATGTGATATCTCATAAATCTGACCTGTGTATTTTGATTGCCTGAGGATGAAGATGTCTGAGTGATTTACAGTCTAGAATGGATTATGGCCCCCAAATTGGCCATCTTCTCATAGATGTGTATTTGTAATTGTTTATGACAGCAAAACAGAACTCTGCTGTCAGGAGGGACCTTGCTTTGAAGAATCAAATAATATGTTTTGTTAAGAGTCCTAAATAAGCCCAAGAGAATTGGACAGTAATCCTTGAGTTAAAGACGCGTTGGATATAAATTTGTGAAAGGTCTCTGAGAGGGTCTTGATGTGGGTTGATGTCTTGATGTCTGGATCATGAAATCCAAGGCTTGCTGCAGTAAAGCTTGAATGTCTGTAAATTTTAACATTTGGATTGATTGTCTCTAAAAAGCTAATAAAGCTATGTATGCATCTGAGAAATGGCTGGATTTCTCCTGCTAATTCACACCATTTTTCAATTTTGTTGTCTCTGATATTGCAAGGTCTCTTATATGATTGTTTTGGTTTGGTTTTGTTTTAACATCAGACACCCAGACATTAAAATGCATTTCTAAGAAGTCCCACAGTTCATTCGTTACGAGCAGTTAGGATGCCACACTGCCTTCCTCCACTTAAGGCGAATTTTAAGACATCTATATTTACAACTTATCTGAAAATATTAATTGGGGTATATACCTTTGCATACATAGTTAAAGGTCCTATCTCAGGATAACACTATATCTTTTAGTCTTGCTTTGGTTTTTATTAGCCTTCCTACAGTGAAAGAGCTCATTGTATCAGAAAAGTCAATATGAGCTCATTTATTGCAACAATATTGACTCTTCTGTAAGCTTGCTGGACTTATTTGTCACACGATTTCTTCAACCCATTAACGACAATGAAATATACTGAATATACTTTACCAGCTACCTTTAATGTGTCTATAACCAGCAATAACAAATACCCTACGAATGCTAACAAACTTGAATGCTGTTGCTGTGAGACCAACTGACAAGCAGCAAGTCTTCAAACGGAAATGTTTGTGCTGCTTAATTTTCCAATTTCCATGCGGAATATTTTAATAACACACAATTGGGTTCCTACAGTCCTTAGGAAAGGACTGACTGTCTTTGCTGGACTAAAGCAGACAATGAGGAAGACACCACTTAGGAGGACTTCGATACGCTCTCAGTAAAAGTCCTGCTGCTGAACAGCCCTCTTGGGCTTTGTGAAGTCCAGCTGTTCAGCAAACTGAATGACATCATTTCACCTCAGCTGAAGGCAAGTCTTCAGAAGTATACAAAAAAAAAAAACAACTGAACTGCATTTATCTTGAAGGTCACAATTCAAAAGTCAGAAGATTATACAAAATAAAGGGAAATTATGTCACATTTGACAGAGAGGTATTTCCATGTGATTTTTCAAAGTGAATGAGAGTGATTTACTCTTACTTTCCATTCCTCACACAGGTGAAGATGACCTCAATGCTGAAGAAGACGAGGAAGTCCTGACTCTTTTGTATGATCCGTGTCTGAACTGTTACTTTGACCCAAATTCTGGGAAGTACTATGAATTGGCATAGTCAGCTCAAGAGGGCACACTGTTCTGTATTCAGAATAGACTTATCTTTTAACTGTTTTTGAAGTGTGACTGGGCTGCATAATTTATCATGTAATTTAAATCTTGAAGTAACCAGTAGTTTTGCAAACAAATGAATATATTTTGTACATAGTGTCTTATTTTTATAGTTTCACATTAAGTTGTACTGCAGTGGAAAATCACGTAGCGTGGAGGTTCCAGTGGGTAAGACATTTATTTGTTAGTGTCATTTATTTCCAGCATTCAAAGCTTTTACGTGGGAATGAATGCAGGTGAATCAAGAGCCTCTGTGGTAGTCATCTCTAGCTTATGGTCTGACTCAAATAAAGAGAACTTTTTCCATTCATCATTTATTGGATTGCTTTGTACTTTCAGGATACACACTGCAGCCCAAACAGACACGTTCAAAGGTGTCTATTTTGTCAGCTGCCTTTGTCATCAGAAACAAAAACGTAGGATGAGCTCTGGTACCAGCTGCCCTCTATTTCCTGCTGTAATTTGAGATGGCAGTAAGGAGTGATTGTTTCAACACTCAGAAATTGGAGCCTTGTTCCATGTAAAGGCAGGAAGGTGTATATATGATCCATACGCATGCAGTCCTTGCACGTTTATATTAGTTTTTCTGTTATACTTTGCAACATAAGAACAAAACTTATGTATCCCATCCACATTGTCTTTCAGTGCAGTTTCCAGTGAGGGCCCCAGAGTTCCAACTTAGAGATTGAAATTGCGTGCATCACAGTGTGATTTCTTCCTGCTGTATGTATAATATCCATGTTGACCAGGGAGCAAGGCTATGGAGATAGAGCAGACCATTCACAGCACTTCAAAATCAATACAGTCCATGAAACTGTGCAGGGCAGGGGCTGCCTGTGGAAGAAGCAAAGTGTTTGGCTGTAATGGCATTAAGCTCACAGCAGCTTCGGAGTCCAGCAGTTCAGTATGTATCAGTTTTTTGGAAGAAGTTAAAGTGGATGTCAGCATCACATGGCAGAAGTGATCTATGGCCATTTCTGGCGATTCGTGCTCTGAGCTTCTACTTGATTATATCCAGTGCTGTTCCACAGTAATCATTTGCAAGTTGATTACTCAGTGAATTTTTAAGAATAATGTATTGGAATGTCATAAAGTGAGCTTACAAAGCTCACTGGCAAGTGATTTAAAATGTTATGTCTGTAAATTATTTGTAATTATGGATGCCAGTTAATGAATATCCAAGAATCAATTGAAAATGCAGCTGTTAATAGTGGCTTGGCACAGGATCAGATTGTGTATTTGGCTTCTGTGTCAGGTACAAACATATCACCACCAATTGATTCGAGTAGCACTGAAATCCACAGGAAGACAGATACTGTGTGGAGATAATTTACTTACCCTGCCTTAGCCAGTTTATCCCAGAAAGATTTATATCTGTTCTTGCTAATGCCATAATCAGTTTAAGAGTTCAATGAAATCATAATTTTGCCCTTCAAAAATCAAATCCTGGCTCACACACGCTTGTATGTACACAACTGCTTTCTGCTTAGCATTGCTTGTTGTATGTCCTCAGCTGCCATGTGAGCTCTGTGACACCAAACGGAGCACCTCTGTCCCAAAGCGCCCCCCCCTCAGGACAGCAGCATTGCCCTTTCCCCTCTGCTGCCATGTTTACAAGGCAAGAAGACATGAGAAGTACTCCTTATTATTCATGTATCCTTCAGACATGAGACGTTCAGTTTTGGTGCATCTTGAAACTTTGGGTCAGATGGCAAGACTGCACAGGCTGGAGAATCCGTGCGAGTGTTTTTGCATAATGCATTTCACTCTCAATTTTTTTTCCATTGCGTTTCTTTATATTAAAAAAGAGATTGTTTTTAAGCAATGAATTATGTGCAGAACAAAAAGACAATCCGGTCTGTCTTTCCTCTGTGGTACTTCTGATAATCACCACTTCTCTTGCGGTTACTATAGTAACTCGGCATCCTCAGCTGCCACCTTTTCTGGCACTTTGAAAAAAAATCTATTGAAATTCAGTTCCCTCACAAACTGAAAGCTTGGTTTCATGGCACCCACGGGAGTGTGTCAATGTAACAACAGTGCTTCTCGTTGGTTCTGGTTCCTGTTGAAGTTGCTGTTAGCAGCAGCACAGGAGCTCTCCCTCTGATGCTCTGGATCCCACTGCAGTCACTATGAGCAATGCCTCATCCACCTCCCCCAACCAGGAATAGTTTTGGGGTGCTGCTGCTCCATCAGGTGCCACAGTCCCATACAGCCATAAACAACAGGGCCAGGCTCCCAGCACCACTGTCACTGCACTGTAATGCTGCTGGGCTTCCAGCAACGCTTCCATTACACCGCTTGGGTTTTTTATCTATTAACAAGTTTATTATTGGATGATTGCGTGTTTTATCTTTGTGGGAGACCAGAAAAAGCCTAGGTCACAAATTACAGGCGTCATTTCAGAGCACTGCATATTTATTAGGCCATCTGCTACCGCCGTGCTAAAGGCACAAACCTTCGCTCCAGCAATCTATTCGCAGCAACTGCCTTACCACCTGAGGTGGAAAATACTAAAGCTCTGGATGCATTTATTATCACACTGAGTAATTTTATAATGTGTTCATACAGCTCAGAAAACATCCCGTGCAAGTGTTTGGCTGCTGCTTTCTCATCAGGAAGGCTCTCCAAAGAGGAATCCCATGGTGCCATGGGTTTGTTGCATTGGGCACATGGTGGCACTGAGTTTTGTCATTCAACCCTGGGTCATCATAGAACCACAAAATCGTTTGAGTCAGAAGGGACCCCGAAAGGCCATCAGTCCAACCCCCCTGCAATGAGCAGGGACACCTACAGCTCCATCAGGTGCTCAGAGCCCGTCCAGCCTCACCTTGGCTGTACCCAGGGACTGGCTGGGAAAACCGTTATTCATTTCGAGATAATTTCAAAGCTCATGGATGATGATTATTCTCTGGAAATGTTTTTCCAATGAAGAGTTCAGTTTGCTGAGCGTTCCCTTCCCATTTCCAGTGCTGCTGTTTCCCATCCCCTGCATTAACACATTACCACTGAGAATGAATGGCTGCACTTTTGCTTTGTATCTTTCTTCCATATTTTTGACAACTGTTTTTCATGCCTTGCATAATTCACTGCGACCCACGATAAAGTTAAGTGCATTCAAAGCCTGTGCATATTTAAGTTACTGCTTCTCCTTTGTGCAACAGCCTATAACCATATTTTAAAGCAGTTACAGTCTTTGTTACAGTCTTTTACTAAGCACACATAGTGGCACTTTTGTAACTGGGTTACTGAGCACACTTTAACGAGCCACGCAGCTCTCACAGACAATCACGTAAATCCTTCTTAATTCACAGTTTATTGACCACAGTGGTTCTGGATGAGCATCTGGCGCCAGCGTCCCTCCTGTGGGCACCACACCACCTGCTGCCACGTCTCCGTGGAAATTCCCAAAGTTCCTCTTGAAAAACCACAGGGTGTGCTGCAGCCCTTCAGCACATCTGCAGGAAAGCCAAGGTGTGAGGAGTGCAGAGTAACCCATGGGCAGGCAGCGACGCAGGCGAGGAATGTGTCAGGCAAGTTCGGCCACAATAAATACCTGCTTAGCAGGCAGAGGATGTTCAGTTCTAAATCAAATTGCATATGAAGAGTGGAAATTGCTGAGACTGGTATTTACCTGTGAAACCAAAATTACTTCGTGAAGAAAATAATTACAGACAGACTGTCTAAAAATCGGTTGTGAGTCCTTCTTAAGCAGCTGAGACAGAGACACCGCTGTGAAGCACAGCGTTCAGAGCTACAGCCCACATTTTGTTCTGGTTGCATTGCAATGCCTTTCGAGTTTAAGGAGGTCTTCCTTAAGAAGTTTAAGGAGGTCCTTTTTTCCATGCAGTATTAATAAGTCAGCACAAGGGAGAAACCCTATTACCAGAAAAGGCTGATGAGTTCAGGGAATTAGTGGGGGAAACATGAATATTATAGTAAAAGCAGTTGCTTGTTGCCAATATCGAGGCACCAGTGAGGCAGCTGAGCTCAGTGTTGGCTCTGTCCTACAGGGACACATTCAGGGCCATGTCCCAGACTCCATCCTGCAAATGTGGAGCTTCAAGGAGAGCAGCTAAGGATCCTTTGCTGCAGCTCTCCTCCCTGACACCCATCCCTCATGATGTCTTAGAGTCATAGAATTAATAAGGTTGGAAAGACCACTAGGATTACCTTGTGCCACCATCAACCAACCCATCACCACCGTACCAAACTGTGTCACCCATTCAACATCTACCCTTCTCTTGAAAACCTCCAGGAAAGATGATTCCAATACTCCCTGGGCAACAGCCCTGACCACCCTTGTGCTCGCCTCTGGCTGCTCCGAGCAATGAATGGTTTACAGACACACAGCATTCCAAGAGGTTTTCTGAGGCTGGGACTCTTTGGGTCTTCCATCAGAAAGCAAAGCAGCACAGCCCTTTGCTCATCAAGCGTTCTTGTCTTAGCACATCTAAACAACTGAAAAGCACGCCAACATTCAACTTCAAAATAAAATGCAGTGAAGTGTGAAATTATACCTTTTATTCCATAAATCTCCAGCAACCTGCACAGCTCTGTAACTTGTATCACGCTTTAATATTGGCAGAGTTTAACACATCATGCAGACCCCATAAAGTAATTACATTTCATCTCAACAAAGAAACAAAATCCCAGCTCATTCATCCCCCTCCATCTGAGGAAGGATTATAGACAATTCAGTGCATGTCGATTTTTCCTGGCGATAAATCCAAAGCAGGTCACCAACAAAATGGTAATGTGGCTTCCCCAGGCAGCTGATTTACAGGGAAAAATAGAGATATTGTTTGGTGTCCTTCAAGGCACTCTCACCCTGCTAAAACCCCTTTGCTTTCTGAAACTTCTTGAGTTATCCTCTACTTACAAGAAGCTTAAAAACATAAAACTTACTGAGAATCGACCATTTCCACGCTTTGCAATTGCTGATCTTTTGGGTTTTGTTGCTTTGGTTTTATGAGTTTTGTGCCAGATCCTCATTCAGCTTTTAAAGAGTTGCTTCATTTTGCAATAAATGAAGCGATTTGAGCAACAGTGGCAGAAAGACATCAGAAAGCACAGACACATTCACACCTCAAGGCACCAGCCACTGCCTGGCCACCAATCCACCAAGATCCCCTTGGGCCACCAGGCCTGGGCCAAGTATACAGCTGTTTGCCATGATGGAGGTGGCCACCAGGCACAGAACACCACAGCCACAAGGGAAGGCATGAAAGTGCCTTCTTTCTGCCATCCCAAAATCAGCCACTGGGAAGGCATGAAAGTGAACACGCTGGCAAGAAGAAAAGGCACAGGCCTTGACAATACAGATTGGTTCCCTTCACCCAGGAAAGCAAACACATGAGCTGGTGTATGCAGCTGTATTACCATAGAGGGATCTTTTGTACGTGGAGAGGGGGCAGTGAAACCTTAACAGCAGAGAGGGTTAAATTCTGCTCAGCATCACCAGAAGCCGGAGAAGGGCTGATGGAAGACATGGAATTTGATGGGGAATTTTTATTTTAAAAAGTTAGCAACCTTCCTGGGAGTCCATGAGCAGCTGAAGACCAAACTGAGTAAAAAAATGCAAGGTGAGCACTAGGTGAGTTACACAGGGCAAAGAATTGTTATGATGAATTATAATAAAATCAACGAGGAAAAATAACAGAGACCTGAGATGCCAAGAAATGTCATTTCTTCTGCCCTCCTTCTGCCTGGTGCAGGCACAGCACCAGGGCAGCCCCATGGGTGCAGACAGTCCCAAACCATCACAACAACAATGTGGTTACTGGGTAGTAACTCAGCAGATGGTGACTTTTTGAAGTTGACTGCGGTACAAATGATACTTTCTGAGTTTGTTTCTTTCCGTTCCGATTCTCAGTAGCGTGTTCAAATGTCAGGGAGCATCATATTTCTATCTTTTATTTCCTCTGTGAGAAGAAATCTTCCTTAAGAAGCCTCAGAATTACATCTTGGGAGAAAAGCTGTGCTCCCTCGATGAAAGCAATCTACTTTATAAACATTCCAGAGTACAATAAAAATAATAGATGCAAAAAGCCCCACTGGCTTTTTTCTCAGTGGAGATTTTAATTTCTATTGCACTTTTTACAGAGACATTCTATCGGCACTGTGATGCCTTACTGGGTTGGTGGGGCCCATTGACAGCACAGAGGTAAGATCTCCTCTGTGTCCCCAGGTGGGCTCCCACCCCTGCCATCCCCCTTCTGAGCCCAGCCCCCAGTGTCTCATTCTGCCCCACTGCACTAAGCAGCAGCAGGTTTGCATCACTCAGATGATGCGTCCCCAAAGCCTGCCCTGCCACAAGCAATAAGCAAACCTGGGCAGCACAGCATGCAGGATGGCCGTATGCTCACTCAAACATTGTTTTTCAGCCACACAGAAGCAGTAGAAGCAGCTGCAAGTGAACTCACTTCACTGAACAAGGCCCAAAGACAACTTCCTCCAACTAACATAGGGCCAGTCTGGAAACCTGCAGGTGAGGAGCAGATAGAAGCATCTGATCCTCAGTGCCACATCTCCACAGTTGTCAAACACCTCCAGGGATGGTGACTCCACCACTCCCTGGGCAGCCTGTGCCAGTGCATCACCACTCTCTCTAAGAAGAAAGTTTTCCCAACATCCAACCTGAACCTCCCCTGGCACAACTTAGAGCCATTACCTCTTGTGTTATTATCAGTACCTGGGAGAAGAGGCTATGAGTCCCAGTGCACAGCTGGGAGCACAACACTTGGCCAGCGGTGCTTCACCCAACATCCTTCCATATTTAGTGCAAGTGAAGCAAACTGGAAGCCTCAAAGGCACAGCCATTGGTAAGGCTGGGATTTGTCTCCTCTTGTCATTAATTGCCCAAATCAGAGCTGCAGAGCTGGCACTGTGCTCCACTACACTTTGTAATGAAATCACTGACTGTGCCTAAGAAACAGATTTAATGATATGATACTAACAGAGTCACACATTTCCCATGCAAACATTCATGATCTATATCCACACCCTTTTTTTAATACTGCTTTTGCTTCATAACAAAATATCGAGCACGGCACCAACTGGCATTGGGCAGAGGACAGCAAGCACTGGAGCACTCCTACTGTTAATCACGTACACAAGGAATCTGTGGCTGTGGGGTCGGAGGTCCCCATGGGCATCCATCTGCATTTTGAGGCTCTCAGCAGCCAAAGGAGCAATGGAGAGGGGCTGGGTGCTGCAGAGGGGTTGGGTGTTGTAGCAGTGGGGAGGGATTTGTGCTCCAAGTTCTCACTCAGCAGTCACCAAGCTGTCTCAGAGGAAGGGCAGGGACTGGGGGTCTGAGGAAGTGGGAGATGTGCTAATTGCCTCCGACAGGCGTAATTGCTGCAATTCAGAATGCTAAAAATGTGAAATTAGGAATAATCAATGGATGTTTATGATCTGTGTCGATACCGTGAATTCAGCTAATACAGAGTAATTACACTCTTCTAATTCCCGGTGTTTGTCATCGTTGGGTTGCAGAGGAGTCCTGCAGAACAATAACAGCGGATTGGCTGTGCTAGAGCTGCAAACTGTGGGCTTAGCGCGGCGCGAGCTAATTTCTCTTTTAATGGTAAAAGCGGTTATGATTTCCCTTATTTATTCCTCTCTCCGAGCGCCGGGGGCTGCGCCAGGGCTGCAGCGGGTGATGGATGCGCTGCGCAACAGCACCACCAATTGCCGCGCCGGCACAAAGCAAAGCACGCACCCACGGCTGCGCTCCTGCTGCCAGGTGGCGCTTCGGCCGCTCGCCCCATCCCGTGGCCCCGCACCTCCTGCCAGGATTCGTGCCTCCAGATGGCCACCGCCGCTGGGTGACAGCCATGAGATGTGTTGTCAGGGTTAAGGAACTTGTGCGTGTGTGCAAAGTTAACTACCAGTGGTGCAGTTAATGGTACCTCTGACTAGAGAAGGAAGCCTCCAGCCTCTGGCAAAGAAGGGGCAGCCAGAGGCATGGCATGTGGGGCTCCCAGCTCCACTAAGGCAGTGAAATGGAGAAAGTGAGTGGTGCTCCAGCAGCAGCTGCTGACAGGATGGGATTTGGCCATGGTCCCACTCCTGGGCCCAGCTTGGTCACTGCCACTGCCCCACAGCCCTGCCCGCCTCCTGCATCCTGCTCGGCTCCACAGTGGGAGCAGGGCCTCTCCCTAGTTAACCATTGACTTGCAGGGGGAGCTCTGGCCACAGGCACCCTCCCGAGCAGCCAGCATGCAACCAAATGTTTTTATGGTCAGAGAAAATTAGAAACACTCTGGCAAACAGTGTTGCTCCAGGGAGGAGTTCAGCACACAGGCAGATCTCCTGGGCCCCTGGGCAGGCTCTGAGTGGAGCCTATGCCTAAAGCACCATTGAAATCTTTAGCAATATTTATACAGGAACCTTTTTGTTCTCAGAATGGTTTTTAAGCAAATAGGTTTCCGGTTTATTAGACAAATACCTCTGGTTATTGCCTGCTGTCCTCCGCAGCTCCTTCCTTCTCTCCCTCTCTTCCAGTGGCTCTGGCTGACAGCGGAGCGCTGTGCTCTTTCCAGCATAAAAAGAAAAAGAAAAAAAAATCAATCCAAACAATTAAAAGAGAACATAATAGAAATCCCAGGAGAGGGTTGCCCTCTTGTAATGCAATCAGGTTCCATCAATTTCACTGCTAAGGGACTTCACCCAATGAGTTTTACCTGGGATTAAGGTGAAAATAAATAGCCCGAATAAATACATGACTTCCCCAAAGTGGTAGTGTTTATTGGTTTATTTTTCCATTTCTCTCCCTCTGCAATGAAATCAATACACGCATAGAAAACCACGAGTTGGGCGAAGCACTGTGCAGTGGGAACACACACGCAGGCGTGTGCCCCCACAGGGACTGGGACACAATGGGGACGTTTTGCACCTTTCTATATTCTAGGTCTGAAGTCGTTGCCAGCTGCAGGCTTTACTCATTGCATTTGAGGGAAGCTCAGAGAGCTCCAAATGCAACCCACTACCAGCCTGGAGGTCTCACGTCTTGCAGAGGGGGATTTCAGAGATAAGGGGCCACTGGGGCTGGCAGGGAAAAGGTTGGAGGGAGTGGGAAAGGGCTGTGGAGGATGCAGAGACACAGTGCTGTGGGCATTTTCCATAAATGTTGGCAATGGGACCCAGAACAGGGTCAGACAGGAAGGAAAATTTTTCTCCTTCCTCATAGTATGCAAACCTGAACTCAGCCTTCAGCCCAGCCCTGCTACAATTCACTGCTTTTTATTTACCCTTCAAACAGGAAAAGCAACTCTCAGCGCAGGTCCTTTACAGATTTTCTACACCAAGCTTATCTCCGAGCACAGCAGCACTGGGCACACTGCTGCAGGTGAGGCTCTGCCTTCCGGCTTCAGGTTGGGCTCCAGGACGGACCACACCATGCTGTGACCTCAAATTTGGACGGTAGGATTGGGTCCCTGTGGGTATCTGCTGTGTGTCCATGGGGGACGCGGTGGCAGCAGGGAGGTGGGCAAGTTTGGGTGGGAAGTGGTTCATGATCCCACTTGCAACCCTTCCCAATCCACATGGGCGAAGACATTGCACGATCAGGGAAAGGGAAAACATTTGTGCTCCTGTGCCGCGCGTCCTTAGAGCTGGTGCTGCTCTGCCAGTGTAGGAATTGCTCCCAAACTCTGCTTCTTGTTAGAAATGCCCGCAGCTGCATCACCATGAGCCCAACAGAGTGTATGCAAATTAAGAGGACAAAATTGTTTGCTGAACAGAGAGAATGCACCAGCCCTTGGCACCAGTTTCTTTCCTTTTCCTTCTGATTTAAAGAGAGGACTTTCCTCTGCAGACCTCTCTGACCATGCCAGCCTAAACTGCAAGCTGTCAGTGGCATTCTGCAGTCCATAATATTGAAAACTCACCCTGCATCATCCCAGAAGGAAATGATGCAGGGCTGTGCCTGCAAATACACCACTTGAGCTATTCCTTGTCAGCGGCAGGGAAGAGTTCCTGGGAAAAGGACAGCACTGGTGAGTGACAGGGGATCAGCACGGGGCCTGCAGAATGACTCTGGTACACCGGAGCCAGGACTTTGATACGTCAGGGTGGGGACAAGCATGTGCCCAACAGGAATCCATGCATTTATGGTGGCTTAGTTCCCAACCTTAGTCAATGCAAATATGCTTAACAGAGCAATTCTTTTTCATCTAACATCCGCCTGGTTTTTGTGGATCACAGCCACGCCTCACGGTGTTTCTCCTTGCTCAGGGTGACGCAGGACCAGTGACAGCCCCTCGCTGTGTTCCCCCAGCATGCGGGTGACAGGTAAGGATGGAGACGAGCATTTACTTTTCCCAGTCCCATTTTCTACAGCTCTTCATACCTATTTCTCATTTGCATCGCCCATTTCAAGCCCATCTGCCCTGCCATCCCCTTACCAGCATCACAGGAAAGGGCATTTGTATAAGCATCAGGTTTTTATGATATTTGTGTAGATTTCAGGCTGTTGTGTATTTCCCAGCGAAACCTTCAGAGACTGAGAAGTGATGGCTGCTGAGAGGTTCCTGCTTCCATAAGAGCAATTCAGCTGCAATCTAAGTATATTTTTCTACCCTGTTTCCATGCAGGACAGGAATGTTTTGCTCCAGTGAGTGTTGCTTTAAAGCCAAATGCCAATCACATTTGTATTAGTGGCTGCTTGGCTGTTGTTGGTGACTAATTGGGGGACAGCAGCCCTCCCAGCACTGGGAAAATAGGAAACACTTGCATTTATATTGCTTTCTAACTAATTATCAGATTAACTTTAATGCAGAGAGGAGCATGAATAATGCCCTTTGGTGGAAGAGTGATGCCGATCTGAGGATCAGCGCTCACTCTGGAGACATTAATTAAGAGACCAGAGTCCTTGTAGAGGATGAGGAAAGGAGTACTGGCCACCTGTCATGCCACGGCGGCCACTCTGTGCATGGGGAACTGGGGATGCACAGACTGCGGGATGCCCCAGGGATGCCCTTCCCCCTACCCACGTCCTCCTCTCACCAGGCATGATCCGGATCCTGGTGCCGCTGGCCACACTGCTGAGCTTCTGGTTCATCATACAGACATACTTTGAGCACAGAGGGAGAGCCATCAGCCTGCGGAGCTGGTTGGGTGAGTGCATGGCAGCCCCTGGTTGGGAGCACAGCCACCAGCTCTGTTATGTGGGCACAGCGGGGACAGGGCAGTGAGAAGTTCTGCGGGAGTCCGGGGATACTCACAGCCCCAAGGAGAGGTTTTGGTGGGCCCGTGGGATGCTGACCTCTCCTTTGTGTCTGCAGGTTCCACCAGAAAGCCCATGAGTAGTGAGTACCACTCTTGGCTTCATCTCATACACAACACTGATCTGGGCTTGAGGGCAATGGTCGGAGCACGATGACTGCTTGCAAGACGAATGTCTGACCTTCACAAATGCAGGGGGATCTCCCTATGGCCCTTGTGTAGATTTCAGCACAGCAGTGTCTTCACCAGGCACATGGGCCTTTACACATCCCATGCCTCAGCACAACACTCTCAGGCCATGGGCTGCAGGAAGCCAGCAGGGGTCCTATGCATGTGGTGAGGCTGCAAGCCTCACCCCAGCTGAAAATGGGGAAACTCAGGGCAGAAAATTCACACAGGGCTGGGCTTGAATGGGTGCCAGCAGCGAACACTCCCTGTGACACCTGCCCTCTGTTCACACTAAGTAGTGCCCAACTCCAGCTCATCACGTCCCATCCCAACCCCATCACCGCCCATCACTGGCCATAGGACAAGGCTGGAACGTGCCTCACCCCACAGCGCACCCTGACAGCAGACACGTGCCTCAGCCCCAGCCCCAGGGCTCGTGACACCCCCCCACAGCTCCCTGCTCCCCCCAGGCCCACCACAGCCCCGCCACAAATGTGAGAACAAGAAGGACTGCCCCACCGACCACTTCGCCTTCCGGATCATCAGCGGTGCCGCCAACGTGGTGGGACCTTCCATCTGCTTCGAGGACAGGATGTAAGCAGTATGGGGAGGGGGTGGGGTGGCAGCAGGGCAAGTTTGGCCTCTGACTGCCAAGCACAGACCACTCCACAACAGTGGAGAGTGTTGTCTTTGTGCCTGGGGATGGTTCATGGCCTGCTGCCACTCACTGGTCTCTGCTTTCCCAGCCTCATGAGCACCATGAAGAACAACATTGGCAGAGGGCTGAACATAGCGCTGGTGAACGGTGAGTTGGGCCCCGGTGGCCCAAAGGCTTTGTGCACAGCCTACTTCAGGACAGCATCAACCACGGTGCACGTGGGCCTGGGACGCAGGGGAGCCTCTCTGGAGACCCACCCTGACTGTGTTGGGAATTTTCAACCCTTAGGAAAGAGCGGGCAGCTCCTGAAGGTGGGCTCCTTCGACATGTACTCTGGAGGTAAGCACGGTGCCCTCGGTGCCAGCGGTCACCAGCACTGTAGCAGCTCTGCTGTGTGTGCAGATAAGGGCTGCTGGACTTTGGCCATCTCTGGTGGTGGATGTGTGGCTGCCCAGGGTCACAGCTGAGCTGGGCTTCTGGCTCCCTTCTCACTTACAAAAGCCTGAAGAACAAAATCCCACTAAACCAATCACTCTTTATGTTTGTTGGTCATGAAAACTATATTGGTAACTCCAGAATTTTAAGGAGAAACACCGACATCATGAGATTTCTTGTAGTCTGTGAGCCCCAAGCAGCAATCAGCTGTTGTGCCACTAGATGGGGCATTGGACTCGAGCATCCCGCGCAGCAGATGCAGGATGAGGAATAACTCCCACAATGTGCACAAAACTGCTGCCACCGGGCAGGAACTCTACAGCCAGGCTCATTCCTGGTGTTGGAAATTTAATTCATATGAGCAACGTCTCACAGCTAGTTAGCCAAATTAGCAGTATATTTCTCCTTATGGTCGTGCACAGCAGGCAAGCAGCAGTCCCAAACCTTCCTATCACCAGTACCATGCACAGCACTACTAAAACCCTTTTCTTTTTCCTAACGCTCCTCTCAGATGTTACAAAGCTGGAGACCTTTCTCGAAGATATCAAGGATGGCACCATCATGCTGGCAGCCACCTATGACGATGCCGCCACAAAGTGAGTTGGGCCCCATGCGTGACCCTAGGTGCCCAAAAACCAGCAGCGGTGCTAGGGCTGGGGGTGCTGCTGCTGCCAACCTCCACAGCCACGTGCTGCCAGCTCTTTCTTCTTAGAAAGAGTGGTGAAGCACTGGCACTGTAGCCCAGGGAATGGTAGAGTCACTGTCCCTGGAGGTGCTCAAGAACCACAGAGATGTGGCACTGAGGGTCAGTGGGCATGTTTGGGTAGGTTGGTGGTTGGACTTTACGATCTTAGTGGTCTTTTCCAACCTTAATGATTCTATGATTCTATGACAGGAGGGGGCCCACACAGCACCATACTGATGCTTTTTTTTCTGTCCCTCAGGATGAACAACAAAGTACGGGCACTTTTTTCAGCACTGGGCAGCAGACACGTGAACCAGCTGGGCTTTCGAGACAACTGGGTCTTCTTAGGGGCGAAGTGGATGAAAGACAAGAGCCCCTTTGAGGAGGTACATGGCCCAGCCACCATCTCTCATGTCTCACTCACCTATCTACAAGCCTTGCCTCACTGCAAATATGCCCAGTGCCACTCTCTTCATAATGTTTTTTTTTTTCTCTTTTTTTTCCTGTAGCACATCAAAAATGACCAGAAAACAAATAAATATGATGGTTGGCCAGAGCTGCTGGAGATGGAAGGCTGTGCCCCCAGGAAGCAAGATTAGAAGGGACACTCTGGCAGCACACCTGCATGGAGCCCAAGCCAGGTCTATGTGGACACCAACCCCCCTGGACCGAGCAAGCCCCCGGCCCAGCCACACGAGGCTGGTGGTGGCTGCTGGCTCCCAGAGACCGGCATTCTGCTGTGGGGACACGTGGTGCTCAGAGCAGCTGCATCATGCAGGTGAGCAAGCACCCAGCCAGGCTCCAGCCAAGCTGCCCTAGTCCATGGCTATGTGTTGATGTGGGGCATTTTATTTTTTTATCTTCAAACCAAGCATTTTGTGATAAGTTTTCTAGTTGTTTCTTAAATAATATACCTAATTATAAAGCAATACCTCCTTCCTTCTGCTTTTGAGCATAATCCAGGCTTTTCCCCACAGGCCTGGCATTGCCAACCCCTCTGTCACCAGCTGTGTTTCCCATCCTCTGTCACAGCACCACACATGGCTGTCCCCTGCCCACAGACATGGGGGTGCTCTATAGCCACAATAAGGCCACGGTGGTGGCTTGCTGGTCAGTGTGTGCAGACAAAGCACATTTGCCCACCTTGTTGCTCTTTTTCTGGGTTAAATCCAAGCTAAATCCTCCAAAGATCAAGACAACACCATAACCCAATGCCTCCATCCCAAACCAGCAAGATGGCAGATTTTCCCTAAAGAAGGAAAAACCCAAAGCAAAAACCCCAGGCAGCCAACGCAGAGGAATTCCCTGCTAGCTGTAGTATTTTATCCAAGCTTATCCTCCTGCACTCTTAGCGTGCACCTGACCATGCTGTGGGAAGCCCCTGCCATACATCGATCCCTAAATCTGCTGCAGCAGCAGCCATTAATCCCGGGCACTGAATCACCCACAGGGCAGCAGCAATGAGCACCAGCACAGCACAGCAGACACAACAGCCCTCGCGCCACACACCCTGCTGCACCGCCAGCAGAAATATGCCAACTATTTTAAGCCCCCTCAAAGGATCTGGATTCGCATGTAAGCCAAACTGAAAACAGCCTGGGACCCGTAAAGGCTTTTGCAAAGGGGAAAGCAGCACCCAGCAGCAGCTACAGAGGGGAAAAACAACTAGCCCCGTTTGGCTTCGGGAAACTCTTCCTGGCCCATTGCAATCTGTATTGTTTTGACTTAACACCAGAAGCCTTTCCAAAGGGAATGTATGTCTCAGCATGCTACAGGCAGCTATAAAGAGATCTGACCCATTACTGAGTGTTACAGAGGCACATGCAGTTTTGGATCAAAAGGGAGAGCTGAAGTGCAGCTCCTGCGTGACCTCACTGCACAGCCAGAGCTTCCTCCCCAAGTTACTGCAGCCTGAAAAATAAATCAAAAATTCCACATTTTACTGGGAGTCATAAATACGGCTTCAAGTGCCACGATTACTTAGAAAATTTAATTTGCTAATTAAGGGTGATGGCTGATGGACAGCAAGCCCCACATGAGGTTGTTTTTCCATCTCCCCACTGCTTCGGAAGGTGCAGAGATGCAGACAGTGCCTACCTGGGTGAGCACACTCAGTCGCAGTATGGTGTTCCCAACTTGTGCAGCCCCAAGCCCTGCCCAGAGTGGTGGCTGCAGCCCCCGGGGGCATCCACAGGATCAGATCTGCAAAATCCAGCGCTGCTGCAGAGCCGGGTCTCAGGGGCTGTCCTGCCTTATTTTGGGGTAACAATTTATTTCAGCAAAGCACAGAGAACAAGCCAGAAAGGATGCCACAAGCGAGGACTGCTGGGTGCCGGGGCCCCGCAGCTGAGCGAATCCGCGTCCTGTGACATCTTGCCCTGTCAAGTGCAATTACTGTAATCTTCCACAGCCTCTCAAAATACGGAGCCTGGCTTAGAAACCGGGCATCCGCAGCATGAAAGCTGCCTTTGTGCCCGGGCAGAGCCTGGGTGCGCGCCAGCCGTGAGGTGCACGAAGAAAATGAGTTCTCCACGTGCTGGGAGAAGGGAGGAGAAGGGAAACTTCCCGGACGGCCCCACTGCAAACAGGCTGGAGCTCACCCTCCTCTCCCCGTGGGGACAGAGAGGGCACCGGGAGCTGCGTGGCCGCCAGAACCCACGGGCATAGCAGGGACGGTGCCAGTGGGGCACAGCCGAAGTCCTGAACAATGGGAGGAGCGCATGGGAAGAAGGTACGTGGGTGCGGGAAGAATGGCGGGTTTGGGGAGAGGGCACTGTTTGCTCACGTGGGGCTTGTTTTGCTCGCCGTGTGCTACAGGTGGTGACAGCAGAAGGGGATTATAGTGGGACTGAGCCGCTCTTAAGTAGTGCCACCTGATGGTTCAGTGCTGGGGCCCTGCTGGGCCTCTGGGGACAGCAAGGAGGTGATGGGGAGAAATGTCAACCTTGCAGAGCAAGTTGTAGCACTAAGCTTGCACCCAGCTTTGGTCCCCACTGCCCATCATCACTTCCTTGCTCCCAGCTGATGGAAGCCGGGGTGAGCCACCACCCCACAGCACGCGATGACAAGCACACATCCCTTAGGAGAGCGGCCATAGAGCTATGAAGGGAACAGTGCTGAGAGGCCCTGAGCCACTCAGAGGTGCTGGAGGTGGCTGTGCTGTGGATGTCATTGGGTGTCACTTTGCCTGGAGATATGTCACCACCATGTGGTCGGGCTGTCCTGCTCTGGTGTCAGCTCTTCCACAGCTCCCCTTCCAGCTCCCTCCAGTAGGTCAGGAAAAACAGAAGGGCTGTCTGAGTTCCTGACCCGCATAAAGCTACTCAGCTTACAGAATGCTTTAAGAATGCATTTTCAATTTGTCAGGAGCAATACCAGGAAGGTTCTCCTGCTTTCCCCCTGTCCAGTATCAAGCTTCAAGGAATCCAAACTTCCGCTCCCTCCTTTCACCCTCTATCAGAAAGTTAAAATGAAATTTAAATGAAAATCCCTCAAAAAAGAGCTGGGCTAGAACCCCAATTACGCCCAAGCAGCGCCCAGTGACCCAAAACTGGCACCTGATCTTCATCCGTGCACATGTGCACAGCATTATTGAGGCCGGGGCAATAAGCTGGTTATGTCAGCCTTGGCTTGGAACTCAGTGCTCCCACCCATCTGTGCCATCCTCCTGATGGCTCTGAGGCAGCTCTGTTGCCGCTCCCTCTCTCCAAGTAGAGCGCTGCCAGAAGGGCTCACGGCTCAGTGCTTTACCTAAGGGGCAGGGAGGGTGCATGGGGTGGGCAGCAGAGCTCTGCTTCCCCTACAGCCCCTGCAAGAAAGCAGCACAGGGCACTACCGGGCACAGCTCTGGGGATACATGGGAGCAGGAGGAGGGCTCTGCACTGCACGCCAGTGCTGCCTGTCAGCAGTCTCAGCTGAGCCCCTGCCAGGCTCAGAGCAGAGCAGCATCCAAGGGTCAGCAGCAGGGATGTGGAGTGCAATGCAATGCTCTGCTCCACAACAAAAGGGGCTGGAAAGGCTGCCAGCGGGGCTCCAAGGACATGGCTGCTTTCAAAGGCTGCAGCTGCTCCCATAAACCTCCTCTGGCATCAGCACTGACAGCAGGACACGGGGCTTTGCCCGGAGCCCTGTGCTGCAAGGCAAGGACCAGAGCCAGCCCAGGGTTCCCTGCTCACAGATCCTCACTGCTCCGCATAGCATCAGCCCCTGAAAGAAACCCTTCCAACAATCACACAAAAACAGCACCAGGGTTTGCACCGCAGCCATTTCCCTAGGGAAAGTTCTTCTGTCCCCAAATTCCCAAGAGTGTCACTTTGCACTAATGTCAGATGAGCTGAGATTAGGAGAGCTTTGCTCTGCTGCTGGGTGAAAACAACAAGAGGCAGAACGCCAGAGCTGACGGTGGCCCTTGTTCAGCACAGCAGCACCTGGTGCCCACACTGAGTTTCTCCATGGGAATGGGACAGGCAGCCAGGGCTGAGCACCGAGCAGTGTGACCAACCCCAAGCAGGTGAGACCCAAAGCAACCTCACCACATGGGCACACAGCTGGCACCACACTCAGCATCATCTGCAGAACCCGTCTGACAGGGAACAGTGATGCAATGCCAGGGCAATGTTAAAAGGAGATTTTAAAAGTCCATAGTGTTAGATGAAAGCTCTACAGGATGAAAAAGCTGGCTCTTGCCATTCAAGAGCTTGGAAACCCTTACCCCAACTACAAAAATCCTGGGCCCTTACAGTGGAAAGTGCAGGATGGAATAAGGCAAACAAGAGGCACTGTGTCTGTGGCTGGCAGAAGAGAGGCAATGGGAAGGGAAAGGGCTGCTCCATGCCAGGGCTGCAGAGCACACGGAGGAAATGGCCTCAGCAGGGCCAGCATGGTGCCATCCTGGCACAGTGACACCGATGACACAAGGCTGGAGAAGCAGCCCCACAACATGGTTTTGTGGCACTGGCCATGGGAGCACATCCAAACCCAAATGGCAGTTGGGATCCACAGTGCTCCCTTGTCCCAAAGCACAGTACCCAATGCACCTGTAGGGAGAGCATGGAAATCACTGCATGGCCACACAGCAGCTGCCAGGTTGGGGATGGCTCAGCAGTCCCCAAATAGAAATGAACTAATGAAATTAAAGGCTTCGCTGCTTTGCTGCTGCCCTCTGCTCCGGGGGTTCGCTCCAATGCACCTGCTGCCTTCACAAAATCCCTGCCCTAGTGGGGATGCTTCACTTCTCTGCTGCTTCCTCCATTTGCAGCCAAACCCCGTCCCTTGCAGCCCTTTTCCTCCTGCCCTGCACGTTATAAACATCATTTTCCTTATTTTCATGCAGTCTCTTTATGTGACACTGAGCTTCTAGGCTGTCGGCACAATGCATGGAATAAATGCTGTCCCTATCACTCATGTGCCACAAGCCTCACTTTCTGCAAAGCTCATCCTTCAAGGCCCTTCAGTGTTCCTTAATGGTCTCTCTGCAGCATGACAGCAATTTGTTCCGCAGCTGCCAGAGCCCATTGTGCCACTGAGTGATGCTCTTCCCGTGCAGGCAGCGGCATCCCTAGAAATAGCAGAAATAGCATCAGCACTACCAACCCTAAAGCGCTGGGTGAAGACAAGCTCCTGAGACAGGTTAAAATCATTGCTCACCCACTCCAACCTCCCACCTGCTGCTAGCAATGCTTGGGCGGCTGATGTTGGTATTGCCCACATAGTGCAGGGTGAGAACTGGGATCTCTTTGAGCAGCGCATCAAGTCGGTCCCCATTCCCCATCGTGCCCTGCAGGAGGGCTGTGTTGCTGCTCGACCACCAGTGGTGTTTGTGACAAAGCCACACAGAGGTCAGTACGGCGCTCATCCCTGTCCAATGCTGTTGTCTTTATGAATAACAGACAACTTTATGAATAAAAGCTCTACATGAAGCATTCACAATTTTCCACTTGACTCAGCACAGAGTGGCCACCGGCCCAGTGCACCCCTGGAGCTGCATGGGCACAGCAGGACACAGCCCGGCCCCCTCTGCATGCCCAAAGCCACGGACTCAGAGTGCCTGGCACCCCCGAGGTGGCTGCTTGCCCCTAGCAAAAGAAGCTGCAGATTTGTGGAGGTCAAAACAACAAGAATGAAACATAACACCAAGAATTCGATCTTTCTTAAAGCCCTTTGCAACATGATAGTGAGAACGACCGTGGGCAGGGACAAGGAGTAACACAAGCTCAGGGTGATGAACCCAAGCACCTGCAGGCAGGTGTGTGCCCACCTGAAGAAGGGAACAGGATTAGGGTTTGGGCTGTCCCACATCACTCCTGCATCCTGCACCGCCTTGAAGCAACACTGGGTCCCTATGAGGGGTAGTCAGGCTGCAGCACGGGGACCCTGCATGGCAGCCACATCCCTCTGCACGATGCCACAGCTGCTCCCAATTGCAAAATGGTGCTGTGCCACTGCAGAGAATGGGCAGAGCCAAACTCCTCACCGATCATCACTATGCCCTTGAGACAGAAGAGCCCAAACCACATTCAATGGGAGGCAGAAGCCATGCTAAGTTGGGACACTTTGCACATTTTCTCAGTGTTTCTCCTTAAAAAGCAAGTGGGATCATCCCAGCAAGCATGTGCACCAGCTTGGCAGAGACTACAGCAAACAATCAGCCCAGCAGATTGCTGTACGTTTACATCACAGATGGGAAAAAGTCTCACTAATCCTCAGAACTTTCTTCCAGTGGATGATTTCACCGAGTTCTGGATTGCTCCCAGCTGCTGCAAATGAGCACAGATAGAGCAGAATTCAGCAATAATCTGTGAGATTTGGGCAACAGTTTACACAACCTCCGTGTTCAGGAGCGTGTCAGTGACATTTTCACATGGGGCACTGTGAACAGTGAGCAGAGGTGTTTGGGGTTTATAGAATGAAGCTACTAGATGCAATGTAGATTACCTCTAGATCTCATGTACTGTGGCTTGATCACACACAGAAATGCTGGCTTTGATCTGGCAGCAAGTTGCAGGTCATCACAATTTCCTTTAAAGCCTCTGGGCTGAGCAATAGTTCAATCAACTACCATTGAAACACTAAGATGCGTTGGCTGTAGCTCACCATGTTGCAGCTTGTAGTCAAGCTCTGAGCACCCTGTCCCACATGTTGGGCAACCTCCAGCCCTGCTGCTGCTTCTTCAGGGCAGACTCTGATCAGTTCTCAGTCGGGTGGCACTTCATACACGCAAATACCTCTTTATTGCCACCATCTGACTGTAGCAATTTCTTGCCTCATTCATTAGCTCAGACTTTTGTTACTGTGCAAGATCAATGCTGTGGTGCTGCATCTTAATGGCACTTGTATCCATCTTAGTGTATCGGAAGCCACTCTCCACTCCCTTTCCAAGATGATGGTTCTTTTCTATAACTGCTTTCAGCACAGCACAAACATGATCCCAAATCCCCAGCCATCCAGCTATCAGAGCACCCATGTGCAGGACCACTGATCAGTGGTTTGTTCAGGGTTGATGGTCTTAAGCTGCAGGAGCTGGAGCTGGAAAGCAGGATTCCTTCCCAGAGCCAGAAGTTCAAGGCAGCCTACATAGGAAGAAATGCCTCCATAAATTGACGCAGGAGCTCTTTGACATGCATTGGAGTCGCAGAATCATAGAATCATAAAGTTTGGAAAAGACCATTGAGATCATCTGGTCCAACCATCAACCCATCAGCACTGTGCCCACTAACGTCCCTAATGTCAGGGGAGATGCACTGAAATATGGGGAGTAGCAAACCAATAAAATACAAAGTGAGACTACCTACTATTCATATTGCTTTACTGCGTTTAAACCCACTGACTGCCTTGAAATGGTCACCACCACAGTCCCCATTGCATTTGCCCAGGTTTGGGAACCTGAGTAAAGCTGGCAGAGGTGCTCCCTCCCACTCAGATCTGGGAATGGAGATTTAATAGCAACACAGCCCAGCAGGGCCAGAGGAGCTGAGCACTCTATGAGTTAAAGCCTGGCATGGCACTGAGGACCATGGCTGTTGGGTGGCATGCTGGAGCCGTGTCAGAGAGGTGCTGGAGTGATGTCAGAGGTGCCGGAACCACCAGCTCTCCATCTCATCCTCTGTTATAGGGCAAAACCTGCACAGTCCTTGCCCATTCCCTCCTCTCCTCTCTTCCAGAAGGAATATTCCCTCCAGCCCCGATGTGCCAGCAGCAGCAGGAGGCCCACAGGTGGCAGTTCAGGTGAGTGAGGATCTGCAGGGCGAGCAGGGAGGAATCCAGCATCACTGAGCCCTTGGCTGGAAAACACAGCTGGGATGGGGGACAGCACTGGGGCATGGAGAGGAGCAAAACGTGGAGAGGTGGAAATGAGGGAATGAGGACCCTGGCCTCTTTCTTCATGGGGTTGGGAGCATCCTTCCCCACAACTGGTAGTGCCCCCACTTTCCTTATCCCTTCTGTCTGGATGGAAATGGATTTACCTCATCCCTGCCCACCTTCCAGGACCAGTGAGCATCTTCAAGCCTGGCATGGGGCAAAGGGCAGCACCAGCAGCCACTAAGAGCCCAAGGAGGCTGCTGGGCCACTTCCACTCCTCTCCTCCATCTCCGCATCCCCTGGTGCCAGGACAGCCCCTGGGCACAGGCCAGGCCGCTCCCAGCCCCACTCCCCCCGTGCTCTTGCCCCCAGGACGGCGCAGTGCTGGGGTGCTGGCGCAGTGGTGTCGCAACGTGCCGGGAACGATCACGATAACACGAGCGGTTGCCCTGGTGCCGGGCTTTGCTGTTGCAGTGCTTTGCTAAAGAGAGTGGGCGTGCGGCTTCCTCTGGGCCGATCTGATTTCTCCGGGAGCGTGGTTTAAGGCACACTCAGGAGAAATCGCCTTCTGTGGAGCAGGGGCACAACCCCTCTGTGGCTGTGCACACCAAGAGCTCTTCTCTTTGCGGGGGTGAGAAAACCCACTGGCTTATTGATTTTCTGCGGAAACATCAGCCGGCAGTGAAGAGCAAAGGGAGCAACTTTTGGGGTCTACAGGGTCCCCGTGGGGCGGCAGGGAGGTGGCATCCATGTGAGCCTCCATCCTCACCCCACTGGAGAGACCAGGCAGGAGCCGGGGAGCCTCACAGACCCAAAGGCCAGCAGAGCGAGCACAGAAGGCAGAAGCGGCCACCTGGCCCCATGTCATGGGACACAGGGCAGCACGGGGCCCCTGGGCTCCCCAGGGGCACACTGCAGAAATCAGGTAAGCAAAGGGCCCCCACATCCCTGTGTCCCCACATCCCCGTGTCCCCTCTCTGCCTTGGGCAGGGACTGCTGAGCCCCACAGGGTTCTGCACCGCACCCCTATTTGTGCACAGGTGTCTCTGGACCCTGCTTTAAGTTTAGTTTGGGATGTATTAGGTTTCCATAGCACTTTAGTGCTGCCCAGAAAACAGACCCATATCCCACAAGATATTCCCTAAACCAATGCATGGCAAAATTTGATGTTCTTAGAAAGGAGTTAGGTGGGACAGGGGGTACTGCTGATGTAGCCGCAGCTCAACAGGAAATGATTTTCTCTGCATTCCAGAAAATCCCTTTGAGCTACCTTAAAACATTTATTAATGATTGATGCGTGTCTCCACATAGGGAAAGGCACATGGCAAACATTTGATGATATATTAAAAATAAGTTTGTGATTAGCAAGGACTGTTGAGCATCTGTCATTGCTTAACAAAACAAATCGAGTTGCTCCACATGCTGCTCAGAGGGTGGGCGACCCTGGTAATTGTTAACAGTGGGATCCCAGCTCCAGCACCTTGCTTACCACAGTCCAAGGTGATTAAATGAAATCATTAACCAACATGCCAACCTTCAGCTAGAAGAGAGGGCAGGGCAGAGACTTGCAGGCTCCACTGTGGTTCTTTCCCTTTCTGACCCCACGGGGTTTATTTCTGACTTTCGGCATCCAATGCTCCAAGGAGTGACCTCACGGCTGGGACACGTTTCCCACAGCGGCCACATCAAATTACATTTGCCTCATTGCATTATAAATACCAGAATTCGGCCTGCTTAATTATTCAAAACCCTAGATTAAAAGCAGACAAAGGCTCTTTGCTTCCATTCCGGACCACGCTTATCTCTGATGGATGACGCGGCTGTCCGGTGACAAGCAAAAGGAGCATGCCAGGCCCCTGGGACGCAACGCTGCCGAGCTGCTGATGCAGCACAATGTAGGGATGTTGAGAAAGTTTTGTTTGGAGTTTCATTTTAAAAAATCACTGATTTCAGGTGAGATGAGGCTTTTAAACTCATATTATTGCACAGCTCTGATTACTTGTGCAGGTAGCTTTAAACCTGCTTGGGCAACCTGTGTTAGGTACGGTGGTTTGCAGTCTCCTTCCCTGTGGGATGTGTGTGCTCAGCTCCGTTCAGCAGCCTGTCGTTAATCTGCTGCTTCCCTGAAAATATGTATTCACAAACAAACGCCAGGCACTCAGAAACCAGAGGCTCTTCTCCCAGTGGCCAATTCTGCCCACAAAACCTCAACTCAGTGGCCTTACAAACTCAGAGCCAGGGCTGTGAGTTGTAAATCTGCATTTTGGTTGGGTATTAGGAACAATTTCTTCTCAGAAATAGTGATGATGCACTGGCACATACTGCCCAGGGAGTGGGGGGGTCACTGTCCCTGGGGGACACCTGGGGAGGTGTTCAAGGACTGTGGAGATGTGGCACTGAGGGATGTGGTTATGGGCATGGTGGAGGTGGGTTGGTGGTTGGACTTGGTGATCTTAGTGGTCTTCTCCAACCTTAATGATTCTATGATTATGTGATTCTCCCCTGTTTCATCTCTCCCTCCAAGCACCAGGTTACACAGAATTACAAGCAGTGCCTCTCTGACCCTAGCTGCCATTCCCAGAACAAAGCCCTGTGCCCATCTGTACAGGGATGACATTTCACAGAGGTTTCATTCTCTGCCCAGAAAGGGACTCCCATAAAATATTTTTAACAAGAGCAGTTTGATCATTTCATGCAGTTCCTGAAAAACCTCTCCCCAGATGCTCCTGTCAGGAAATCAGTTCTCAGCAGAAATAAAAGTCTGCCACACTTTGACTGAAAACACTCAATTTTCCTTTTGTTCTCTTTAGCGCTTTCCCCTCAGGAAGGGCAGCTGAAGCTGGGCAGCCAGAGCAGCGCCCCGTTTACCTGCCTGCCCGGCCCTATAATCCCCTTACAGAACTCGTGGGCATTATTTTCATCCCAGCAGAGGGAGCAGTGCAGGCTGCGTGGCTGCCGTGCAGAGGAACAGCCCCACATGCATGGACAAAGCTGTGAAACTCAACATAAATGCTCTACAGAGGGCACCTCCTGCAGCCCCAAGGCAATTAATGTCATTCCAAAACAGATTTTCTTCTTCTCAAAAGATTGGGACTGAGCAATTTGGGCAAGGACTGCAGACTTGCAATTTTACCAAAAGTCCCCCAGGATTTATACGGATTTCCAGGAATTTGAGCTTTGCTTGAAGTCAGAGCAGACCAAGCTATTAAAAAGTCATTTTTCTCCTCGAGGCAGCCCTATGCCTGGGTGGGGGCAGTAGGTCTCCAGCACCCCTGAGAGCTGAGCCCTTCCAAAGGGGTTTCCCATGGGGCAGAGGAAGGCAGGGAGCTCATCCCAATATCCACCAGCAGCCTCAGCCCCCTGGTCCAGGCACTCCTGCTCTCTGTGTACACACAAGTCACACGGAAACACAGCTTTCCTAGAGAGCTTCAGGCTTCTAGAAACGTGGAAAGGGAAAATATTTAAGAGCAAGCAAAAGGCTGAATGTGTTGAAGCAAACACAGCTACTTTCGAAAAGCAACAGTCCAAAGCAGATCTGTCTGAAAGGTCACGCTGTCTTTCCAAGTACAGCTGAGGGTGTCAGAATGCACATGCATTTTTTTGTTTATATCTTGCCAAGAACAATATAAAACTGCCTGGCACCTATGGCTGTATGGATTTATGGCAGTGGCACAGGAGGTGCCGGAGCTGACGCTTGTTCATTGATCTATGGCCGAATCATGCAAAACCAGACATCCTGCTGTAAATCCTCCGCAGAGACCTGCCCTGATTTACACTGCTGGCACCATAAATAATGACAAAGCGCAGCCTGATAGCAGTCTGTCTCCCTATACATGGGCATGAATTACAATGTGTCATGAAGATGACAGATCTACTGTGAGAGAAGCATTTTGCCCAGGATCCCTCTCTGCCAGCCTGTAGAAGAAAGGGTGCCCCGGCCTTACTCCCAGCATAACCCCAAGCGGTGCTCCAGGCCTCATTTTTCTTTTTACCCTCCATGCAAATGCAGACATTCCTTGAATTCTTCCACACGAATGTGTTGTGAAGATTTAAAGTGGGGTTCCTGTCGAGAGGTTTGTGGTTCCTTCCCAGATCGCCTCCTGTAGCACAGCCTGCAAGTGGTGCTCTCACTGAAAACACACGGCGCTCTTTGAAGTTCCTTTTTTTGTTTGCAGAATAAAGCCACTGCTTTGCCATGGGAAAGGGGAGCTCGCCCATTTCACTGACAGCAAAACAACACTTTGCTTTTGTACCTTCCTTTCTTGCCTTTTGCTCGCCTCTTTTCCCATGGAAAACAAGAACCCCAGAAAAGGGACAAAGCAGAGTTACAGACTCCAACAATGTAACCCCAGTGAACACCCAATGCACTTTCCACAGTTCCAAAACCAGCTTTCATTGAGCAGCAATCAGCCATCAAACCGCGCTGCCTTCACCCCACGTAACCACAAGCAGGGCAAGGTGCAACCTCAGCGCTCAGCTCCTTCCCTCACCAACAGCACTTGCCATCCTGGAGGAAAACAATCTGGTACAGGAAACCTCTGCTTCCCCATGCCCTTTGAATATGTACCGAACCATTCACCCCAATTACACTCTTCACAGACTCCAATCTGTTTTCCTTTGTTCCCAGAGCAGCAGGGCACTGCCCACATTAACATTCAATGCGAAGTTGTTTGATACTGAATTATTTCTTCAGCAGTATGATTTCTTACACAATTCTGTTTGATTGCAATCCACTTTACATTCGCAGAGTACTTACTGCCTATAAAAGAATGACCCAGCCTTTTACTTGCTTTCTTTTTTTCATTTTATTGATTTCTCTTTTAAAAGGATTTTATTCCTTTTGTACGTGAGACTGTGATAAGAGAGGGAGACAGCATTACTGAACAAAAGCTGTTTTCCTTGCTGCTCCATCAACCCATACGCCTTCCCATTAGGTACCCCAAAATACTGTAATAACAGAGCACTTGAAGCTGCCTACACTCTTTTTCTGGTACTTCTTGTTCTTGCCACTGAACTCCCAAATTCATTGAGTGAGTCCTCAGGAATGAATGGCTCTTCCCATGAGGGCCATGCCCTGGCATAATTGCAGCCATCACAACTGCACTCTGCGCTTAAAGCGTGGCCCACAGAATGCATCTTGTCTTAAAATTTGTGCTTTGCACTCCTTTTGTGTGGGCTTTTTTATAAAGGTGAGATGTAGAGCACTTGGGAAATGACAGCAGTGAGCTTGCCCTGTGGTTTACCTGAAATCCAACCTGTCACTGCTTAGAAAAGAATGGGCCCTTGTTCCTACATCCAGAACACACAAATTATTACAGTGTGATCCTGGGCTGCACATGTGAACTACACTTTCCTTAGCGTTGGGAAGAATCCTGACTTTTAGGGCAGCAGAGTATCAGCAAAACCCAATGCTGATGAGACATGTCAGCCACAGCAGCACTTCCCAGGACCCCCAAGTCCTGCAGCTCCAGCCCTGCTCCTGCTGTTAGCTCCGGCTCAGCTGATCTTACACTAATTAGTCCTTGGCATCAGCTGCTGCATCCACAGAAGCGAGTGGCTGGCAAGTCATTTAGAAGTGATCTAATTAATACGTGTCTCTTCAAAGCAAATATTTTCTAGAGGTGCACCAAGCACCCCAGCACAGCTGCTCTCACCCAGGTGAGCAGAGCACAGGTGGGCTCCCATGGGTGCACCCCACCTGCCAACACCTCTCTTGTCTTCCAGCGTCGATGTACACAGAAATACAGCACTCTGACAGTGGGAGCATCCTGACTCACCCGGACTGCATAGATGGGAACCCAGACCTGATCAAACCTAAAAAGCTTCTCAACCCTGTCAAAGCCTCCAAGAGCCATCAGGAGCTGCATCGAGAGCTGCTGATGAACCACAAGAGGTGAGGGGAGGTCACGGCAGTGCAGAGCCCAGCACCGGCACCAGCACCACCTGTGGTTGGAGGGAGGGATAAACCCTGCCATTTGCACACAGACATGGGGTTTAACCCACCAAAACACTCTTCTCTGATGTGACAGATTATTTTCAAACATTTTCAAAATGCCCTAAAAAACACTCTGACACTCAGCCACACTTTGATTCCAAATCAAAAAAGAGCGGAGCCTCTGTTCAAAATAACTGTGTTCACCATGAGGGTCAGGCACAGGCGTTAATTCAGCCAACAACAACCCTGCCAGTAGGGTTCATTGCTCAGTACTGGTACTGCCCAGAAGCAGGAGAATTATAGGGACTGTGCCCAGGCCATTCTCCAGCACTGACGCAGTCATGTGAACCAGGCAGGTATTCCTAAAACACTGTAACATGGCCTGGTTAAGGCATCCTTGCCCAGGATCTCCTGGCACAATCGCTATCATCTCCTGGGCAGGTTTAGGGCAGCCAGGAAGTTGGCACAGTGCTCCCAGAGAGCAGGAGGAGCAGAATCTCTACACAACCCTAAGTCACCAGCAAATCCGGCAGCTTTGCTGTTTGCTGCATGTTCATACTGAGGGGAAGAGAGGAGAGAGGAGGATCTGTGCTTGCTCCATTTCTGCTTTCTCCCTTAGGCAGAAGCAGAAAGCAATCCACACCAGCAGCTTGTGCAACAAAACTTTATCTTAGTCAACACCTCTGGGCACTAACAGGGCAGGCTGATTAAATCCAGGAGCAGTAACAAATTCAAAGGCAACACTGCAAACTCTGTGCCTCCAACAAGCCACAGCAGGCTTACCTTCTGTCAAACCTGGGGCCTGTCTGCCACAGAAACCCGCATGTTACAACACCTCTCCTGCAAATATTTCCCTGGGATTTCCAATACCCTCAGCCTGCTGATTCCAGTGAGTGTTCAGTCCAGGCCAGAGGAGGTCAGGCTCTGGTGGCAGCTCTGCGATCTTCAGCTCCTCCTCAAAAACATGATTTCAGCCAACTACTTCTGTGACTTCTTCCAAAATTATTCCAGTTCCAGTTGCTATTGCAGAAGATAACCTATTTGAAAGCTGCCTTGAACTCTGCTTCACAACTTGTTGTTCAGCGACACAAAACTGTGGCTGCAATGAAGCGTGACCAGAAGTCAGCAAAGGTTTATTGATGTGCACAGCCACTTACATGTATTTAGGGGGCAGAAGCAAGTAGGGAAGTGGCTGGGGTCAGCTGCAGGAGATAAACATTAGAGCTTAAACTGAGGCACAGCAAGGATCGCAAACCCTCAGCACTGGAGCAAGCCGAACTGCCAGTACAATTACTGCAGTTCAATGACTACCCCTGCTGGTGGAAAAAAAATCTTCATTATTATAAATTCCCTCAGCGCTGCTGGAGCTGTCACCTACACAAATAACAGTAGGACGGCACATTTCCCTTTCTGCACAGAAAGGCACAGCACCTCAGTGCAGCAGCATTTGGGATGGGGGCTCTGGGGGCTGCCAGGCAGGCAGGGGGATGGTGGGTGAGCAGCTCATTTGTCTGCTTTTGGTCTACAGAGGCTTGAGTGTAGACAGCAAGCCAGAGTTGCAGAGGGTTCTTGAGCACCGACGGCGAAACCAGGTCCTCAGGCAGAAGAAAGAAGAGGAAGAGGCCAAGAAGTTGCAGTCTCCCTTTGAAAAAGAGCTACTGAAGAGGCACCAGCGACTGGATCAGGTAGGATCAGGCTGTTAGCCATCCCCAGGTTGTTCTAACCACCCAAGAGATGGGTAGCTGAGGCTCCCCTCAAGGAATAGTGCTGGCATCCCTCCATAAAATGGCAGCCAGGGTACATCCCTCTCTACCAGCCCACACAGCTGCACTGTCTCATCCTGGCAATGAAATTGCTCTTCAGATAAAGCGACCCCTGCTTGCCTAGTGGAGATGTTCCTCTCTGGGGAGAAAACCAAGTGGGCTGGTGTACCTAGAAAAGAGACTGATGGTGAACATAGCTTTGGAAAAAGAGAGCACCAGTGTGCAGCACAAAGTTATTCAGTTCTGGGCAATAATAACTAGACATGCAGCAATTATGAACCCAGGGTTTTAAGGTAGAGACTGCACTTTTGTTCTTTAGGTTGGTCAGATAACAATGACTATTCTTTATTACAGCTAGAGAAAGAGCGGGAGAAGCAGGAAGACCGTGCACCAGAATTCATTAAAGTCAAAGAAAATCTGAGAAGAACATCAACGGTGACTGGAGAAGAAAAAGCAGCGTAGCTTCTGCCAAAACCTACCAAGGCTGATGCTTCTGTACATGGTGGACACTCACAGCCACATCTTTGGGGCTACTCATGTCATTAACACTTGCTCCAGTAGAAGGCACAAAAAAGGTTTTCCTTTCCCAGGAAGGTCTCATGATCAAAAAGGTGCAGTATTCACTGAAGAGGTCCTCACACGAGGTGATGCAGAGCAAAGCAATGTCCCTTTCCTCCCTAGTGGTGGGAGCACACTAACCTCCAGCTAACTCCTGGTTAATCCTCACGATGCGGCCAAGGTGTGAGCCAGGGGAGTCAGCAGAGGGATGGGCATTGCCATGGGCTGGGGGACCTGCATCCCCTGGAGGTGGGCTCACCAAGCAGGGCAGCAGGAGGCTGCAGCTTTGGAAATCTCCTGGCAAATAAGCATGGTGACTAAAGGGACAATCTACGTATCACTGGGAACAGTCCAAGGGTTAGTGGCATTGCAGCACCACACAAGACAAACAGTGCCATCACACTGCGAGAAAAATCAACTCCTGAGTGCCCACACCAGCTCAGCATTGGAAGGCCAGGTGTCACTTGTTCTTCACGAGCATCTTTAAGCTGCATTTCAAACCTGCTTGTAAATAGCTGTTGAGCTGTTTGCCCTGTTCCATGCTTAGGCATAAAATACACAGAACTTCCCATGAAAGCCCCCGGTGAGAGGCAAATGCTCCATGCAGGAATCTGGGGGCTCAGCATGGGTGTAAGTGGAAGCACGCAGTGAGCAGTCAGCAGGCTCCTGTGGATCTGGCAAAGAGAAGCAGAGATGAACTGCTTTGCACCTCCCTGCTGAGCCTCAGCCCCACACTCTGGACATGTGCTACTATAGTGGTCAGCAAAACCCGTCCTAGGATGCCATGCTGATGTCAGGATGCTGGCAGGGGTCACAGCTGGCACCAGCACGTGTTGTGGGCTACAGGGCACGGAGGTACTGCTGCAAAGCTGCTTCTCAGTGCTCCTCATCCCTTCTTCCAGAGGACAGTGCTGCCTCACGCCAGTTGCCATGTCACAAAGGTAAACATCTTCTTGCTGCTGACAGAGCAAAGCTGAAATAGATGGTGCCTTTGCACCATGGATGGCTGGAGCACATCACATTTACGGGGCACTCATGCTCTGAGATGTTCACATGTAGAGCTAAAATCGCTTCTAGATCCCAGCTTCTCTCAGTCTTGCTACAAAGCCTCAACAGCAAAACTCACTGATTGCCTTCAAACACTGGCTCTTAAACAGCAAGAATTAACAGGCATGGTCAGCTGGGAAGGTGATACCTAGTTAAACAGTGTCCACCATCCACATGTTCAGTGGATCCATATGTGAATTAAGGGAAAAGGAGCATTTATCACATCTTTATCAAGGAGCTACTAACCCATTCCCCAGACCCTCTGGCCCAGCAGGGTGTTTCATTTCAGAGGATGCTGCTCAGCTTGGCAGCTCAAGTAAAGCACCTGAGCCATATCACACATCATGAGCAGCAGTACAGGTATGGGGCCTCTGGACAGCACTACATCTCAAAACTCTTGGCCTGGTCTCAGCCCCTGGGAGCCCTGTCTCACAGCACTGCCCCTTTGGCAGCTCTTAGCCTCTCACCCATCATGCTCTAAAGAGTCTGTTATTTCAGAAATCCAGTGCATACGGTCTTTATGGATCAAACAAGATCTGACAGGATTTGCTTCTTTTCATATAGCCTGTAATTAAAACCATGAGGAAGAAGCAGCATTGAGGATTTATTCAGGCAGAAAAAAAAAGCCAAATTCCTGTAAGAGAAAAATATTTTGCTAAGGATACTTGTAAAGAGCTGCACAGAATGCTTTACAATACTCCATCAATTATCAGTTTCAGTAACAAATCAGAACATACCGAGCTGTGTTTTTGTGAGCAGTTACGACACAGATCAAGTAACCTTGATCAAAGAGCTCCAAAAAATTAAGCAAATTAATTTGTAATTTTGCCACAGATGGAAATGCACTCCGGAAGAGACAATCTGTCACTCCATATGCACCGGTGAAATCAGCGCTATCGGCACTCCTTGCCTGGGACAGGGGCACTTACAGAAGACCTTGGGTGGGAAGCTGAGTGCTCAGTGCAGGTGGAGAACATTTGGCTGTTATCTTCTTGAATATTTGGTATTATCTGAAAAAAATCAAGGTGTTTTCCTTTCACCTGGTGTCCATCAAGCATGAAGAGGGGCTGCAGTGTGGGACTGCCGAGTGGCGTCAGGTGTCCAGAAGGGAAAGGGGTGTCCAAATAGCACTGTCCTAACAAACACTATACTAACAGAGCCCAAAGAAATCCTTCCAGATGTGGAGAAACAACAGAGTCCAAAACAGGCAGAGCAGAGAGGGCAAGACCCAACACTGCAGGACCCCAACAACCCCAGCGGATGCTCCCAGCAAGAGATTTTGGGATATCTTTGTGTGTCCTTTCCTTTTAAATGATTTCCTGAATTTGGGTCCTAAGCCCCTATGTCCCTAGAACAAGCTCCTAAATAAACGTGGTTTATCTGGAAGATGCAGACGATCAGAATATTGACAGAAGACAATTTTTTGCACGATGTTGCATGTGATGTATAGTTTCTATTGTGTCAGTGTTCATACATACATATAAACGGATGTTGTGCAACTATTGTTAACAGTCACTGCTCACACTGCTTAACGAGGACAGTTCTGAAGAAACAAACCACCAGCCCATGCCCAAAGCCACGTCCTTCAGTGCCACTTCCACATCTTTCTTTATCACCTCCAGGGATGATGAACCCATTTCTCCCCAGGCAGCATGTGCCAATGCACTGCCACTCTTCTGGAGAACAAATTGTTCCTACTACCCGACCTGACCCTCCCCGGGCACAACTTAAGGCCATCACCTCTCACATTATCTCTGTTACCTTGGCCTTATTGCTAGTCAGTAACCGAGGCAGCTCAAGGCGGGACACTACAGCATGCTGACCTCTGAGCCAACCCCGAACAAAGCACAGCAGGGCTCGCTCTGCCGCCCCACACCCACACCGTGAGCAGGGCGGGCGCTGCTGCGCCGGGAGCCGGGCCGGAGCAACGGGAGCGCCGGGAGAGGCGGGCGGCGCCGTGCGGAGCGACGGACCGAAGGGCAGCGGCTTCGGGATCGCGAGGGGCGGCGTAGGAAGGTGGCCTATGGGAGCTCCCGGGACTTCAGTTCCTTGGGAGAGTAAAAAGGTGGCGAGGCAGGGAGAAATCCGCACAGGCTCCCACTGCGCACTGTGTATCATTGCTGTTACTACGGCCCCTGCTAAAAGCCCCCTTGGCACGGGGAGCGCAAGGTCGCAACCGGCGGGGACGGGAAGGGGCGGGCGCTGGGAGTGCCTTACCCATGGCATGTGCTTGTGTAATATCCCTTGTTCTCTTGCAGGAAAAGTGCTAAAAGTAAAGCTACAAAACGCCTAAGACCCGCACCTGGAGCTCTTAGTGCGCCCTCGCTTTCCCTTCCTCACTGTCGCAACGCGGACGGGCAGCGTCCAAACGCTCCTGGAGCTCGCGTCTCTTTTTTTTTTTTTTTTTTTTAACTAGCACAGAGGTTTGCGTACAAAGTGCACCGTAGTTTTGCTGCCCGCAGAGCTGAGCGACAGCAGCAGGAGGCTCGCTGCTCTCAACAGCCCGCTGCAGCCCCAGTAACACACTGCGCCGCCAGGATGGCCCTACCGGACACCACCGAGGACACGCAGGGCTTCGGCCTCGCCAACGTGAACCCCGACTTGGCCAGCGAGAGGCTGACGGCCTCCTTCAGCGTGCCGAGGCTGACGGCCGTGCTGGACGGCGGGGCTGAGCGCACACGGCTGCGGCGGGCGGTCGGTGAGTAGAGCTGCCACCGCTGTGTGCCTGCTCATAACCAGCGCACGCGGCGGGGGTAACGCTTCTCATTGCCTTCCAGTGGACGTCATTGAGAGCGACCCGGTATTTAGCAGAGAAAATCAGTACTTCCAGAGCCAGAATGAGCGGTACGAAGCAGCGGTCAGAAAGGCCGTTCACGTCCGAAAAAAGATGCAGGAGATGGGATGGAGTGAAGACGGACCTGAATCTGTATACGTTTACAGGTGATTCTCTTTGGAACGTGCAACTCGTCTGTTGTTGAAAGGTTTGCTTGCCAGGAAGAATGAGCTCAAGCAAAGGCTGGGAGAGGCCAGCTGCAACAGCTCGTCCTGGCACAAACAAGGTGCAGGTTTTCAGTTGGGCAGCACATCTGGGAAGGGGAAAGTTGCTGTTGCGCACGGACACAGCTGAGAGCGCAGCAGTGCAACGTCCCTCACTGCCCTGCTCAGCACAGTCAGAACGTGAAGTGCCGTTCTCTTATGTTGCTGGCTTACAGACAAATCTAAGATGACACTTCCTTTATCTGGAAAACCCACATTGTGTTAAAAGCAAACAAAGGTACCACTTAATTTGTAAGCAAATGGAGGAAGGTATCTCTCACAGTCCTTTCCTAAACATTTTTTCTTAACACCTGGCAGGGGGTTGAGCTCCACTTTATAACTCTTTGCCCCCTTCCTTCCCCTGCCATTGGGTGGGGTACACAATCAGTAGGATCAAGGTGAGGTGCAAGTTTAAAAGCCTCATTCAGAAGAGCAATGCCTGCACCTCACAAACCATCACTGATGCTCAAAGTCATTTTCCAGTCTTTCATCACATGACAGATTATAATTTGTTATGCTAAGCTCAGTCTCCTATGGTGAGTGGCACCGATAAAGGGGAAATTTTCCATCAAGAGCTCCTGGAGTTGTTAATTACCACAGTCCTCTCTCAGAAGAAAAATATCCCAGATTTTAAAAACCCCACCTCTGCTTGCTGCCCTCAGAACCCCCATGCCAGGAGCTTCAGCCTGTAGGATCGTGCTCTTCTCAATTAAGGCTGCAGGGAAGCACAGCTCTTTTCTTGTGAGATACCAGGCAAGCAGGAACTTCTCATTAACCACAGTCCTGGTGCCAGGCAGCCTGAATCACGGACAGACATTTAAAAGCCAGCTTTGAAATGAGTTAAAGTAACATTTCTGGATGGGCTGACAGGGGTTTATTAAGTTTATCTCTGTTAATCAAAGCAATTTCATTTTAACTGCTTCTTTGTTCATATTCTTCCCTGCTTTTTCAACATGACTGATTCTCTCATGGGTCCATTATAAAAAAAAATGCTCACGGTCATTTGTTAAAAGTGAGAAGTGTCTGCTTTGATGCTTCTGAGAGCATTGCAGTAAAGTCAAGTGAATGAGAACAGCAGTGCTACTTATTTTTAGGTGTGAGAATGCACGTACTCAGCTTCTGGAATAGAGCTGTGTGCATCCTAAAAAGCACTATCAGCCAGCCCCATAGCATAGGGCTGACCAGCTAATAAAACAGTGTTACCAGGATGGATTTGAATCTTTTTCCACAAGAAAAAAAATACATCAAGTCAGACACAAAGAATTCACAAAGCTGTCAAAGACATGGGGCCCATGGAGCTGGGCGGTGTGTTTTAGGAGCTCGGCATCTGCTCCTGAGAACAGATAATTCCTCCAAGAGCAAATGAAATAATGAGCCAGTGACATTTAAGCAAAGTGTGTTATGAAAGAAGGAACAAAACCAGCATGAAAAATCACTTTTCCTGCAATGCTGTACTGACGCTACACATTGTGTTGAATATGACAACACAGAAATCAAAATGCAGCAGGTGGTACTACCTAGTAACTGCCACCACGTCACTGCCTCATTAATCACATCCCTGGAACTTCATCAGTGTAAAAATACTTGTGCTTTCTCCCCAGAGCGCTTTCGGGAGATGTAGCATTTCTCCTCCACCGGGTCTTCATGAGAAGCATTTCAGTTCTGGGCTCAGACAAACAGGTGGCCAAATGGATTCCTCTTGCCACTGAATACCAGATCATAGGAAGCTACGCCCAGACTGAACTGGGGCATGGTAAGGCTACAGAGAAATCACGGTTAGTGTAGCATGAAAGGCTCTCACCCACACTCTCAGGGGATGCGAGTTCAAGCCGTCCATGTCGCTGAGGTGGGGATCCTAGGGGAAGCATGACATTTGCTCAGCAAGCTAGAGATGCTTGCCTTTGGTTTGCCAGTGCAGAAAAAAGAGTGAAGGTAGGTGCTGGTGGTAGAAGGGGTCGGTCACCAACAGCTAGGCAGCGTGCTCCAGTACAGTCTGCCTCAGAGATCTCTGCAGATGGTGTGTCCTGCAGCCACTGGGGAGTTTCAGTGTTCCATGGTTCTCAGCAGGAAGGTAAACCCCAAAAGCTCAGTAACATCCATACCAGCTTCCCCTCTGTCTGTTCACCCTCATGATACACCAGGATATTTTTTATTTTTTTAAAGGAACTTATCTTCAGGGTTTGGAAACAACAGCAGTCTTTGATATCAGCACACAGGAGTTTATACTGAATACACCAACAATCTCTGCAATGAAGTGGTGGCCTGGAGACAGTAAGTACCCTGCATGATATTTCTGTTTTCTTCATTTGCTTCCTTCAGTTCCTTAGTCTGCTTTGCTTAAGCTCCATGTTTGAGGGTCCAGGTGCCAGCAGAGGACTTCAATAAGAAATGCAAACACCTTGAGGCAATGAGATCTAAGGGTTTCGTACAACTTTAAAGGCCAGAAGGAAGCCAGCATTATCTGTTAAAGCCCTTGGAAACATCAGCCTCTGCAGGAATCAAATCTTTGTAAATAGGACCAAAACCTGCAGGCAGAGAATTCCCTGAAAACAGGCAAGTCTCAGCATGAAGAATTCGAGAGTGAAATTCATGGCTTCCCTCAGGAAGGTGTTTCACATGAAAAACTTCAGTTCAGTCAGTCATTGGTAGCTGGATCAGATGCTCACCTGCTGCGTCCTTAGAGCCAAGAGCAGCTCAGAATGCAGATTTAGGCATTCTCCAGTTTCCAGCACCTGTCGATCACACCCACCCTGACCCAGGCACTAGCAATACCCAATACACATCAGCATTAACTGCTATGAAGCATTTGCACGGTGCCTAGTCCTAAGGGAACATGGCTGTTTCTCTTCTCACAGTGGGAAGGTCAGCAACCCACACCGTGGCCTTTGCCCAGCTCTACATCCATGGGAAGTGCTACGGTGTGCATCCCTTCATTGTGCAGATCCGCAGCCTTCAGGACCATTCACTGTGCCCAGGTAAATGTTTCCAGACACTGCTGCATCTCTCTGGCAACATCATCCATGCTGGGGAAGCAGAGCTGAATATGCCCTTCCCTTGAGATCCCCAATCCAATGCAAAATGGGGAGAAAAGGGGCCAAGCAGGAGTAAATAGGCTGTGTTTTCTCGTGCTGCAGGTGTAATTGCAGGAGACATTGGTCCTAAAATGAATTTTGAGCACATTGATAATGGCTACCTGATGCTGAAGAATGTGCGCATCCCCCGAGAGAACATGCTGAACAAGTTCTGTGAGGTACATAAAGTGTTCAAATCACAGATTGCCCGGTCAGAATCTCATCACAAGCCAGAGAGACAACTGGGACCTGCCTAAATTTAGGACAAAAGTCTCCCTTTGAGGTGTATGCAAGTCTCTGAAGTTTTATCAAGGATAGAAGTTATCCAAATCCTAAATGAAAATGTGCAGCTAGAATTCCATATTCAAAGGTTATGAGATGGTAGAAGATACCTAAGTAAAAAGCAGAACGAGTTTGTCTCTTCAAACAAATCGGTTCCATCCATCACACAAGGGAATACTGAGCCCTGCACTCAGTGCAGAATTTCAATGTTAATCGTACACTATGCATAGAGATTACACATCTCTCTGTAGGGAGAAGCTGCACCATCAAAAGACGACATCTAAAATCCTCTCTCTATTCTAGGTTCAGCCAGATGGCACCTATAAAAGGCGTGGGTCACAGAAGATTAACTATTTCACCATGACTTCAGTACGCGTTTCCCTCATTTCAGACGAAGTTATTCTACCTCTAATGAAAGCATGCACCATTGCCATCAGATACTCTGTGGTTCGCCGCCAGTCCAAGTTGAATCCTGGGTAATGCCACACAAGTCTGCAGCGCTGGGGAGGGACCTGACACTGTGTTCATCAGTCTGTATTTCCACTTTTCAGCTTACCTTTCAGCACATCTTTGGCTTATTTCCTTGTCTCACTGCACAGCTCAGCAATTCACACAAACAGCTGGCTCTCCTTAACCAGCCTGCCCAGAACTGCCCAGTCAGAACAGACAAGTTACTGAACTCTAATTCTGTCTTACTAATGGATGCAACATTAAAACAGCTTCCAACATCCATAGTTGATTTTGCAACAGTAAATTTTCTTAGTCCTTTAAGAGTCTCTGTAATTTTTAGATACTTGCATTTGAATAGATTTTTTAAATTCCCTCTTAAATCTGCTTCCAAAAGCAGGAAGATCCTCATGACAACACAGCTTGTTCCTAGTGTAAACCAAACACAAGAGCACAGCATGCTGAGTTATAACAACTCGTATCATCAGTTGAAGCCCCAAGTATATTGAACACAGCAGAAAAGATAAAGAACATAAAATAAAAAGCTTAGAAAGCTTAAAATAATTTAGATTGAAGTGTTTTCAAAGAAACTCAGGAATTGACCCAGCAGAGAGCTGTACATTTTTAACCAAACTCTACATTCAGAAAGTAATTCTAGCTGCAAGAAGCTTTTCTGTTTTCTATTTGGCTCAAAAAATTAAAGCTGCTGACAAAACAAAATAAAAAAAGCGTAGGTGCAGCTGTTAAGAGAGGCTTAATTATAACCTTGTCATTTCCATTTCACATTGAACAGGAAGCAGTGTCAGAGCACAGCTGCCTCTGCCCGCCTTGCAGGAGCATCAGCTGGGGCTGCCACTCTCCTTGCTGACCAGAGGAGCCAGTTTGAAAAACAAGAGCTTTTCAGGGTGCAGTGCCACCGCCTCAGCTACACCACCTTCCAGCTTGCTGCCCTGACAGACCTTCCTCCTCTTGCTCTCACACAGTCCCTGTCTTCTGCCCTCTGCACTGACCAATGGTGCAGAACTTTTTCTGACCTGACAGCCCAGTTCGCCAACACAGCAGAAAAATGACTGTTTTCCTAGTCAAGCTTGTCTGCCAGCTTTATGAGCTGGAGGGGACGGGGAGCAGGGAGACAAACCAGACCGGATCCATTTTCACTTACTGCTTCTTGGTAATGAAAAATGCAGTTCAGGTGAACTACCAGTAGCCGTGCCTGTGTCCACGCTTTCCATACTTCATTGCTTATCTCCCAACAGGGAAGAAGAAGCAAAAATCCTTGACTACCAGACCCAGCAAGAGAAGTTGCTGCCTCAGTTAGCAGCAGCCTATGCCTTCCATTTTATCAACAACTACCTGCACAAGCTGTTCAACAGGGGTTACAGAGAGATCCAGGGGAGGAATTTCGACTCGCTGCCAGAGGTGAGCCTCCACGGGATCAGCTCCCACAGCTATTCTGCATGTAATGCTCCTCTTCCCATCCCTAATTCTGAATCTAATTTAGCAAACTGGACAGTCATTGCTCTCACCACTAGGTAACGGGCTGAAGTGCTAAAAGATCAAAATCCTTAGAATCAGAATGGCTTGGTTTGAAAGCAGCCTTAAAGATCATCTAGCATCCTTGTCCCAGGCCCGCAACCACTCAGCAAGAGCATCTGTTGTACCACCCCAAATTTTTGGCTTTGGGAGCTATTGCAGAGTGAGATGTCCTTGAAAAGCCTGTTTGCCTGATAAAGCCTGTGTTCCCAATAGCTGGTGTGGCAAAGCTGTATTTCACAACTTCATCTACAAACACGTGCAAATATTCACTTCTGAGCCAAAACCAAAGCTTTTTACATAGACAGCATAAGAGTTGGCAACTGAAAGCCTAAAGTAAAAACATGTTTTGAACAAAGACAGCCAAAGCCACTGCTGCTTTAGAGAAACCCAAAAACGTGTAAGCCAACCACACCATGCCCAACACAGGGCTGCATGGCATCCCAGCAGAAACCAAAGGCCAGCATGGGGACTGGGTGCTGCACTGGCAGGCAAAGGAAGATCTCATGCCTAGGAGCATACTCAGAGGATTGCTTTAGAATGTTTTCATCATTCATACTGTGTTTTTCTTCCTTTTTTTCTTTTCTTTTTTTTAAAACAGCTTCATGCATTTTCTTCAGGCTTTAAAGCCATGGTTACTCAGTTCTGCACATCAGGACTGGAGATTTGCCTCAGGGCATGCGGGGGACACGGTTACTCTTTGTTGAGTGGACTGCCTTCCTTGTACACTAAAATACTTGCCTCTTGTATTTATGAAGGGGAAAACACCATCTTGCTCCTGCAAACTGCCAGGTAACAATTCAAATTCATTCAGCTGAAAGCTTGCCCCTTAATTTATTCAACTTCTACCTCTTCTTCTCCAAAACCAGTAAAACCAGCTACTCCTTTCTCATAGCACCTTCTAAAAATACAACTCAAGCCATAACCCATTCAAGTTTTCTGTCTAGTAGGCACGAAGTGTGTGGGAATTGGACTCTCTTCTATTTCAGGTTTTGGGGACACAGGCAGGTGCTGTTCTGCATAGACTAATTTTCCTCTTTGTCCAGCAATGCAGCAAAAGTGTTGCTATGCAAGTCCTGCAGTTTCTTTTTTCTAAGCAACAGACATTATGTGATATTGGTGAAGTAAGTGACTTTGATTCAGAAAAAGCATAGTTGCTGGATTTGATTCTAGGTGAGTCACGCTTCAGGAACACCAAATGAGTGATTATCCATAGTAGATGAAATCCAGGAGAAAGAAACCACATCTGCTTTAGCTTTTAATAATGTGTGCTTTTACTAGAAGGAGAAAACCAGCATACTTCCCACTGACCAAGGTGCTACAACATCCCTCTGTGCACGTATGCATACACTTCTGCACTCGTTATCACCTCTTCTTGAGAAATTCCATCCTAAAAGTTCATCACTACAGATTTCTGTAGCATTAAATGCAGCAGACAAGGTAGCCAAGACCCATCACAGATCAGGCTACTATAAATAGCATGCAAAACAAAAGCTCATCACTTAATCCATTTGGGGCTGCTGATGGGATAGGCTGCACCTGACTATTTCCCACCCAACCCAGGGAGGCCCCACCTCACTTCTAGCTTGGCTATTTGCTATGGAGATCATCAGCGTGGCCTGATCTGATTTTTACACTCTTTCCAGGTTCTTGATTAAGTGCTTCACAGCAGCTAGTGCCAGCCAGCCTGTGCCACCATCTGTCACTTATCTGTCTGCAATGAAACCCGGGAAGTGTCCTGCCAAGGACAAGTTGGATTTCCTCAGCCCGGACATTTACACAGAGGCCTATCAACATGCAGCAATCAGGTCAGTGAAATACATGAAGAGCTCAGCTTCTTCCTTGCTTTAAAGAGAAGTAAAATAATAAATTCCATAAGAATTGGAATCATCTATTCTCGGAAAGAGAGACTTAACCCCTCCCACAGGATTAATAGCCATGGCAGATGTTTGATAGGAAACTTTCATATTCAGAACATCAAACGTTCGTAAGCCATGTGCTACATAAAAACTGTATTCCACAGAGAGCTGATTCTATACAAAGCTGATGACACTGTTCAAGTAAATCCCAGATCACGTTAGCGAGTCGCCAACCTTTAGGCAATTGGACTTTGTGCCATTCTGTACAAGTTAAAATCTCCCTTGCCCGAGAGAGTGATGTTTGTGTTCAATTAATAACACAGCAATCACAGAGCTTTTCATTCCATCTGTAGTTTTTCAGCTACTCATTCAACTATTCAACACAATTAAGATTGGCAGTGAACGTGGTCTGGTAAGAATTATGGATCATAGAGGTGTCATCTGTGAAGACCAGGTAAACAGATGCACAGTTCTGCAGTCAGTCACAGTGACAAAAAGGAGAGCCATTATTCTGAAAGCTTTGGTGAAAGCTCTGTTTAGAAAGACAGTAAAACAATATAACATCAGTCTAATATTACTGTTGGTTCCTTTTGTTTTGCTAGCTCTCCTTAAACAAAACCTAAGAAAAACTCTAGAGGCCTCTAATAAACTATAATGGAAGCTGAAGGCAGAAATCCCTTAGTACTTGAATGGTGTGGGTGCTTCTGCCTGGTTTGTACTTTGGTTTTCCATAAGAGTTCCATCATACTGAGCCAACTTTAAATATCAAAACGCCATTTTGCTATGTGATCACACACAAGTCTGAGTATGAAACGAGTGCATTGTGGACTGCTATCTTTATATTCAGATGTGTTTTGGATTTTGTTTCCAATTTTCCAGACTGATAAGCAGCACAGCAGCTAAACTACAGGACTTGATTCAGTCAGGAGTCGAAAGGCACGAAGCGTGGAACCAATGCACAGTGCAGCTGGTACAGGCTGCAAAGGTTAGCAACGTTTTTGTGCTCATCTGACATTTGTTGTTAGGATACAGTATGCAGTGGAAACAGCACAATTAGCCTAAAAACCTCTCATCGCTTTTTAATGATGTGTGTCCCCATACAAGGGACACCACAAAGATCAGGGCCCCACTGTGGTCTGCACGGTAGAAAATCATACTAGGAAACAACTCCTGATCTGAAGACTTGGCTATCAGACTAGTCGAGGTAGAGGCTAAAGGATAGAAACAAAAAGCTGCCACCAGCACCTTCCACAGCCTGCAATCACAGCATACCATCTCCAGCTAATGCTCATCTTTTTTTACAAGCAGCCTGTATTTCTGGCTTTCAGTTGAAAGCCTCCCCAGTGCCATCCTTCTAAAAGCTGGAAGAGCCATTGTAAGGGTGAAACATGCTCTTTTTTTTTTTTTTTTTTTTTTTTAAATCTATGCTCTCACAAGGAAAGATAAAAGTGGGGATAATAATTAGGAGTGGTGATAAGTGCAGTCTTAATTACTGCTGGAAGAAATCAAAGTAGTAAAGTCAAATAAGAGACCTAAAAGCAGTTCCTAGTTCACATAGATAGATAGGCAATCTGCTCTCCTTCAGCTGAAATAGGATCAGGACAACAGTATTAGTTTGCCAAAACAAGGAGTTAATATAGAACTGAGCAGAAAAGAAAGCAAGAGGGTGGAAGGGCCCTAAATATAAAGGAAAGCCAACATCACTAATACTTCAGTAACTCCAGGAAGCAAAATTCTTTTTTAATGTGGTTATGTGCAATTTGACTGCAATTATGGTAGAAGTCTCCCTTCCTTCCTAAACTGAGGAGGGTAAGATTTGGAAACAGATCCATGGCTTATTTCAGCCTCATTCAGTGTTTAATGAAAAACATCCTGTTGTAACCTAGGCTTCAGCCAGAACCAACCCTAACCTAAATGGACTGAGAAAGAAGTCCCCCAAGGGAAGGAGGAACCCTACATATACCTAAACACAGCAATAACATCTAGATAATTCCACAGTAGGAAGGTGCCTGAGGGAACAGCCACCTACTACTCAGTCAATAAGATGAAGTCTTTGATGAGCCAAATTTTCTCAGCAAAAAAAAGTGAAATTGTTTCAAAACTATTAGAAGTATTGATTCTATCATGCTCATAAGCACAGTTAATCTTTTCAAACAAGAACTGACTGAGAAAGTGAGCTGGTACTACAAGTTCTCAGTGACAGCGTTGTGATCACCTGTCTGCTGTGTCACTGCTGATTTTCAATTACACAGACTCAGCGGAAGCAGCAAGCATCAATGCTGTAAGCCTAACAGAAAGTAAAAAAAAAAAAAAGCAGAAGAAGAGGAGGAGAAGCAAGGCTCTTTAGAAGGAAACTATTTCCAAAGAGCTTAATACCCAGAGAGGGGATCTGGGCCCCCACTGCTTCTTGGATACTTCAGGGAAAGTAACAAAATCTTGTCTCCACCATAGCTTTAAAACCATGACAGCCTGCTGCTTTCTTGGGGTGCTTCTGTATTTGCTTTCTACTCTGTTTGCTTTTTTTGGAGACTCATTGCTGCCCTGGCAGCTCTATGAACAAAAGCCTGCCAGCTTTCAGCCAGGTGGCTCAGACACCATTGATGGCTTTGCTGCAGTCTCCACAGATTATAATTGCTTGAGTAGACACCCAGCTTCTCAGGCAGGTTCTGCAGTCTGCGCTGACCTCCACGCTGCTTGACCATGCTGCAGTGCAGGTGTGCCTTGCATACACCCACAGCTGGGAGGAGAAATGTAGAGCAGAGGAATGAAGCCGTGCAGACACCAACACCACTACCCACTCGGAGGAGTATCAGCATAACAAGAGTCACCCCCACAAACAGGTGGAGTCATTTTGTTTCACTCACTCTGGAGCTAGGCTGTGCTGAGCTTAGTATTTCTGTAAGTGAGCAGATACTGCCAGTGCCTGACCCAGAAATCATCAGTTTACTTAAAACAGCAAAAACAAGAGGTAAGTTGGATTGTCCTTTCACTGACGATGTTTTCAGAGCTGAAGCCATATAGCCACTGACTCCAATGTACCATAAGCCCAACAGAGACATTTTTCTTCTGCTATATATAACCAAAGTTCTCTTGGTAGAGATTGACACAAGCACATTCCAATGCATTTCCATCATGTAAAAAAATCTTTGGGGTATTCATCAAAACTATGTGAAGTACTGCCATGATTTCTCAAGTTTACACATACCAGCATTGACTGCTTACACTCCCATTCCTTTCCTCTACTGTTTTAAGTAAGACATGAAAGCAGAACGCTTAGTCAACCAGCGGACAAGGGATACAGGCTGGAAAACTGCCAGTGAAATGAAAAGGTTTTATGTTCTTTGTGAGAACGTTTGCGTCACTTGGCCTACTAAAAGTGTTTAGAGGTGCATTCACTGTTGATTGTATTTGTTTTCCAGGCTCACTGCCACTACATCACTGTGAAAAACTTTGTAGAGACTGTGGAAAAACTTGAGAACACGGCCGGCATCCAGAACATTATGAAACATCTTTGTGATCTGTTTGCATTACACGGTATCTTCTCGAATGCGGGAATTTTCCTGCATGATGGATATATAACTGGAGCTCAGATGGACATGGTCACAGCATCATACCTGGAGCTCCTGGGGATCATTCGGTGAGCCATTCTTGCACAAGAAGATCACAGCTATTCAGTTTCTCTGTGCATTAAGTATAAAATGGTACTGCTGTACCTATGGCAACATGTTCAGTCAATTCACCTCATTCAGTTTTTATTTTCCTTGCCTGGCAGCATTAGAAATTGACTAAAACATCTACACAAAGCTCATTTTCAGAGCAAAATAGATTTAAGATTCCAGCTCCCATGCAATTACTAGATTAAAGTTCAGTAACATGAAATCCTGAGGTATAAAGCAAGAAAACCTGAATATTCCATTTGCAGCAAAGCAAAAGCAGGAAAATACCCAGTCAGAACATCACTTAAAGGAAACAGCAACAACAACTCATTATACACTGCTAAGTCTGCTTTAGCTGCACTTACATAGCCTACTCTGTTGCCATGGCTGACTTGCAACAGGTACCTAAACAGTTCTGACTACAGCCAGATCAGATGCATCTGCTCAACACCATTCATTACTAACTAACGTGGCTTCTTGAGATATGCTAAGGTTTTAACTTACCACAGCACTCACAAAGGCTTTTTCACTACTCACTGCTGTTAAGAGCAGATTAGCTTCTGATGCAGAGAAGTGAGAAGTGTGTGAAATCCTACTTAGGTCACCTGGAGAGAAACAGGAACACACCATAACCAAGAGTTGAACAGGACCAAGCAAGTATATTTGGAACTAATCACAGAATTAAAGTGGTAACAAGCTTAAGACTTTTACTCAGAGCTTTAACAGAACATGTCTCTGAGGAATCAAAGCAGAGCTTCCTGTGCAACGCAGACAAGGGGAAAAACTGGCACAAGCATTTCAGACGAAGGAACTTGCATAGCTGACTTTCACATTTCTCTTTTTTCATCTACTCCTTAGGAAGGATGCTGTTCCACTAGTGGATGCTTTTGACTTCACGGACAAGAGCCTGAATTCTGCACTTGGCAATTACGACGGACAGGTCTACCAGCGGCTTTACGAGTGGGCTCGGAAGGCACCGACCAACAAGCAGGTATGGATGCTGGATTACAGCCAGGCAAACTCTGTATGAGCCAGAACAGAAATTGTTTGCTTTTCTTCTAAGAAAAGCCATGTGGATATAAGCAATTGGAGTAAGACATCTTACCTGTCATTATCTCACTCTGAACAGTGAACCCTGATTCTCGAATTATTCCTCCTGTAGCCCTAGGTCAGGCAGTAAGTAGCTTGTGGGCTAGATGGCAAGGAACCACAGCTTGAGCAAGGGAGCTGGACCAGCCCCAGTGACCAGTGTGGTTTTGATTTAGATGTGTGACAGTGAAGTAACACTGCACAAAGTAAACTACAACGAAAGCATGTTTACATGGTTAACACTATGGAACAACTCTAGATGGCTGCAAAAGCCACTAACTGTGGGATATTTTCCATTCACCAGTACTTTTTCCAAGCGCAGTACTTTTTTTTTTTAATAATATGCTCATCCAGAAAGAGAATAAATGTTAAATTAGGCAATTTCATCCTTTGTCTTTAGGATTTTACTTTCACTTCTTAATGCATCCATACTGTGGAGAAAAGTAAAATCCCTCATGATGCAAATGGCTGTTGCTCTGTTTGAAAACTCATTTTGCCTTAAGTGAAATTTTTACTGTGGTAAACAGCAATTCCTTTGAAATACTACAGCTTGCCTTTAGCAAACGTTCCAGTTGAAGCACATTTTTTGAAGTTAAATAGTATGCTGTCACATTTGGGATGAGAAGTATTGTGTACTGGTTACGAAGGACAGTGCACATTACAGGGAAAGAGACCTTGCACATAGCTGGTTACTTTGTGGCTTTTTTTAATATGATCTAGTTTCTGCATTTCAGAGATGAGGAAAACGAATGTATAACCTGCTCTTCCTCCTTAACTACCATTAATTCCCTTCCACATTCTCTTTCCAAACAGATAAGCCCAGCCTATGAAAAGTATTTGAAGCCACTTCTTCACAACAAGCTATCGAAATTATGAAGACTGTGACCCAAGTGAGGTCGCACTCGCTCTCTGCAGCACTGCACTTATGAAGCACGAGTATTATTAATCAGAGATTAATCATCAGTTGCTTACTTGCAATTGCGACAAGTACGAAACAATCACTAGCGAGCCATTTGCATTTAATCAGAAAGAAGCCAAACAACTCTGAGTGGTACCCACTGTTCTGAAGCAGCCTAGTCAGAAATAGTCCTGTTTTTGTTGTTTGCTTGCTCGTTGGTCCTTGCTTTTGAGGAACAACTTATTCTTGTAGATCAAGAAACATGTTAGAAAATGTATTTGTTTGGAGAATGAAAAGAGCTCTGAACTTGCTCAGCAATCAAGTATTTCTGGCTCATGAAGAATCACACACAGCTGATGTCAACTCCTGCCTGCAAAGATTACTTTCCCATTAACAGAGTCATTCATACTGTCTTTTGATAAATCTTTGATTGCAATAAAGTCTATTTGGAATACTGCTTCCCTAGTTATTATACTTGATAATTACAAAAAGGTGAGGCTGATCCAGGCCCCTCATTAATTTGCTAGTAAATTAAGTGTTGCAAGGAACACCTTGTGACTGATTATAATGCAGTGACAACACAGATACTTTCTTACCAGCAGTTCTGCTGCACTTCATCAGTTCAGCTTTTCTTTTCTGCTTTCAGAAGAATGAAACTTTCACGACGTCTTAATACAAAAGTCAGAACCCCTAAAATGCATGAAAAGGGGAGATAAAATAGGGCAGAGGAAAATACCTTCAAACAGGCCTTCTGACTGAGAGCTGAGATGCAAGGCCCCAGGCTTCAGAAGGCTGCAACAACCTGAGGAACCCTGATCCCTCTTTGACATCTCCAAATAGCGACACTCCACACTTTAGGAAGCAAAGCAGCTGTGGTAAGAAACCACTGTGACAAGAACTTGAAGGGAGAACGTGATCCATTCAGTCCAAATAAACATTGAATCTCTACTCTCAAGAGAATTAAGTTAGAACACAACCAGAAATTGTGAAAGTAACAGTGACACAGTGGCCAAGAGAAGCAGGAATGGCTACATGAAATTAGGTAAGAACACAGAATCTCAGTTCCTTGACTTGAACATATCGGAAACAGCACTCTGTAGTTAAAGACACAGAATCTTATTTGTATTACATATATAAAAATCCATATGTGATATAAGCAGCTATCAGATAGATCATTAAAATGGGATAACAATGCAGCTACAAGTATTTTTAGGTGCTGTGTTCCCTTTATCTCTACAGAAAGTGCGAATCCTTGCCATCCCTCTGTTGGTCAAAATGCCTCGTTTTCCAAACACTTTTGTTTTCCTGTGATGAGGACAGCTTGATCAACTAGTTAAGACAAAAAGGAACAAAGTATGTCAGTAGTGAAAGAGAATGGAGCCCTAGCAGAGCATCTGTGCTATTCTGCAGCGCTGAAAAACAGCCTTTGGGGTTTTTATTAAGTATTAGAGTTCTAGAAGACAAAAAATACAAGATAGTATTCTATATTTCACATTTTTATTAGCTTCTTGCTGGCAGGCATTACACTTGGGAATAATATTGCACCAGGCATTAAAAATATGAATTCTACCACAGGGACATTTTGCATTCAGAATCCAATATAAATATTTCTAATCATATTTCCATGGCTACAGATAGTATTTGGTTGCTTGATTTATATGCATAGAAAGAAACAGTTGTCATAACTGTACGAAACTGTACTTATCAAGTACTTTTAAAGGGTGGGATTTTTTTTCCTAGAATATTACAATACTGTTTATTGATTTAGAAGCTAAATTAGTCTATGTGATAGCAGCTTTTCGCCATCTGCCTCTTAGATTCCGTTTGTTTCTTGCTCCCAGTGGCACAGGGTTAGATGGATTAGAAACCATTTAAACTGAGGTAATTTTAGCACTTTAAGTTGCGTCGGAATTGTGTTAATGACACAAAATACCCTCCTGTACTAATTCTTCGGACTCCTTCTTTCAAACAAAAAGGTGTCTTGACTGAACAGGCACATGCATGTTTTTATTCTGGATGAAAGGACAGAACTGCTAGAGAATGAAACTTCTCCAGTCCTTAATGATAAACAATAAATACTCATATATATATATATAAAAAAAAAAAGCCCGCAGTGTTACGTCAGCCAAAATCCAGACTCTCTTGGCTTTACTGTTCAATTAAGTCACTAATAACTGAAACGGCTCCTGTGGAGTCAGAGTCAGTCATCTGTTTTTCGTGCCAGTCTACAAAAAGTCCAGTTGTGCTCCACTGTGTTTTCATTGGCACGCTCACTCATGTGATGAACTCTGGTATTCCTGATCGTGAAGCCTTGCTTTGTGATGTACTCCATAAGATGCACTCTGAGAGACACTTCCTGGTGGTAATCGCATGGCCCAAAAGTGAAGGAAACCTGGCAGTCCCTGGTGTCCATCATATGCTTATTCCACTTCGTGAAGTGGTTTGAAATGCCTTCCAGTAACGAATGGACTTTCGTTGTGATGGTGAGCTGCGTGATGATCACAGCCACCGGGTTGGAGTACTTGGACAGCTTGCGGGTGCTGGAAAGCTCCACCACCTCCTCAAAGGTATCCACAGGATACAGAGGCTTGGGGTCGTTGAGACACTGAATCAGAGGTTCAATCTGATAGAAGTCCGCCTCCTTCCGAAGTAGGTCGAACTCCTTGAAGTCCAGTGGCAAAGTTAGCTCTGAGGTCCTTAAGAAGTTAAGAACGTAACGGAAAAGTGGTCCGTCTCTGTCAATGAAGTAATTGCCCTGAGAGTCCCTGGCAGTGGGGAAGTCTCCCCTGAACATGGCCCCAAGCATTGAGTCAGGATATCTGGTGAGAGTTGTGAGGGATGTCGTGTACATGTGTCCACCCACATTTAGCGTGACTGGATCAGTCATCTAGAAAGAGAGAAATCGCAGAGTTTATCAAGCCACGACAAGAAGGTCCACCAAGGCACATGGCAAATACTGCTTGAGAACTGGTGGCTCTGGAAGGAACCTCACTTCTCCCGTTTGAAGTCTTTCAGTGATGTTTAAACCTGAACAAATCCAAGCCTAGCAACAAGGCACAGCTGACAGGATAACAACATTTAGAAAGCACATTTTGAGAATGCTTTAGAAATCTTAACAGGGCTACTGTCACAGAAGGCACTTTTGCACATGAGGAACAAGTTTTTTCATATTTTACAGATGAGGAAATGAAATCAGAGACATTTCCTGAAGAACAAGTTTATGTGAATGAGGTCCATCAGTGCTCCTCGCTTTCAAAATCTCATTCAAGAATAACAGCATATCAGCTGAACAAGTCTTAAGACTTTTTCACCCTCAAAAGAGGAAGACAGTACAAGTTTAGGCACAAGACAAAGAGCTCACAATCAAAATAATCCATGCACTGGTTAAGAGGAATTATTAAAACAAGAGAACTAAAGCCTTCCAGCTTTTAATTCTCAGAAGAAGCATTTATTAGAAAATTAGCATGCTGCGTAGAAGAGGGGGCAGAGCACCAAACCAGTCTGCATCAGCTTCCAGATAGTACATGAGGAAGCAAGAAGAAAGCAACATAAATCCCATCTGGCCACCATCCTAACAGTCAGGACTGAGGCCAGACAGTGGAAAAAAAAAAAAAAAAAAAAGCGACATATGCATGGCAGCAGAATGTTTAGAGAATGAGAACAGGAGAAAAATAAGATACATTTGTCTGATTTCAGACAAGGTTTAAAGGAAAAACATTTTTCCTTATAAATAACGCAAGAAAGTCCTTAAAATTATAGGCAAGAAGCACAAACTGTTTTCAGTCTGTGTGTGTTAGGAAAATGGTAACAATGAGCTTAAGACATCAGTTAAATTCTTGCTGATTTTAGCTAGGCTATATGAACATGAGCACATCCCACAAATGGCACATACGACAAAGCACTCCAGAAAACGTGAGCAAGCTGTTACTACATGCACAACTCTTGTTCTCACACTGTGAAGCCTCGATCCACACAGGACAGATCAACAAGGAATCTTACCTCAAGATCTTGAAAGCCCAGTTGTGCTGCTCAGCACACACACATTCACTCAGGATCACTTACCATATAGCCCCAGTCTCCATTATCCATCTGTTCAGTTGCTGAACCACGGTACTCCAAGTTGAACAGAAGGTTATTGAGAGATTGCAGTCCACCTCCTATTAGCTCCCTGCAGAAAAAAGCACACACACACAAAAAAAACCACATGGCAGGCTGTTCAGTACCTACAAGAACCACCAAAGGTGGTTTTCTAATCAAAGGCAGACTCTCTGCCAGGACAGCATGCAGCCATAAAGCCATATTAGCAGAAGAACAAATGAGCTTTTCCCTGCATCTCCCTCTGCACTACCCACAGCACTGCCCCCTGAGCACATGGTAAGCACTCTGCTGGCTGTTCTGACCACCCAGACTTGTTAAATAACAGCATGTACCTCTGAGGATAAATTCTGTTTACAGACTACTTCTCATCAGGAAAACTGCAAGTCCTTTGAAGGACGGGCATCTTTTTCTCAATTAACAAAGTTCATTTATTCACCACTGAGGTAACACGCACGACCCATTAACATCAGCCAAAATTCCCATGCTCCACTTTAAACTGTGCAGAATAAATCAAGCACAAAAGTCAATGAACAGCGGGAAAATGAATTCTCACTGCAGAATTAATAATTCAGTAGTGGAGAACTGCAATTGATAACAAGAACTTTAATCTACAAAGGAAGAGTACGAACGGACTTCACAGACACAAACATGCTCCCGAAACAGACCTCCTTAGGGACGAGCAAGAGGACAGCAAACGTGCTTTCAATGATGCTCCAACAAAACCAATCTGAGCAGTGGATCACGCTGCAACTTCCCAGAAGATGTGGAACCACCAGCTTGCATAACAGGGGCAGGGGCTGCACACAAGCGTTGCAAGGGAAACCCACAGCCCAGCTTATGCAACCCGAGGGGAAAAAGGTACGAGTGACCCCCGACACAGCTGAGGCCTTCCAAAGGTGCCCTGCTGCCCATGGATAGAGAAGGCAGCAAGCCTGTATTCCCTACCCATAATCTGCATCTCTGCTACAACTGCTGGAAATTTAGGTCAGCCTGTTTTAAGTAGGGTGCAGCTTCTCAGTTTTGTTTATTTTTACATCTTAAAGACAACACAGCTACTGAGGCTTCTGCTCCCAGCCTCAGTGCTGGCAAACTTCAATGCACCATCCCTCAGCTAAAAGGAGCTGGGAGATTTAAGCCAAGACAGAGTCCTGCTTTCTCAAGCACCAGCTAATTCCCAGCCAAAAAATGACTCTTCCTTCTCATTCCCTTCAAACAAGGTTGGTATCATTCACCACAGAGCAACACAGCAGATCCATCTCCGGGCTCTGCTATCCCGCCCAAAGCCAAAGCCAGGGCTCAGCAACTCCTGGCCCTTGGGAGCCAGCAGTGTGAGCACAGCCTCAGTGGTACCTGAGATGTATTAAGAGAAGAAAACACAAAATCCCTGTATGAAAATTATGAGGTCAGACAACAGAAGCCTATGGAATTAAGACACAGAACGAGTCAAACCAGGATCTTACTTTCACAAGTGAGAGATGCAGCATGCCTGAAGAAAGCATATTAAATCACACACCCCCTGACAGCAGATAAACCTGGAATGCTAGCTCTTTTGCCAACATCTGTAGTTGTTCTGTTAACTGCTGACAAATGAAGAAGTGAAGTCATTCGGGTTTTCTCCATTTTGACTTGTCAGTCAAGTACAGATCATCACCTGTTACCAATAGTTGAGATCCCTTCGACTCCAGTTGCTCTGTGCTTTTTTCCTTAAGGAACAGGTACTTGCAGCTGTCCCCCTGCTCAAGTACAGCACCAGCATAGCATGCAGACACATTAAAACCACTGGAGAGACTGCCTAGGGTTCTGACATGCAAGAAAAACATTCACTTGAAGAGGAAATAATGCAGCTGGCCAGAAATGTCACTGGCAATCACAATATAAGAGATCAGCAGTTTTTTTATAAACTTAACTGGATCTTCACACTCAGAATATTCCAAAGGTAGGTAGATGTCCATCAGTTACTTGAACACACGGAATGACACTTTGTTATTCTGGCCAATGTCTAAGCCCCTATACGGATTAATCTGGACTTTCCCCCACTCCATGCCTGTTCAGGGGAAGAAACAGACTACATTGCCTGTCCATTCGATGGCATGAACTCATCTTTGATCACAACACTGCTATGTAGCAGCACAATGAATAATTTACGAGAGCAATTAGCAGAAACGAACCCAGCCCTCAACACAGAAATGCAGCAAGAAGTCTCACTGACCTTTGTGTAAGAGTCCAGACTCCTACACAGACCTACCCGGCAACGCTCACAGTGCACCAAGAAGCACAGCACACAAGGTGCTATGAGGAGGCCATCCCAAAACACCTGGATGTGATCACAGCTACCTGCTGCTTCCCTGGCCAGCCTGGCAGCACCAAATTTCTAGACAACTTCAAAGGCAAAAATAGCTCTGTTCAGGTACAACCAGAGATAAGGACTAGCAAACCACATCATAACAAGGGTGGGGAAACGGGCCCTTAACAATGTGCCTTTCAACAATGCTCCAAATTCTTCCTGAATGAAAGTTTGTGACGCAGGAGGACGCAGAACCTCACTCCATCTATACTCCAGGACAGACAGCCTCAAGCCAGCGCCAGTCCATGTCACACAATATGCATCACCCAGGTACAGAACCTCAGCAGCACGGCTACTTGTGTCCAGGCAGCAAAGAACAGGTGATGTGCAGATGCAGCCCAAGACAAATTGCCTTTAAAGGCCGTAAGAAATGCTCACCTAAAACAATTCTCAGCCAGACCAACTTCTGACACCATTTAAGCAAAACAGGACATCATTCTCTGGTGAGAACACAAGCAAACCAATGGACTCACATCCAGTCCTACTTTCACCAAGCTTTTCCTGTCAGCAGGGAGAAGATCTACAGCTGCCACCATAGCCTAAGTACATCCAGAACGAGGAAGGAACAATAAGAGACAAGTACCTTCAAAGAAAAACACCGAAGTCACCATTTTGTAATAAATACACCAAATTGGATACCTGCATTTATAAAACACTCACTCTTACTTAATATTTGATGACTCAGAAGATTACAAGACTATTTACTAGCAAGGTTACTGCAACAGGTAGTCTCATTAACTTCAGCAGGGCTTCTCCCAGGTAGCTACTAACATGCAACCATTTTGCAAGCTGAAATTCACAGAAAGCAAATGAGAGCTGGCTGAATGTCTGCATCTGTGAACAGACACACACACACATCCAGGACAGAGCCTGGGGATGCCAGCAGCAGTGCCAAGTGTTTGCACTGCTGGGACTGCAAACAGCACACTTGGCCAAGGGCACAGACTGCACACGCCGCACCTGGACAAAACCACAATGGTTGTACAATGGTTGTACAATGGTTGTACCATCCTGCACAGTCAGATGGAGGAGGAGAAACGCACCCAGCAGTCACAAGCCAAAAGGCAGACATCACCTGATCTGCTCTGAATGCTTTTCAGCTACCTTGCTCGAAGTGAAGGACACAGACTGTTTATTGTTTACACAAACTGTTTAGTCTCAATAGGTACTGAAGACTTCAAGGTCAATATAAAGTTGACAGGACTTCTAATAAGCTAGTCTGTTATTTATACAGATAAATACCTGTGGCTCAAACTACTCTCCCACTTAGTGAGCTCACTGTCTCTGACATTTGGATCTCTAAAGATGAGAAAATGAAACTCCTGCTCTCAGCAGCTACACTGTAAATGGACAGCCTCTCTAATCCTGAGCCAGTCTTGAAATCCAAAGGCAAGTTTTTATTGTAAATCATTACTAGTGACTCACCTGAATTGACAATACCTCAGCTAGTGTAATTAATGACTGTCCTCCACAGAACTGCAGAGCAAGGCAATAGTCTGCAGAGCAAACCCAAGGCCCTACAGTGCTGAGCTACCCCAAGCAACGAGCTATGTTATGGAAACAACTGGTTACCAAAACTTCCAGTAATACCACAGCTTGGCATGGCCGAAGGATGAATCCCTCACCTACACGCGTCAAGTCTACAATGATTAACACAGTTTATTAGAACGTAACTTCTCCTTACTTTCTCTGTTTCATTTGGTTAATATTTCAGTCTTCACCTCAGGCAAGAGAGCAAAATACTAACAGTGGCCACTCAGCATTCTCACTCCTTTATGCCTAATTGCTACACTATGAATTCTAAGCTCTGAAAGTTTTTTTTTCCCCACACCTGAGGAACTCTAAAATCCTGGTTTGGGTCTGGGTTCTACAGTGTCCACCAATCTGACAGATGCTTGAAAATCCCACCTCACTATTACCATTTGACCCTCCTCATGCAGGAGTCCAAAGACTGCAACTGCACCTGCCCTGCACCTGCTGGCCCTGCACTGCTGGAGCCACACAGACGCTCTGCACAGTGTCGATAGTTGGTTTTACCCACATATCTTGTTCTATGGCACCAATAGGCAGCTATCTGCATGGGGAAATCCATCCAAGCAGTGCTGGATAAAGGCAGGTGTCAGGAGCACAGAGCATCCCACACAGCCAACAAGGCTATCACAGGGACCAAGCAGCAGGACGGTGACAAGAATCCTCCTTTCATGCCCAGGCCCGCAGGAGGAGCTGGGAACAGCAGCTTTCCATGCCGGAGGAACGCACGGTAGGAAATCTCACTCTGAGATCGCAATGATTCAGCAAGGATGCTGGACACGACTGCACCGCTCCACTCGCTGCCCCCAAGTGCCCAGTGCCTGGATACAGCGCCTGAACAGCGCTCCCGGCCCCAGCCCGGCCCTCCTGCACCGAGGGGCAGCAGGAGCTGCCATGCCAGGTGCAGCACTCCACCCCGCGCAGCCCCCCCCCGAGCTGAGGGCCGGGCCCCGCACCTGCCGCCCTGCCACAGAATCCCAAATGTGACCCGTGTACGCCGCAGCTCCGGGCACCCGCAGTCCCACGGGGGACACGGCCCCGCTTTCCCCCCACCCAGGGCGGGCTCTGGCCGCTCGCAGCCCCGCGTTCCCCCCACCACCCTCCCACAGAAGCGCGGCCCGTCCCCGCCCCTCCCCGCACTCACAGGCGCAGCTCCCGGCGCTGAGAAGAGCCCGGCGAGGATGGGGACGACTGAACGGGGAGCAAAGCAGCCGCCGCGGGAGGGGAGGAGCGGAGGCGGGGTCTGACGCGATCCCCTCCCCGTCTCTCCGCCCGCCCCGGTCGGGTGAGGGAGGGAAGCCGCCTCCTTTCACCTCAGGGCCGCCGGCGGAAAAATCTCGCTCCGCCCTGCGCCTCCGCGCCGGGCCGCCGTATCATTGAAGCGGAGAGATGGGGGCGGCGGGGCGATGCGGCCGTGGGCGGCCCCGGCGCCAGGAGGCGATGCCGCAGTGGGCGCGCACAAACTCGGGCCATGCGCCTATCCCTGAGCGCGGCTCGGCCCTGCACGACGGGCCCGGCCGCCGCCACTACCGCAGTGGGGGGCCGGAAGTGACGAGTTAAAAGAGCGCCGGCTGCCGGCACGAGTTCTCGCGAGAGTTCGGGGCGGGGCCGAGGAAGCGCGGGGGCCGGGCTGTCGCCCGGTGCTAGAGGACACGGCCAAGATGGCGGCGGCGGGAGCGTTGCGGCTGCTGGTTCCGCGAGGCCGCCTTCTTTCGCCGCGCAGGGGCCTCCACCTCTCCGCGCCCGCCGCCATCCAGGTAGAGGCCGTAAGGGGGGGATCGGGGGCGAGGGGCTCATCCCTTCCGAGCGGGGCGGTGCGGGAGCGCTGAGGGACGCCCGCTCCGCTCTGCCCTGCCTTGTGCCGCTGTCCCGCAGGTGACGGTGCGGGACGCGCTGAACCAGGCGCTGGACGAGGAGCTGGAGCGGGACGAGCGCGTCTTCCTGCTGGGCGAGGAGGTGGCCCAGTACGACGGTGCCTATAAGGTGAGGGGCGGCCGCTGCCGGGCCCGGGGTCGGGGCTTTGCGGGGTCTGACTCCGCTCCGCTCCGCAGATCTCCAGGGGGCTGTGGAAGAAGTACGGGGACAAGAGGATCATCGACACCCCCATCTCTGAGGTACGGCGCGGGGCCCGCTCACCCCGCGGGGCTCTTCGTGGGCCGCGCTCCGGCGCTGATTCTGTTTGCTCCTCTTCCAGATGGGCTTCACGGGAATCGCCGTCGGTGCCGCGATGGTCAGTACAGTACGCCCTTCCCCCTTCTGAACCGAAATACAAAACGAGCTGCTTTTGTGTTAAAACGTGGCGTATGATCTGACTTTGATAGGCGGGCTTGAGGCCGGTGTGTGAATTCATGACGTTCAACTTCTCCATGCAAGCGATCGACCAGGTTATCAACTCTGCCGCCAAGACCTGCTACATGTCTTCAGGAGCCATCGGCGTCCCCATTGTTTTCCGTGGGCCCAACGGTGCTTCGGCTGGCGTTGCTGCTCAGCACTCGCAGTGCTTTGCTGCCTGGTACGGGCACTGCCCGGGGCTGAAAGTCGTCAGCCCTTGGAGCTCAGAAGATGCTAAAGGGCTGCTGAAGGCATCGATCCGGGACGACAATCCAGGTGAGCACAGTCAGATCACAGCAGCATTTAGCTCTCATTTCTGAATGTTTCTTTTCCTCCCCTACCTCATGTAAAAAATAGAAAATTATTCAACACTTAAGCATCAGCATCAGTACACCTTAACTGCTTTCCCCTTACTTGGGGTCACTTGGCTAGCTAGCAGCAGACTAATTTTGTGCTGTTCTAACCTGCTTCCATGTACCCATCTAGAAGCTTTAAAAATGCATTTATGCACCCATTGTAAAGGCATTATAAAGGATGAAGGTGAGTCAGGAGAAGTTCCTGCAGATACGGTACAATGTAACCCATTTTTTAGAGATGATGAAGCTTAGATGATAAAATTCAGAATCTCATTAATCAAAAGCAGGGTAACCTGCATCTTCCTTTCTCACGAGCACCCATGCAAAATGTAAGACTTATCTGAAGCCAGCAGTTCTACAGAAATATTTCTTAGCCATGACTTTTCCAGTTTTCCCTTGATCTACTTTTAGAGATGAGTATGCAGACTCAAATTTTACAGAGGTTTTGTAAGTCAGCATGGGCTTCTCAACTCCTGTTTTCTGCCAGGCTTTCTTTGTTTTGATTTGTTTTTTGTTTTTTTTAAAGGAAAAATTATATGAAGGGCTTTAAATCTTGTGTAAAATTATATTGCAGTCATACACCTGGTCACTGCAGGTGTGACCACCTTTTAAATACTGTATTTAAAATAACTGAGTAGTGAAGCTGACTTTTAATCTTTTGTATTGCTTTTGCAAATATTCTGCTGCAGTACTGTTAATCATAAGTACAGCCTGTTCCTGCAGAAGTACAAATTAATCCAAGTACTTTTTGTTCTAGTTGTGATGCTGGAAAATGAATTGCTGTATGGTGTTCCCTTTGAGATGTCTGAACAGGCACAGTCAAAGGACTTTGTTGTTCCAATTGGAAAGGCCAAAATAGAAAGGGAAGGTAAGCTGAGAACATGGTGTATGTATTTGTATTCATCCTTACTAACCGAGCTGCCTGGGGAATCTTAGCTATTCAGAATACTGCTGTATTCAGAATACTGCTGTATGGGACACAGGAGCATATTTAAAATGTTAAATACTTAAATATTATTTATCTTATTGTACTCAATTGTTTTGTTCCCCACATCTCATTTAAAATTGTAACTTTCTAAAAGGTTTCTTTCTTGATCTAGGGATGGTGCAGGTGATGAGCAGGAAAGTTCTCCTCACCTTAGTATGTAATTTTTGTTAAAAATGCAGAAGAGATGATTGTAATTTTTCAGCCTGTTTGTAATTTACCACTGAATAACATGAACGTGTAAAAAGGATAATCCAAAGAGTACTAAAAACATTACTTAGATCCCTGAATTAAAAGGTTTTTTGTCTTCATGTAGTCCTGCTGCCACTCTTCATGGGTGTAGAATACTCAACATTTCGAACAAACATATGGAACTTTAAATTTGCAAGATAATACTAATGCTACCTTCAAAAGAGCCCAAGAAAAATGCCTTTTTATCTGTATTTTTTTCTTCTGGGTTTGTTTCTTTTTAACACTTGTTTCTGTTCCAGGAACTCATGTTACATTAGTGGCACACTCTAGGCCTGTTGGGCACTGTTTGGAAGCAGCTTCTATCCTGGCCAAAGAAGGTGTTGAGTGTGAGGTGTGTGGTGTTTCTGTTGCTTTTCTCTCTCTCTTGTCTGGGAAAAAGGCAGAGGGTCACCTTGTTCTGCAGAGCCTGAACATCAGTTTAAAAACTACAAGCTTTTATAAGTGCCTTAACTATCAGTGTACGTGCATTTCTTGTTTCTGTGTTTGACCTTTTCATCACAAAATCAAGTCAGAACTACTAAAGATTTTCAGGCTGATCTACCTGTACAATGAGCAGAACAACGACAGCATGTGGCAGCATAATTATATATAGCAGGACTCATCAAGCATTTTTCAGGAGCCACCAAAAGCCGTTCTGCAGATCTGTCAGGATAAGCAGTAATTTCATTAACTTTAAGTCTTCCTGTCAAAGTCAGAATAGATCGTAGTGCTGAAGGACCCTGTGCCCAAACAGCAGCAGATGTCAGGATTGGATCTCAGCAAAACTCACGCGGTGCCTTTTTTTAAGGTTGTCAATCTGCGCACCATCAGACCAATGGATATTGAAACGGTGGAAGCCAGTGTTGCAAAGACAAACCATCTTGTAACTGTGGAAGGAGGATGGCCACAGTTTGGAGTAGGAGCTGAAATCTGCGCCAGGATCATGGAAGGTACTGACTTCTGCATTCTGCACGTTGATCTAAATCCTCGTGACTTCTTGATAAAGCCAGATGACAACACATTTAAAGTCCTGTATCTGAGGAGCTTAATAGCTGTCTTGTTCTAGACATGTTCAAATGGTCGATCCAGGTGACCTGGTATAATTCTTATCCCAGGAACTGAAGCAAGATGGTAACTTTTTGCTTATCACTGTGCACTGTAGTTTAGACAAGCAGGAACAGCTGTCTCTGGTACGACAGGAACAAAGTTGTTGTAAGCATATTAAAATTCAGAAACTGCAACAACCTGACCACCATTTTCTGTTTCAGGATCTGCCTTCAACTACTTGGATGCTCCAGCTGTGCGTGTTACAGGTGCAGATGTTCCCATGCCTTACGCAAAAATTCTAGAAGATAACTGCATACCTCAAGTGAAGGATATAATATTTGCAGTGAAGAAAACTTTGAATATCTGAGTTGTAAATATGTTTTAAAGTCCTGCTTTAAAAAGTATTAATGGTATAGGGCAACTTGTATGCAAAACTTTGTTGTATAGCTGCATAAACTTTTGTACAGTGAAGTACAGCGATCTCCCAGAATATTTATATGGCTGCAATGGGGTCTGGTGGGGTTTCTCTCTAAGCCACTGCATTTAAGTAACCCTGTGGTAATACTCGTCTGTAAGTTAGCTTGTACTTCAGCTGGGTTAGGATCTCTCTGTATGCTCTAAATTCAGAGGGAAGAAAAGGTCTTCCATTTCTGCTTGTCCTGTAAGATCAGACCAGCTGTGCTAAACTGACAGTGATGGTGGTTGAGTGCAGAACGGGAGTGAACAATAAGGGCCACCCTGAATCTAGTCCTAGGATGCTGCACAGCTCTCTAGGAGCCTATGTTTGCAAGGCTTACTGAAGGCAAATGATAAAACCAGAGCTGAGTGAAGCCTTGCTTTTTAATTCAACAGTTTAACAAATACCTGTATAAAATGGCTCTGGAAGCCTGTAGTATGGGTTAAGAGGTGGCTCGTGCTTTCTTCAAAGAGTGCTCTGGTCATACAGGAAAGCTGCACAAGAGCTTGATTAAAGATCCTGATCCTCTTCAGTGTGTGGTGGGAAATAATACCTATTTATTCTTTATTAACTGTCACGTGCATTTTCTATGCCAGCTGTCATGTACAGTGATAAAAAAAACTTGCTCAGATGTTTTGTTTTTATGTATGGTTTTGTGCCTTGTTTGTTTGTTTGCTTGTTTTTTAAACTCAACAATGGTATGCACAAACATGTTCTTACAGGCAAAAAAGAAAAAAAGTTACTTTTTCAGACCTGGGTAAGGTAATAAACTATTCAAAAGCAGTTGTTTGTGTATGTTTGAAGAGCTGGGCAACAACTGCACCAGCTTTTGCTGCAACCACATACCAGGGTTTAGCTAAGGAGCTGACAGAGAGGATTTGTTCTTTGTTCAGCAGCTTCTGTTACTGCCCTGGTAGAGACAGTCTGCCTACAGAAGTCAGTGCAGCACAGCTTGCTGTACAGCCAGGAAAAGGTGCCTTCCAATGAACCGTTCTGGAGCAGATACTTACCTCTCTTAAGCAGACACAAGGGCTCAGGTCCTACTTCAGTTACAGGTCAGGAATACCTTCAGGGCATTTCCAAGCAGAAGTGCTACTCGACTCTTAGAAGTCAGGCTTGCAGGCAAAATCCTAGCAGAACACATCCACCACCACGCTGCTGGAGGAACTCCATTAACATTTTAATAAAAATGACTGAATATCACAGGTTACATGAAACTGTACAGACATTCTCTGCATAGTTACAAACACGGATGTACTTGAATTTTAAAAAATGGATTATCTATAATCCTTTAAAGTGCAATTTGTTTAAGGTTTTAATCAAATCGAAAAATGATCTTTCAATAAAGTATAAGCTGTAAAATTAACTTGAAGTAAGTTTGCATTTAACTAAATCATGAATAATATCCCAGTGCCCTATTAACTTCCATTTCAACTATTTCCTTATTTAAAAAACACTTTCCCTTAGAGTTGCAGGTAGGATGTCCATTTAAACAAGTCTGAGACACTATTCTTAGTCCATCAGCAAAAAATGGTGGGAATAAGATTTAATTCTCCAGTTCCCTCACCTGTGCAGTATATATTATGGGTTGTTTTGTTGGTTGGTTTTGGCTGGGTTCTTTTTGGATTATCTCAAACAAAATATGCTGATTCAGTGCAGGAAGTTAAATGAGTTACTGCTGGATGGCCAGTGTTGAAGAAGGGCAGGTTAGAAGTAGGTTCTTGTGATTTGACCAAAAAAAAAAAAAGAAGAAGAGAACTAAAAAATGCATTAATTCACCTTGATCATGGCCATTCCTATTCTCAGTTTTATTCAGCCACGTAGAAGTTGTTGTACCCGAAACTGCAGCTAGAAAACAAAATTCTTGAAACCAAATAAAGAATGGAGTACTTAGCATGGCAATGCAGTGCAGATGGGGTAGTGCTGCTGCTTGTGTAAAGCTGAAATAGAGGTAAAAGGAGCTACTGCATGACTAGCTGCTGTATGCGTTGGTGAATCAGTTGCTGGTCAGAAGGGCCTTGTTCCTGGACAGCACAGGAGCGGGAGGGGGAATTCAATCCCGGTGTAACCGTCAGCCTCAGCTGATCCTGGGAGCACTGTAGTCACACGTGTGTGTTTTCTTCAGAGTTCCTTTCTGAAAGTTTTGAATGGAGCTGAGTAAGGCTCCTCGGCTCGCACTGACAGCAGGCTGTGAGCTTGGCTGTGTTGGCACCTCTGTATTTGGAGGAGGAGCTGCTGGTGGCAGGGGTGGCGGTGGTGGTGCTGGGGGTATCGATGATGCTCCTGTTGAGTGAGGAGAGAAGATGATGTTTGATTATGCCACAGAGGTCCTGCTCAGAGCACTGCAGCCACGTAGCCGGACCGTGTCAGTTCTGCACTAGGAGCTTCACTCCTTGAAAACAAGTGGAATGTGAACAACAGAACAGGATGAAAAAATGCTGATGTGATCAAACCTCTATCTGCAGGTGAGTCACGTCATCTGAGACACCTCTGAGAAGAAGCCTAAAAGTTCTCAGGGATGCAAAACGTGACTCAAATGCGATACTGACCGGGAAGCAAATCTTACCCTCTGTTCATATTTACATGACGAACATTACAGGTTTTACAAAGGACCACTCTGCTGTAGCATTTGTGGTGATTGATCAAATTATACATTAGTTTTAGGCAACTAACTGCAGATAGAGTTTTTCTGGAAATGTTTTACATGTCCACAGTACTGTCAGACTTTCTTCAGCCATAGAGAAACAAGCAAATGCTTGTTTCACAGGCTGAAGGAATCACAACTCACTATTCACACCACTTGCTTTCTTTCTGTGCTCCTACCTTGCACTCTGGCCATTGCTTTTTACCCTAGTCATGTTGTCTCATCATGCTTTAAGCTCCATGCCCTGACAACTTGCAGAGAGGGCTGGAAAGCCAGAAACCAGCTGTGCATGCAGGCAGCTAACCCAGCACAGGTTCTGGAAGCTCAGGTCCAGGCAGGTGGCCTTATTTGACCCAAGCTACATTTCCACACAATGTGCTCCAGTGCTTCTCAGCTGCTGCACGTTACATCATCATTTCTACACTCAGGATCAAAGATACATGGCAGGAGTAAGAGCAAAGGCCAGAGGTGACCCCATGCTCCACAAGACATCCACGTGAAGGTGCATTTGCAGCACACCCTCAGTTGCATGTGAATGATGGGCCTGTCTTCAGCTTCATATTCTGAAAATGGGGGGCTTAGTGGTTAAGATATTATTATTCAACAGTGAATTTTAATTCCATTGTCTAGACCATGAGTTAATGTCAAGTATGGCTAGGGAGACAAGTGGCATCTGTAGTTCAACACTTGTTTGGTAGCTCTAACCTATATGAGGAACACACCAGTAAGTGGCAAGGACTGGGATACTTTTGGACAAAAGAGCAAAACAACACAGGGCCAGCCAACACACTATGACAAAGAGGTAGAACTGCTTGCTATGAATTAAGCAAATACTAAACAGTTAAAGGAAACTATGGACATGGATTCAAGAAGTGTTAAAATTCTCACTGGCATGAAAACTTTTTTCTGTGATAAGAAAACAGAAAAACAGCTCCTGTCTTCACTCTCATCCCTTTCCGAACTATTCAAGTCCTATAGAGTAATGTTCAAGCTCTATTGGAAATGTCAGAGAATAAGTGAAAAAACACGTCTGGGGCACATGGATCAGCTGCTCTCTTAAGCACTCAAAACATTACACAATGTTAGTATAAACTGAAATAACACATCACATATTGATGCCTTGGGGTCATCTAACTTACCCAAACCCGTGTTTTTGCACTAGCCAAAGATGTGAGTCTGTAATTACAAATACTGAAAACCATCCCCTAAGTTAGAGTCCTGTTTGTGCCGTGTGTATGGACTGCCAGTAAAGCACAGCAAAGCAAAACAGACACTTTGGGACAGAAGAACAAAACCAAGAACAGTTAACTGCTCTGATGAGTTAAGAGGTCAGAGCAGGAGTGGCGAAGCAACGCTCGCATCGGATTTGGGATCAGATGAACTGCTGTAAAACAGCCAAGGCCAGCTCATCACAACTGAGATGGCATGAAAGAGATGCAAGAATTTCAGAGAACAAAGACATGATTTTGATTGGAACAGCAAGGTGAAACTGAAGAGGTTATGCACATAGTTGTACAAGATACAATAAGGAGAGACCATGAAGACAGTGGCCAGGACTCCATATGGAATAGAAATGTAGCAGTAATAATTTGGCAAAAGAAGGTACATATTTGACAGAAACGGAGGCAAAAATGCCACTACGTAAGTGCTTGGATTGCTATTATTAGGCCAAGAATCCATGTGGTTATCTTTAAATTTTGGTCTGGTCATTTTATGATGGGGGCATAAAGGACAGGGAGGTGGAGAAGAGGCTGCCTTTCTGCCTGGAAATCTGTTAAGTTCCTCAGTACCAAGTATTTCTAAATTGTGATGCCAACATCATACAGTTGAAAGAAACTCTTAGGAGATCTTACACATGATGTCTGCCTTAAAATATAAATACAGGACTTAAGATGGTATCTGACTAGCTATGAGCATTACATATTGAACATGTAAATTAAGAGCACGATTCTGAAAATCTGTCAAATCCATTCATTTCAGTCAACCTATCAGTCAACAAAAACTAAGCTGTCCCTTCTTGACATGAGTGGTGCAAAAGAAATCTTAGTCTACTGCAGAGGACTCATATGCAGCTCCATCTGCAGGTTAAACTGGTCAACCCAACAGTGAAATACTTTCCCACATTTACCCAGAAAATACTTCAGGCAAGTGCTCAATTATCACACAACTTTTCCAATACATACGTTGGAAGCAGCTGACAGCAAACACATTCACTCATTCACACAGTTATAAGAACAAAACACTCAAACAAGAACTTACCAAGGGTTTTTTTTTTACAGGGACATTTTTGTTAAGAGAGTGTGTTAAAAGGAATAGGAAGTAAATCAGATGCTGTAAACTTGATGCCTGAATTGAAACAAAAACTTAATTATGAATTTAAAGTGACAGTAATTGTGCAAACAGCATTAAAAACTTTGCTGAGAATGGGATGCAAACAAAGAAAATCATTTTAGTGATAAGTTTTTAAAGATGCTGTATTTCATTAAAATAATCCATAAGAATGCTCAGATCTTTTTCTTCTATTCCCTCCCAATACTAAGCAAGTTTAAGATTTGCATTAAACTTTCCCATACAGAAACAGAGCATCTTTAAAGAGATAAATCAGCATTAGCTTACTTTTCCGAAAATTCACGTTCAAAATGATGCATGCTCTATTGAAGACAGCAGAGAAAGAGAGAGGACACAAGTTAATCATCCGGATCTCGTGTCAAAGTAAGAAAAACAGAGAGCGTTAGCTGAAAAGTTAGTACCAAAAAAACCAACACATTCTTATGCACTGAAAAATACATGGGAATAGCAGTTGATTTTCTTTTTCCTATTGCATATACAACACTTGGATTGTGAATAACGAACTCAACTTTCCACACTGTAAGCATTATTATACCCAATCAACAAATAAAACATTCATATTATCAATTTCACATGCTGTAATTCAGGCTTCACAGGATTACAGTGCACTGAGAGACAGTTAGCAAGAAATCCGCAGGAAGATTAGACACCAGAGATGAAATCCATTCATCACGGCACATCTCCTGTCACATTAACACCTGCATTTACACTTAAGCTACACGGATCAATCAGAAACAACCAAGGGTAGCACCTGCTAAAGCACTGTGCATTGTCTTACAGACAGGTGAAGAGCTCTAAAGATGCTCCACATGGCTCTCTATGAAACATGCTGTAGTGAAGTATTCAGAACAACTGGCACAGAAAAGGACACTAAAGTTAAGTACAACTCCTTCAGCTTATTCTCTCTGGGAAGTGCAGGACAGCAATACTGTTCAGAAAGGAGCTGGCTAAATGGCACCCTCCAAACTTTTCTAACAGGAGAGCTCACTGGTATGTTATGAGCTTACTGCATTTAGAGATGTAGTGAAGTTTTAAATAACCCACACCATGGTTCTGCATCCCTTCTGGTCCTAGCCACAAAGGAAAACAACAGATTCTCAATGAAGCAAAGTGGACAGAAGTGTGCAAGTAGATGGGGAAAACTGAAAACATAAAAACCATTCAGAAGAGAATGTCAGAAAGACAGAAGTTGTGTTAGAGTCATTTGTCATGATCTAAGCAACGTATTTCAAAGATGGCATTCAGCCAAGGATCTGCAACACAGCTGGTCACAAACAAGCACTCCTGGCAATGAGAAACACCCACAAGAGTCCATGATTCTTCCCCAGGGTATGACAGCCTGAAGCCTGTTTACCTCTGGTTGGAGTCTCTAGTTCTGCACATACCCACACACTACACTGACTGACATGGAATAGGCCAAGAGCTTCTGTAGGATATCCTTCTCCATATCAGCCTTCATTTTGGCATGGCATCATATCAGCAAGACTCTTTGACTTGCTATGATACTAACACAAAACAGAAGGACAGACTGAAAGCCTCATTCCTGCTTTGAAGGTCATCTCACCATGATGCCCACAAGCAATTTTGGTCTAGAGGTAAATATCCTTAATGAATACAATGAAATAGGACAAAACAGAAGCTACAGCTGCATCAGCTGTCACAAATAATGTCTTAACCATGGGGCCAGTGAGTCTTTCACCAAGTCATCAACAGCACACCTGTACAGAATACATACAACATCACTGATGATGTCTCTCGCTTTCTCTTAGAGCTAATATCTGAAGTTTCGTCCATTAATTCTACTTACAAAAGCATTCCTGAAATGGTGACACTTGCCTTTATGCCCAAATGAAAGCACCAACACCATCAACCCACTAAAGCACTTCCTGATGTGGTTGCACACAGGGCAATGTGCATCACGTCACACACAGGGCAGACTGCTATGTCTCCACAAGCACAGTGCCTGCAGGATGACTGACACACTGTGACTGTGTGGTTTGAACTCAGCCAAATTTCTGAGCCAAAACTTCAGCCATTTTAAGCCAGCTGAGCCAAATCCATGAATTAACCTGAGCCTGAGCTTTCAATCTAGTTCCAATGCACATTAAAGTTGAAACGCCAGTTAAAAGCTGTTCTATTCCAGAAAGAAAAAAAAAGTTTTCTAAATATCCATCTACTTTGAAGGCATGGGGATTTTCTTTTGCATTGTTCAGCTACTTTCTTTTTAAAGCATACAGAATCTGAAAGATGAGCCATCTCATCTACAGAAAACAGAGCTGTCATTGTGCAACACAACAGCAGTAATTATCTTGTTTAGAGTAACTGGAAGAAGTAAGTTCATAAAACACGTACTTCAGTGTTCTCTCCACTCGAAGGAGAAACGACTAATTTGAATTTCAGCATAAAAGATTTAAATTATATCACAAGACTGTAGCATCTTACAAATGACCATCCACAACAAACACAGATTTGATTTCATCACTTTGGTATAGAAAGCTCCTGAGGGTAGGAATCATGACACAAGTCACCATAACAGCAATGCCACAGACAGCCTCCTTTCTTGGTATATATTCCATTCAGATCTTTTGCTGTTAATGTTTGCTAGTGCACTTCTTCTAGCCTTTCAGACTGGAGCGTGTCCATCACAGCTCAATACTCATATTTGTAATCCAACTTTCACAAGTATTTCTGTTTCTGGCACTCAATGCCCACTCAAGCAGATTTCTCTACCACATCCCACCACTTGTTCCAAACATTAGCAAAACTGTTTGCATAGCTACCTAGCAAATTGGAAGTGGGATCTGGTCAAAACGAGAGATTATTTTTAACACAAACCAGTTTCTGACTTGTTTCTCTGCACAAGCAGCTCTACTCATATCACCAACAGGCGATAGCAGAATAGGGGAGATTTATGTGGCCTAAGGCACTCAATTTGTCATACCCCCAAACTTCCAAAATCAGGTCACAGCAGTACAGGTGTAAATAGACAATACACAGAACCAAGGGACGGACAAACATTATTTCATGGCCCACAGGCCATTAACATTAGAACAAACGTATACTGCAACATGAAGCTCAGAAAATGTCTGGAAAACAGCAGTCTCAGTAGGACTGGAGTAAAATCAAAGACTGAAGTAAACACTTAAACTCTACAGGTAAATCATACCAGGCACCTCAGAAAAGATAATATTAAAAAAGGAACTGAATTCAGAGGTTCTCTATAGCCCTCAAAAGAGGACAAATGTCCACACTCGACCTGATACAAGATAAACATAATCTCTGTGTTCCATCGTTTAAGACCATCATCCCTTAATCATCTTTGGGAACAACACAGTTCCTGTGGTTAAACACAGAGGGTAAAACAAAGAAGACACCACAAATTGAAAACAAACATTACAATGACTCTTGAGCTTACCTGCTGTAGAGGGCGGAGTGGGGGATGATGGAGATGTTAATGGGGAACTCGCCCCAGAGCCTGCTAAATAAAACAACAGTCTAGTAACTAAAGCTGTGATGCAAAACTCAACACAGTCAGACAGGACAGACTGTTGAAAACAGGCCAACTTTATTGACTGAAGGCTCAATTCTGCTCCCAACGAAAACTTGGGAAAGATTCCCATTCATACAAACAGTGTCACTCACACCCGATCCAAACAGAAAAGCTTTGCAGTACATATTATCAGAGGAGGTCCAAACACATAAGCAGCACAGTCAACAGTACTCCTCAATGGGAAACACTTCTTTTCTGTTGCTTAGGCTGTTGGATTTCAGCGTCCAAATTCTGTTTTCCTTAAGAGTTGTGCCACTGCATGGATGGCACCTCATTCCTCCTTCTAAGAGATGATTTTTAGTCAGTTCCTGTACCCACAAGTTACTCTGACACCTAACAATTCCACAGTAGGCTGATTTTGGGCACATTTTAGCCACACAAGAACACTACATTGAATTGTTCAGTAGTACAGGCCATCCCTTTTAACTACATGAAGACCTGTCAAACACTGTGTTGTTTCAGAAACTGACAATGAAGAAGCAATTCAAACGATAACTCATTCATCTTAATACCTTACTAAAGAAATCACCACAGAGTTTCTCTCTGAGGTCTTCATTAGCGAAAGATCCAAATAATCAATGCTGCTCCTGTCAATTGTCAAATGGATTGAATAGAGTGGGGTTTTTTGTTATTATCTTTTTTCTTTTTCTTTTTTTCCCTCCTTTTGAGGAATGGAACACAGAAGAGAGGGCACATCACTTTGTGTCAGCTGAAAATTTAGCTCTAGTGGTATCTTCTAAGCCCTCAATTTATCGATTACTAAACGCCGGAGACGGTAATATCAGCATTTGTTAGTTCAATATTATGGTGCAAACTGATGGTGATCCTGGACCTTTTAAGCCACAGAATTATAGTGACAATGAAAACACTGACACAGCTGTGTAGAAGCAAGCTCTTCTCTCTGTAGTTACCTGAGTTATTTGAGTTGCTGTATTTTGCTGAGTGTTCTTCCGCACTTTCATAGGCAGAGCGTTTTGACTTCTTCAAACAAAGAAGAAACAGAAGGTGGGAATGAATAACCCCTTTCATGATGAAAATCAAGTTGACTCAGAGAACTTTTAAAAGCCATCTGATATATCACACAAGGTTTATCAATGCCCAGCATCTCTCTTCCCCAACCAACACGTGCTGCTGCAAAGACAACAGCAGCAAAGCAGCCCTGTGCTCAAATGACCCAGGCAAACAGGGCAACTTCAGATGCTCTGACTGCAAGGGAAATGTAGAAAACTGATGCAGAAAAAAAAAAAAAAAAAAAAAAAAAAAAAAAAAATGAAAAAAAAAAAGAGTTGCTGCAGACAACAAAAAAAAAACAAAAAACAGCTCTCAGACCTTCACTGGGCAGCAGCTCTCAGACCTTCACTGGGCAGCAGCTGTTAGTTAAGCCCATTTTCATTAAGTAACTTCAAATAGGTTAAACAGTCAGCAGTCGTTTAGTAAGTGTTACCACTTAGCTACATATCAGGAAGAACATCACAGGACTGAATACTGCAGCACACCTGTGGATGTCCATGCTACACAGTGAATAATTTTCTGTGTGAGAAATCCATGTAAAGATGTTTACCTTTCTTGCTAAGATCTTCCTTTTCTTTTTTTCTTCTTCAGAGCCGTGATGAGACTGAGCTCTTGTCAGTCTTCTGTGCTGGTGAATCTTCAAAAGTAAGGGGAAAAAAAGGAAAAAGAAAAAGAACAAAGCCATGTTAAGATCCCAAGTGTTCTCAACATAGCATATGTTTGGGGTTCAAGAAAAAAAAACTGTAGTCGCTTTGCACGTGCAATTTTCTTTTTTCATTTTTAACTTTTAACTTTATGGTTGCTGCTAGAGTACAGAGCCTCACAGAACAATTAAGATAATCCTATAAGAGTCCCTGTGAAGCTGCACCACTCTACACAATATGAGTGTAATTCCATGCCTTCAACAGCTGTTCTACAGCTGCTCAATACCACATTTTTGAGAAAGCACATCTGTTGATGAAAACCTTTGTTACTCTGAAGTAAGAGCTCACTTTCCACATTTAGAAGAGATAAGAGGAAACTGAATGTCTCTACGAAAGACAGTAAAGAAATGCAGAAGTTACCAATTTCTGTTCTTCTGTTAATCTTTTTTCTATGCATTCCTTGGACGTTTTCAGTGCTTCTTTTAGCTTCGTAGGAATCTAATAAAGAATGGAGGAAAAAAAGTCAAATAACAGAACGTGATAAAGGGAAAAACAACTTCACTGTTCAAAACTCACCATTCATCTGACTATGCTGCACATTTAAAGATCCAACTTCTAACACTATTCCCGTAGTGGAGGAGAAAAAGGACTCTAGGTGCCAGTTTTCCATTCCAAACCTAGCAACCAATCCAACAGCTCAGACAAAGAAGCAGTGAATAATGGCAGGGATGCTCTAACACCAATGACAGCTAACTACTTCAGTATTCTGTTCACATCCCCAAAGTGCCATAAGTCCAACAATCACAAGACACTCAGCACATTTCTACCTGAATTGCCCTGGGGCAGCTCCCCCCAGTGGAAGCACGATGGCTCCCTAGAAGTCCCAGCTCCGAAGCTGGCTACTGTGTCAATGATCTCACCAAGCAAGATCAGCTCCCAGCCTCAGTGATTTGCTTCCTTTCACTGCAAGGTAGGCAGCTTACCTGTGTTCCTAAAGTAGAGCACCATGATCAGTCATGCAAGTTGGCTCCAGCAACTACACCTGAATCACTCATGGGTTACACTGTGCCCCAATTCTAAGGGTTGATATATAATGCTCTTGGGTATTATTCAGCAAAGGAATGGAAATACTGAGGTGACTCACTGAAAAGTCAAGTAAAGCCAGCTGTACTCTACTGTTTATCAATTAATGCCTAACCACCCACAAGCTGACACTTCCACAAACATCAGCAAATCAACACTCAACCCTACCTTAAACTGTGGTTTCTCAGAGTTTGTTAGCAGGACGTCACTGAATAATCTGCAAGTGGATGGAAAAAAAGGAAAAAAAAAAAAGGAATATTATTTCTGTGAGACAGGCAGAAGCACAGAGAGAACACTGCTGATACTGTTCACCTAAGTCTCTCTTCTTTCCCTTCTCTGTTCTCATCCCCATCTCACTGTCTGTTTTTATGCACTGCTTTTTATTTCCCAAGCCCTGCATTAAATTAAGTAGCACTTACCCCCCAGAACGTAGCCACTACTGACAGCAGAGCTAGCAAGACTCGAGGCAGTATTTTGAAAACTGAAAGAATGCCTGTAATTATCAAAGGTAGAGAAGGACATCCCCCAAACAAATGCCTTTTCCTTACAGCCACACTCTTTAATGACCAAAGATTGCCAGGGACTATGCAGCTAAACTGACAGTTTTACTCTCCCCTCTATGGCATCAGCAAGAGCATAAGTGATTAATAATTTTCCATCCAAAACAAAGACACTAGAGGGCAATGTTAGTTTGAAAATAAATTAGTCCATATCCAGGTACTTTGTTCTGGAGAATGTGCTAGAAAACTGCCCTAGAAAAAGATCATGAGTCCAGCTCCAAGTTAAGTAAGTCACAGATTCCTGTTACTGTTCACGACAGAAAATTATCACAGGTCCATACTAGACAGAACAAATTCAAACCTAGAATCAAGTTTATAAGATCAGTAGTCCAAGAATAAAATAAATCAAATTAAAGTAACAGAAAAAAAAAAAGACTCACCCTTGTACACAGAGCTATTTTCTGACCCTTTCTGATTACATATCCTTGCAAAGTCAAGTAAGCTCATATTTTATATAGAACAGCTTAAAAATATTTAAATTGCATTCTTTGCATTGCACAACATGATGAACATTTCTGTGAAGAGTATGGGTATGAAGGAAAAGTCATACAATATCCTACGTATCAGACACGGCTGGGCACGGACTGTTTGTTCAACATCCTTTAACACCTATCTCTTCCTGTGTTCAGCTTTCTGACAGAATTTCTCCACTCCTTACATTCTATTCTCTATCTCCTTCTTCCTTCAAGGGTAGAGGAAGGATGGAGTAGAAGGAACAGGAGGCTGAGACGCAACTGCAGGCACTCATCCCAACCAGGGGACGACTCGGTGCTTGCTGTGAAGGCACAGCAATTTGTACGCTGCAAGATCAGACCCAGATTTGAGTATGGGTAATCTTGTCATTTATGAGGTCATGATTCTAGCATCTCATAGTAAGAAAAAGCAAGCCCATCAGGAACTGTGATTCTATTCTCACAGACTGTCACAGCATGGTGACAGTCAACAACTTCTCAGGCAATACTTCTCTCAGTTGCAGGAAAGGTGGCACTGCAGACAGTATGATTTCCAGCTCAGCCATGCACAGATGTTGCTTTCTTTCTACATCCTAATATTTCTCCATTCCTGCCTTTACTCCTATGCTGTGTCACTAGGAGGACAGTATGTAAGAAATTTTCTGCTATCTGTGCTTCACTAAGCCAGCCTTGGAAGAAACCTGACAGAACTTCTGCACAACACTCTGACTCAGTCTAAAAGCCACCACTGAGCAAGAAATCTATTTTGCCATGTGTTGTAAATAAATGGACAGCCAAACCTAAAGAACTAGGTCTGGAAGGGACATGCAAAAAGATTCCTTATTCTAAATGATTTAAATGATCCAATACATAATCTTAACCATGCCTGCACTGCTTTAATAGCCGAATAATTGAAACCACAGCGCCACGCTCCAGCACACGGAGAGACGAAGAAATCCTAAGTGAGTACCTATCATATTCCTAAGTGATGGCTTCTATGAAATCTGTCAATTTTAAATCACCTTTTGGGATACACTACACAGCCCTCAGAACGAGGAACAAATCTTTCCGATGAAGAACAAGCAAAAAGATTCTCCCCCATTATACAATTATCATGAGCATAAAACAAACACATTAAAACTTACGGCATCTGTAAGAGCCGTGAAACAGTTGGCATGCCATTCTTCATAGCTTCACAAGTCAGAATGGATTCCAACACAGACACTATCAAAGAAAGAATAAGAATGGACACATTTCTGCGCTGCAGGACAGCAAACAACTTAGAATGAAAGTCTGACACTTTATATTATGCTCCTCTAAGCATTCCATCAACTAAGTGGTGATGAAGCTTTATGACATGTGGTTTTTATTATAATGTTATTGTTACATGTAAAAACTTTTCAAGAATGTTAGACATGAGGCCAGGGGATCCAGACATCTAATTACTACACACAGTTTTATCATTCAGTTAAAAATATGTCTATATTTATATGCTACATATTTGAGGAAGAACATTTTCTATTTTTAAAAATTACTAAATAACGATTTCCAGGCCCAGGCTGTGAAGGTTTTAGGTTGCTATTTCAGAGCACTTCTGCTTAAGCACAAGGTGAGAGTTGCCAGGAAGCTGAGGCTGCCACGGTCTCGATCGTATACTAACCAACAGACATTGATGGTGCAGGAGGGAAGCTGTCTACTGGAATTGTATCTGGGGGTCTTCCGTATGTCATTTCATACAGTAAGTGCCCAAAGCAATGTACATCAACGCCTTCTAAAGTCTGTAGAGGAAGAAAAGCAAAAAAAGTAAAAACACAACTTGCTAGAACTGTTTAGTTTATCCACAACTTCTTTTAAAACATGTATTAACAAACGAGCAAAAAGAGTGGTCTTGCATTTGAATGTTGAAAAGAGGAACCATTCAGTTTCTAACCACAGTCTAACCCTGCACAATTTGAAACTCAAATGAAATCTTCATACCCCAAGCAAAGAAGTTACTGCTGTATTTCAGTTAGAGATGATGCAAGCACGATAGCATTGTGGAGTTCTACAAAAATGTGTAAGGAGAAAACTTTTTCTCACAGACAGCAGTTTGGAGAACTGTATATTGATGCAAATCAGAGCTGAGCACATTTTCCTAGCGAAGGTAAATAGCTGCACAAGGTAAGTTCCCAGACAGCATAACTCAGAGATTTTTGAATCATGTTTAGACAGAAGTGGTTTCTTGTACTGGAGGAGGCTTAGAGCTTTGCTGGCACTAGCAACTAACCGTGAACTTTTGATCATTCCTTTGACAACACAGTAGAACTTGTTTAGCAAGGTCAGCAAGCAGCTGTCTTGTGATGCTCTACTTAATTTATTGCAATGAGCATTTAAGAGCCAAGCCAAGATGCTGGCTAGAAGACTGTATGGCTCCAACAGGGCAAATTTTGTTAAACAGTTTTGTAGGAAGATCATATTTTGCTGCATAAGCCCGAAATAAATAGGCACCCTTCAAATAAGCAAAACGTAGTTTTTAATAGCTAGGAGTCTACAAGTTCTCCACAATCTCAGGGTGAGGATAAAGGGACTGTAAGAGTAAGGTAAATCAATTTTCTGAAACTTACATTAATTTTTCGAAACTGCGAAAAGTACGATCGATAAAAGGATGGAAGTCCCAACAAGGAATTTTCCAGATCCAGCAACTTGCACGTGTCCCCATCCAGCACTACATTGCCAGAGTGAAGATGGCCATACGGAAATCCCTTCTCATGCAAGAATTTCAATACCTGAAAAAAATCCGAGACAGAAGCATGGTCACAAGATGTCCTGATGGTCTCAAGATCTCAGATGCTCCAATACAAAAGCAGACACATAACAAGTGAGGCCTCTGGTTTGGAACTCCTGCTAAACTTGATCTTCTATCTACTCCACCTTTGGCTGACTATCCATTCCTATTTCACTGGTAACATTCCTCAGAGAGCACACAGCTGATGCTATGCTCAGAGCTCAAAGATACTTCCCAAAGAGACCTGGAAACTAAAAGTCACAGTTTTACCAAATACCATAGTTTAAAAGCCCACACATTCAGTGACAATGACTCTGTGGCCCATTTTTCATAGGCTATGAATTACTTCTTTCCCTTTCACCCCAACAGGAAAAAACTTCTGCGAGGATAAAGGGATGCAAAGAAGTCAGCTAAACTAATTTTCTGAAACATTAGCACCTCTCTCCCACCTCAGCTGCACATATAATAGCTGCCTTGTTATTTTTTCTTTCCTTTTTTTCCCCATCAGTCAGAACAGGCCTCATACGTATCTAAATTCAGCTCCTAGCAGTTCAGCTCAATTTACATTTAACTTTGAAGTCTGCTGCCAAAGGAATCTTGCCTGCACAAAAAGTTTGTCTATTTTTTCTAGTAACATTGTTGTGCTAAAAAAAAAAACACAAAAAAACAACACCAAAACATAAAAACAAGCAAACAAACACTACTAAATTAAAAAAAAAAAAAAAAAAGCCACCACAAAAACCTCCATATAAATAAAGTATGATAAAGAAAGAAAGAAAAAAATACCTCTAGTATCTGTCTTCCATATGTCTTTATCTGTTGAAGTTCGAGACCTTGAATTTTCTTAGGATTGCAATACTTCTTCAGGAAGGGATCTTTCGGTCTGGCCTTTAAAAGAAGGACACACATGAAGCATCAGGCTCAGAAAAGCCAGGAATTGTCTTAGTTCGCCTAGCAATAGAGGGTAACAGCTTCAGAAAAGACACACTATGTACGTTCCAATAAATATTCAACCATTTGAGGTGGGGGAAAAGAGAAGACATTACCTTATAAATAAGGTCCTTCAGCGTCCCTTTTTCATTGAATGGTCTAATAACCAGTGCTGAAGATTCACTGGCGGTGGCAAAAGTGACTCTGTAAATATAGGGATGCTACCAAAAGAAGAAACTGCAGGTAAGTTTCAGGTGACAGATCCTGTAATTCATTTCTTCTTGATTCACAAGAAAGATAAGATCTGTCTGAATCATGCTGTAAGCAATAAAATGGATTCTGCCAGTGACATTTGCTCTGGTTATTCACTCTTAAAGTAAATGCAAACTCCACAAGAACACTGTTAAACATTCACACAGAATCAAGAAAAATCCATTATGTTTTTATTAAAAAAAAAAAGACTGGTGGTTTAGATAAATAAAGAATCCATCTCAATTAACCCTCAATGCGTGAGCAGCTTTACTGCAGGTTTAAGCCATGCTAAGCTAATTAATTTATTCAGGGTTTATACAATTATGGCAGACAAGAAAACCCAGCAGTAACAATTGTTGTAATAGTTCCATGTCTTTAGAAATCATTGTAACGACTTCCAGCAACACTGTGAAACCAAATGAGAAGTACATGTTGAAATACATAACACGTGCAACACATACACTAACTGAAATTGCTAGTTAGGAAAAGACTTCTCATTCATATCTTATTTTAATGCATCAGCTTCAGATTGTTTCGGAGTTAAAAGCTTTGTTGCCCCTTCTAGTGTGGGCATCTTCCAGGTTTCTGGGCAGCACACAGAGGTTTACCCATCTGAAATTCCTTTCTTTTCAGCCAGTCCAGTTTTTCAGAGATGCCTGCTGGATTCTTAACATGAGAGTTTCATAATCTGGCTCTGTACCTCTAACATGATGTTTCTGTCTAAAATTCAAAGATCTGAAAAAATAATGGCACTCATTCCTCTGCTGCCCAAGAATGTTCCCAGTATTCCAGTTCCAAGAAATTCCCAGTATACTGGTTAGAAAAATATCCCAACAGCCTGAAAGCGTTGAGAAAATGAAATAAAAGCACGTGATCTCACAGTACAGCACCAGAAGAGAAGAATACAACTAGCCACAACTCCGAAAGCCCTGCAACAATTCAGCAGGATTATTATTTGTGCTGAGAATATGTTACTTCATACTGTGTGGGAAACTTAATTAAAAAGTTCACACACCTTTAAATGAAAGCAACTCTAAAATTATAAACCATGTCTACTAGACTATGTGCGTTTTTGCAAGATCAGCCTTTGCAACAACTTATTTTGTGCTGGAATAATTGAAAGGTCTTCAACTAATACTCACAGAACAGGAAGAAAGAAGTTTCACAGCATACTGTAAGTCTTTGTCAGACAAGTATTTATCAGGGCCAAGATCAGCCTAAAAATAAATAGGAAAAGAAAGGTATTACAATTGATGTTACATTCCATAACATTTGATCTATATTCTGCTCTTATAAATGAAGGCAAATGCTTCAACATTTATTTTGAAGTGCAAGGAAGGAAATTCTACGTGGAAAAAAAAAAAATTAAAGGGCTGCATAAGGTCATGGTTTCACAATACAAAACATCTGACAGTATGTATTATTGCCTGCTTCCTCCCTGGTAGCTGACCCGTATTGCTACCACTGAATGAACTTTGCCAAGCCCCAACTGAGGGACTGTGTGGACTGTGAGCTAATAAAGCATCAATCTCCACCTTCTTCTGTGCCAAAACCATCCTCCTTTCTACTGGAGGCTTCAGCAATATCCACCCTTCAGCAAATCTCACAAAGAAGTTTCCACATCACCCGCCTACATGATGGCTCAAGGCCTTCAGAGCCTGAACTCTTAACACTGGCTGTCACTCCTACCTGGTAGCCAATATAAATGAAATAAGGCAAGTTCATTATGAAAGACTTGAGAATAAGACGAAAGGACACATACCCAGCTTAACATCAGCCGTTCCTTTGGTTGATTCTTTACCTTCATTAAAAAATATTTCTTACGTATTCGCCAACCTGCAAGAAAAGTCATCACCAGTTTTAATTAAAGCCCTACTAAATCACATGGCCTACATGCAGGACAAAGTTTGTAAGCAATGATAGATTATGGCAACTCATTGGAAAAAACACAGCAAGCTTTTGTGCATACATGCTCTTCTTACCTATATCTTTTAATGGTTCTACTACCTCCCACTTTGGCTCTGATCGGAAGAACATTGAAACATGCTGTAAGGCAATTTCTGGGGAGAAAAAAAAATAAGAGACCATTTAATGTGATTTCTACATTGTTAAGGTAAGGTTCAAGCCTGCGGGATTTCAGACTCAGTCAGCAAAATCACTTTAAAAGGAAATCAGATAAAACCACACTTAGAAGGCATTTGCATTTATAACCTGAGAACTCAAATCCACAGAAAGCACTGCCTTCAGAAAGCATGGCCTACTGAGTTTGCATTCTATTTCTACTAGATCTACATTCCCAAGTCTAAATCTAATGCTCATAGCAAAGACTTCTCACACAGAATACCCTACAGTAGATCAGAAAATGTTTTTGCCATACCTATAGAAGTGCTACCTTGTAAACCTCCTTACTGTACATTTAATAAGATATTTTTCTAGCTATTGTGATCCAATATGCATTTCTGAGAGGAAAAGAAAGGAAAAAGGGAAAAAAGATAAAAAGATAAAAGAAAAGGAAAAGAAAAAGGAAAGGACACACTTCTGTTTACTGAGCTCTCCCACAGCTGAGAATACAACCAGTGTATTCATGAGCACATTGGAGGAGAAATCTGTGAGAAGTGATGACAACAAGCACAGAAAGGGAATCATGCCAGAAAGGAGTTTTCTCAAACACAGCTTATCTTGGCTTAGGAGCACAACAAAAAGGTAAGAATGCACCATATTTTTCTGCACATTAACTTCTCAATCTAAAAATATGCTAAGAAAAATGGAACAGTGCACTAAATGTCAGCTCTCTGCTATATTAAAAGATGACACGCTGATGTTGTCTCCAAAGACCACAGGCAACCACCTCACTGCTACTTAACCTCCCTGCAACTTGCAGAAGGAAAAACAGTCTTGATGAAAGCACTCAGAATTAACACAGAAGTCACTGTATCTCCTACAGGATTCAAACTGCTTGCTCAGCATTAGCCAGACAAACTGCATCCTTAGAGTTACTAACAATTTACATCTCCTCCACGGCTTATCATAAGCATTTGGGAAATGTTCTTTGCACTTTGAAGTTGAAAACAGAACGTTACATAAAGGGAGAGCAAAAAGACAAGTAAAAAGGAAGCAGTAAGTTCCTGCTTGAGCAGGCTGTGCTTTTATGAAAACAAGCTTTGCATTCTGCAAAGAGTCAGTCTGCCTGTGAAGTAAATCTACGGATGGGTTTCATGAAGAGGAAGTTTTTTGGTCTATCAGACAAATTCTAGCAGTTTCCAGTGGCCGAAGCCAGAGAAATTTAAAGGAGAGACATTTAATAATGAAGAGAACTGATCACTGAGGTATCATTTGAAGGGCTGCAGTGATTTTCCACTTGAGGGGGGAGGAAGGCTTTCACTCAAGCCTTGAAAAAACATCAAACATATCTCAGACAATTAGTTCTACGAAATACTGCAGCCCTAACTGGCAGTGAGAGCTAGACAAGATGACAGCAGCTGTTTCTGTTGATTTGAAACACATAAGAACCCCTACGACTGCAAGATTCTGTGTTCAGAAGAGCAGCGGTGAGAGCAACCTGCAGAACTGACTAGCTGGTTTACTCCTGATAAATAACTTCCAGACACCAATCCTCCCATTCACCAACTGCGAAAACACATTTCAGTTTCACTTCCTCCCCCCCCCTCAGGTTCAGATTATATAGATGTTAATTTAAACACTTGGATTTGGCTGTCACAGCACGACTCATCCACAGACCTGGGCAAACACTGCTATACTGTGCCTGTGATCACATGTGATGGTTGTGACGGTTGCTCCCCCCTCCCTCTGCTGCAACAGGCTTCAGTGTAAATCCCCACCAGCACGGCTGGAAGACACACACACAGGCTGCAGTGAAGCTGTAATGCGGTTTTACAGTTCCCCACTTACCAGTGTAGTTCACAGAGTAGCTGTTTGGATCCAAGAACTTTTTTACCAGTTCACAGTTAGACAGTATGTGATGGGAAGTAATCACATCGAGATAGGCCTGCAGTCCTTTCTGTCTTTCTGCTATGAATTCACGCTCCATGTTTCCAATCAGTTTTTTTGGAGGAAGAGGTAGACTTAGAGATGAGATCTTAAACAGAGAAGAAAAATTACTAACGGTGCTCTTCAAGTGCCTCGGGGATGTAAACTAACAGCACAGAAAGTAAGACTCCTAGCAGCGAGCTGACTACCAGGTAATTCTTTCCACACTGTATGTATGTAAGCTCCTATGTTTTGTTTCAAAGTACTGTTATCAGGGAGAGGCAGTCAGACAATAGCTGTGCACACTGCATCCCAGTGTGAAGAGCTTCATAAATGGAACAACACTGAAAATGCAAGATCAATTTTTGCTGGTGAGTCGTGCATTTAAGATCACAGCACAGAGCTTTCAGACTCTAAATGGCTACATTTCAGCCAAATGCTATTACATACCTTTATGCACACACCTTATCATTTTCTCCTGGCAAGATTTGTGTTTTTTTATTTAAAGAAGTACAGATTAACAACTTTCCTCTTGCCTCCACTGCTTTTATGGGTAGCTTAAAGCCCTTATTTCAGTATATCAAATCTGTAATTTCAGATACAGTGCAACTTTTCCAAAGTTGCCCAAAGCGTTAAGTGGGTGAGATCAGAGAGATCATCATTAGAAAACAAACGCAGGCTGCACACTCTTTATATTTAATTACATCACATGAATAGCCACAATCAATGTTTGACACTGCTAACACACAACTGTCCTGCAGATCTAAGCACCTGCCCGGGGTGTGCAGAGTCTCCAGGGGAGTTATCTTTTAGAAAAGTGCATCACAGCAATCAATTACATTCTGTGCAGTAACCCCCACTTGCAAAGCAAACGAGTCACTCAGAGGAAGGCGGGGGGGCTTGAACAATCCTCATTTCAACCAGTGGAGAGAGGAAGGATCAGTTCAACCAACTGTGGCAGAGGCAGCAATCTCTTTCCTTTTTTCTTCCTCGTTCTGAACCCATGAGTTGCTTCTCCCCATCAAACCCTGGTGCTGCCTCTGGCTCTGACTACAAACCACAGCCTGAAAAAGAACGACAACTATGTCTATATTGCAGATGTTAACCCAAATCATCCTGTCCACTGATCTTTCATTATAGTTCTTTTACACACCCTTGGGGAAAGCAAAAAAACATCTGGGAATAAACCCCAGAGCAACAACGCATCACTTACAACCTGCAATTCTCCGAATCAGCTCTAACACCACAGGCATGCAAGGCCCGCATTTGGCAGACCGCTCCTTCAATTCAACAGAGCTTCTAAGTAGAAACTAAATGCATTTCTGACATTACTCACTTGAAAAGCACGTCCAGTCATAATCACCTTTATCTTCTTGACCTGACAGCTAGCTACCATCAGAGAGAAAAGGACTTGAGTTCACAAGTTTTCAAACTATTCCTCCTTTCCCCCCTCCAATAAGCCTCACATCTGCTGTTTTTCAGCAGAAAGCAGTGTTCACCCCCCAGGTTTTTGCACTTATCTCCAAAACCCAGAGCACGGTGAGAACACCACCACTGCCCCCACCTCGCAGAGGTCCTGACCTTCCCAGCACACAGTGGCTCTGGATGGGCTGTGCTACAAGCAGAACCAGGAACTTTTCTTATCTTCAAGCCCCAGCCTGCTCAAAAGCTGCAATAAAATGCTTCACGAAAGCCAGGCATCTTGCTGTAAATCCTGTAGCCAGTGTTCACTTAATTTTTTTTTACTGTTTTTGGAGTCCCGAGGTTTTCATTTCTTTTGTTGTTGTTTTAATCAATCTCACTGTGCACAAGATGAGAGTTTACATTGTTTAACAAGTCATGGGACCTGAGGACTTTGATGAAATACTGATGCTTACAGTTCTGGATGGAAAGAACTGAGGAATGCTGCATGTCTTAATGGATCAGAAAACTTCAGCGCCAGCACCTCAGAGCAATTTATGCAATTTATAAAAAAGCTTAAGAACAGAACAGCAGGGGAAAACTGCAATTTAACATGCTTCTCATCACCTATTGTCTGCCATCTCCCAAGCCCTGTCTGAAGGAGCACTGGTGGCTGACAGAAGCAGAGCTGTGCAACCTTGGTAAAGGCTCTAAATTCACCTCTGCTGGGCTGAAGATGACACCTCAGGCAGTGGCTCTACAGCAGCCAGAAAAGGCTTTTCTCCAAGCAGAGATGCATCTTTGCTTTCCAGTCTATAAAAGCAGAAAAAAGCAGGAGCTGGAGACTGAGGGAGTGTGCAGTAGTTTTCACTGAAGGAAATGAAGAGCTAATGAAGATGAGCTATTAATTTAGCTGCCCTCTACATATCATTATATCTAACTTAGAGAGGAATGTCCTGATGATTCATTTTGATCTTTTCTAATCATCCAAGGAGCTGATGCTGTTGTCCCAGATCTCAGTACCTTGTCACTGCAGACTCTTTCTCTCATTTCAAATTCTTCCTTGGCCCATACCGCAAGTTCTACCAAATAATTCCCAGAGCCCTTCTCTGTTATCATTCACCTCTGCCTCAGATACAAAGGCCTCTTTCTTTACTGCAACACATGTAAGCTATTTACCTTTGCTTATCACACCTTCCACCTAAATTTGAAGTCAAATGCCCAGTGCCTTTTCCAATAGACTTGGCTCATGTGAAAGTTAAGCAAGAAGGTAACAAAGCCCTGTAACACCTTAACATTCTGTCCCCCCGGTTAAGAGGAACTTGTTGTAGAAGATTAAAAAAAGAACTCTCCATCTCTCTAAAGCCTTCTCAAAATTGGTTCTCTGCCATCTCCACCAAAACTTGGCAATGGTGAAGACTCCAATGAGCACTGGATGCTCACTGTGCTGACCAGCACCACTTCATTTCCTTGTGTTCCCATGGGTGCTTATCTAATCTTCACCCTTGGATTCCTTTGGAGCAGAAGACACCTTTGTACTGCATTTATTCAGCACATCACGTACGTTTCTAGGTCATGATAAGAGTTACTGTGTGCTGCTGTGTGTTCAGTAAAATAATGATACAACTCAACCACATTGCATCTACTGAGTTACAACCAATTAGCCCCCCTATCTACCTTCTAATCTGCTTCAAATGATTCCCATCCTATCAGAGTACACAACTCAACTCCCCAACATGGTTTTGCTCAAGGAGGCTCACCTAGCAGACAGCTGATCTGATCTGGTCAGGGGTGAGGAAGGGAGCAAAAGTGGTATTCAGCTCCTGATGATGGGGGGCAATCAGTCACACAAATCCACCCTCAAATCACAGTGTCACTTTTTATTTTGCTTCCCTAGTCCTATGGAAATCCCAAGTGACAAGTTTCACTCCTGGAGATGCCAGCTCACCCCCCTTCTCCCAAACACACTCATGTCCCTGCTTTTTCCCACACCAACTAAAAGGAAATAATTGTCCTAAAAAGCAAAAGAAAACACACAGTAAGTCCAGTGTTTAACTAAGGAACACTTCCCAGAGATACAGAAATCCATCACATGATAAGCAGCATCTGGAAGTGCTTTTAGACCAATATAAATAATGAGACACATAGCACTTCAGTGCTGAGTTTATAAGGTTGGTATGTGCCTTGGCTTTCCTCAAATCAAAGGGAGAACAAATAATAACACGCCAAACCGGAACGAGCTGCAGTACTGAAGGGACAGATTCACTGTCTGCCAGTCTCCACCATTTCTATGTAAATGGGTGCTACTGATGCTGAAATTATAATTTAAATTTTACAAGTGAAAAACTGAGAGTGAAAAGCGTATATTTGAGTTACACTTGAAATCAGTTTACAGCTATGCAAATCTCTATTTTTTTCTTTACTGTAACATACAGAACCATCACAAGCCATGTCATACACGTATCATTTCAACTGATGTTTTGTATTCATGTATCGGGGTAGAAGTTACCTGCAAGCTATTATTAAGCAAGTCGAAGTCACTGTATCGCCTCACAATCTGCAAGACAGAAAGATGAGCTGAGGAAACACATCACTTTTCTCATTACCCATTTACCCTTCTTCCACCCGTCGGAGAGAAGCATTTCCCATTTGTAACTCTCTTCATCTTTTAGCCATTTCTGTACAAACGTGTGACTTCTGGATGAATGATGTGCTGCCAGAGCACAGAAAAGAGCTTTCAATGACATCTTGACCAGAATTGAGATGCAGGTCTGAATATTATTCCAAACAGCTTTCCCAAAAATATTTGTCAGAGGGTGCCTGCAAACAGTGTACTTCTGCTATATTAGAGCTATATGAGAAGCAATAACTTTTCATGACCACCTTCATCTCTACTTCTAGGTTTTACTGGCTGTGCGTTAGCAAGGCTGTGATTTTAGTACTGAGGAAGGCAAACTGGTATTTGAATTAAAAATGACAGCCGTACCAGTGTACAGTAATCACACCATGACAGAGACTTTTCCTGTTTTCCTGAGACATTCATATCAGCAGAGCCTTCTGCAGCTGGCAATAACACTTTCCCAGCTTTTGACCATTCAAATACTTCACGTTCTCAATTTAAATCACTATTTCCCTCTCCAGTTCACATTTCAGAAGCTAGAAAGAGCTTCAGATTCTTCCTGAGAGGCATCGTGGTTCATGAACCGGAGTTTAAGAAATTACCTGCCAACTGTTTTCCGCTGAAACTCCTCTCTGAACACGGATTATGTATTCCTAGTGAAAGAAAAAAGTGGTTAGGAACAAGAACTAATGAGCTGAACAACGTTATTAGATACGGCTCCAAGTGTGACCACATCCCAGTTAGGAAACGCTCAGAAGCAGAAAATCCAGATCCAGATTTTAAGCTTCAAGGTGAAGACCCATGGCCAGCTGCCCCCACTCTGCTATGCAGAGGTCCAAGAGCTTGCAGAATGAAGCACTCAACACTGTCCCTCAGTTAGGGAAAGAGCTCTCTCAACAATGAGAAATCCAGCCTCTGGTCCTGAACAATTACTGTCTCAACCACCACAGGACCCACCGCCACCCCATCAGCTGCCCAACTTCTCATCAGTTCAGTGTGAAAAAGGTCACCACAACAGTACGCATAACTCCAACGCACCAGTTTCTCAAGATGGCAATCCTTCATTTCTAGGGCAAACTTAATGCTACCTATTTATACATTAAATATGCAGATACAGCCGACCTCCTTCAGATTTTAATGACTGATCATCCTTCCACCTCAATTACATTCATAAAGCACAACTCTCTGCGGTGTGTGAGCGCCCTGCCAGCCCCGCCTGCAGCACACACACCTCACATCCTGAACCGTTTGCTATTCAGGTTCCACGACTTCTCTCACCCCTCTACTAACTTTCAAACATTCTTCATGCGAGAGCTGAGTGATCTTCCAACTTCAGTGCTGCAGAAACAGAAAGGCCAGAGCAGAGCATCATGCCCTACAGTCTCTTCAGATATTAAAATCAATGATGCATTCCAAATTACCATGAGTAAGCAATGAAGAAATAAGGAAAAAAATAAAGGCACTTCCATCACCTTGAGTTTTTATGGCCAAGTTGTCTAATATGTAACAATAACTGCATCTACACATCTGGCCTCTACCTGCATACTGAACACATCATTCATTCGAGAGCTTGATCCAGGCAGTGTTACACATTTAGTTTGCAGTTAACAATTCAAGATGGGCATTTATGAGTAACCTCTTTCAGATACAATGAAAGGTCTTCTGGTTTTAGGAACTGCCTCTGAGACCACACAGAACTAATTCTTCTAAGTGAAACCAAGGTAAAGGCTTGAGGACTGAAGAACAAAAATGTACCAGAGAATCCCGTCTATCAGCCTCAACTAATCCAGGATTTATTTACTGGGCTTTTCTTCCAAAGCACAGTGCTGCTCAGGCAAGAATGCTATTTATTTCATTTTCTCAAACTCATTTAAAATCCCCTTTATCAGCAACAGCTATCAAATATCCGCTGCAATTTTGAACCACACATCCTGAGAACAAATTCAAGACCAGGAAGCGTGAAAACCAAAGCCACGTAAAATGCTCAGTATTCCAGCAGCTGAGATGGAAGTGACAGAAATGGAGGTGGGCACTCAGTGCCCTGGAGGTGTCTGAGAACCATGGAGATGTGGCACTGAGGGATGCAGCCATGGGCACGGTGGGGCTGGGCTGGAACTAAATGATCCCAGATGTCTTCTCCAACTTTGATGAGTCTATGAAATCCAAGATGTCACAAATCAAAGCGTGTAACTTTGATACTAGAATTATAGTGCCCATATTCAGCAAGTCACACTTATGTGCTCCCCATATTCTCTCCTATTACCCATTTGACATTACCATCATTTTCCTGCAAAACAGGAAGCACAAACCTTCATAAGTGGTAACAAAATCCCAGAGGCAATTCCACCTCAACCAGCAGAATCACGTTTGGAAATTCTGTGACATGTGGACATGTGGAAATGGACACGTGGAAACCAGGATCCACAACTAAAGTTAACTTTCCCTGACTTTCCCTATTTTGTGGCTGTTACTGCATTTTGGGAAGTAGGAAGAGATTGTTTCACTCGCTGCCAAAAAATGCAGCAACTGCTTATTCAGCAAGTCTCGAAGGAACATTGGCTATTTCTCCCCACATCAGGGATGATTCACCACGCTCAGTCATTCATCTCTTCTAGTATTTTGAAAGCAGCAGAATCATTGCCCAATCCCTCGTTACCCAGCAATTAACCTTCCCTGCTGTACTCCACGAGGCACTCAGGACAGCAGAGCACACCATTCATTAACTGACTGTCAGAGCATCCTGCACACACCGCTGCTCTGATCAATACCACAGCCATCTCTGCTGCACAGCACGGTGATAAACAGCTCTCATTTCCTTCCCTGCACTCAGATCTCATTTTCACAGGAAGACTGTATTACAAAAACATGATGGGGACACAGCTATTTTTTCCACAGTGTTCTCCCATCCAGTTCTGCTTGGGTGCCCTCAAGCATTAATGGAGCACCTCGTTTATGCTGTAAAACAAGAGAGCATCGCTGTGTAGAAGCGGCTGTTAGCTCTGTGCTGAGAAAGCAGGTCCCAGCACGCTCCTCCATCAGTGCTGAAGGCAATGAAGAACTGGCACTCAGCACCACTTGGCCAATGCAACCAATGACAACACCTGAATGATCTTCTGTCTTGTTTGCCACAGCTGACGTGACCAACAGTCCAAGAAGAGCTACGGTAGAGAAGCCATAATAAGCAAGACAGCCCCACTGCCAGCACTGCCCCAGTCACACGTGCCCAGCAGAGCATGGCATGCCGAGTTCTACAGTAGTTGCCTCAGTGCAGTGATGAGCTTGTTGTGGGATCCCAACCAGCACCGTGTCCATAGGACCAAAAAACAGCTTCCAGCTCTGCAAGGAAAATGCCTCAGCACACAAAAGGTGTCAAATTCTGCCCAGAAAAAATAGTGATTTCCAACAATTTTAGACTGAGTCAGTCTGATGTCAGCAGGACAGAGACTGTGCCCACAGGAAAAAATGCAAGTGTAGCAAGACAGGCACACTGTTTGGCTGCATCATATAGGATAGACAAACCCGATAGACCAGGTTTTGGAGAAGGCTACCAACTAACTAAGCTCAGTCCTGCTGAACATGCTGGGTATTTAAAGCCAGGCTCATCAAGGCCTAATTTAGCTGCACTTTCCCTCGAGTCACGCAGAAATTCCCACGATGTCTTCACTCCTACATGAACAGCTCAACATTTTTTCCAGGACTCAGTTTACCAAGGGACTTCACAAAGATTGCCAGTTGGCACAGACAGGCCCTGGCTCTTGGAACAACCCCACACAACAGCATGACACGTGGGTCCAACACAGACCCTCTCCTCTAACCCCAACCCCGGATCCCATGCAGTCAGGTCTGAATGTCCACTGCTTTGCTCAGCACTGCTGAGCCAGTTCCTGCCACCAGTTCAGTCTGCCAGCAGTTCAATACACATATTTACACACACGCTTAAAGATGCCAAGCAAAGCACTTTTACCTATAGGATCATTTCCTGCTGCTCTGCTAGACAAGAGGAAAACAGTGCAGGGAGAAGGGAAGGCCGTGTGACCCCAACATGTCAAAATGTTTAACGCTGTTGTTTATCATCTTTCCTAGTTCATAAACAGAAAGCAAATGGAAGAGAAGGCTTTTGCAGAGATGAAATCAGAAAAAAACAAATAGAGCAATGTTCATATCATTATCATATCATTAAAAGTTCATATCATTAAAAGTAGAACCTCCCTGGCCAATACTGGGTAATGTGGTCTGTTTTCCCACGAAAATCATCTCCAAATTTCTGGCTCAGGACAGTCAGCCTATTTCACAGATTTCTGCTCTACATCTTGTAATCCAACAGGCTTGAAAAGCCAACCACTACAGGGATCCAGATCACCTTCAGATCACATCAACTGCAAGTTTGAAAGAGCTTTATTTTGTGAGCATTAAAGAGAGGAAAGCCTAATGAAGCATGAACGCAATCCCTGCGTAAGTAGGCTGCACTGAAACTATTTCTAATAAGAAGATCTTTTAAATGTTTACTTAGAAAATCCCCCATGTGAAAAGCAGCAACCAAATGAGGCAAACTGCTCAGCTCAGCACTCCCTGCGGGCAGAGTCCTCCTTCCCCACAGCACTCACTGCTCCCAGCCCCTCTGATGCTGCAGCAGCGATGCTTACCTGCACTGCACGTGTCTGGGGATGTCACACAGTTCCACGGTGGCTGTGTGGCTTTGTGGCAGCGTGAGCTGCTCAACAAGGACAGCAATGAAGTAGGACGACTACGGGAAAAATAGGACACGCGTTTACACATCATGAAATGTACTGAGCAAGGAAAGCTCTGGGGAGCAACAAGAGAAACAAGGGCATCCAATGTGCTGCACTGCCACGGCCTTTGTCAGAAAGGGAAATGCATTGTACTGCTTGGGAAAGACTCAGCACTCAACAAAGGTTACACTGCAGGATCTCTAAGGAGGCAATATTCTGCCTGCAGCCCATGCAGATGCCATTCTCACTCAGCACGTTCACTACTGGAAACCATAAGGTGGGAATACTCTAAACAATCTGTGATGAAACCACTCTCATTTCTCAACAAGAGGTCAACCTCACCACATGCTATGGGGGATCTGTGTGTCCAGACATCCAGTGAGTGAGCTCTAAGAGCTCCCTGCCCAAAGCCATCTCTAAAGGTAATCTGAGGAAATCATTTTTCAAATTGAAGGCAAACATGTAGAGATTGAACTCCTCGTAAAGCAGATGGGCAAAGCCCTCTGCAAGCTTTTATACTAATGCTGGAGTTCCAGAAAGAGAGAGCACCATTGTTTGCTGCATGGAAAAAAAAAAATAGGAAATAATACAGGAAAAACATAAATGCTTTCTGAACCATCAACAGTCACCTTCACTTGTGGAGAATGAAAATTTCTGGGAGTGTGTTACAAGAGGGATTCATTTCAGCTCTTCGCTTCCAAGTGCTGTTCAGACAGCAATGGACTGGAGCAAAATTGGCTGTCTGGCTACTTCAACCTCAATTTGAAAAGGAATGAAAAAGGAAAATTGCTTTGGAGAAGAATGAAGGGGTGTTCAGAAGTAGTGGTTTTGCTACTTTTAAGTGCTCTGAAACGTGTATGTACAGATGTGTCATACATCTAAGCGATTATGGAAGCATGCAGCTACCAAAACTTACAGAGAAAGCCACCTTTAGATGGGGAGCACACAGAACTGCAACATGAAGCAATTTCAGTAGCGAAAATGTGTAAAAGCATTGGTGCTGGAAGTGCCTCCCTGTTGTCAGCACGCATTTGGCATCAGGTGGAGACACCTGCAAATGGTTTCACACAGCGGATGTCATCTCACTCCCACTGAAGCCAAGGAGCGCTGCGGCGACAGAACAACTTCATTTCCTGCATAATGGCTGGACGTGGCCCTGCCAGCAGCACGAACCCAGCCTGCAGCAGGTGCCCTGCAGCCACTCGTGTCTCAGTGCCACTCAGTAACATAGAAAATGAGTTGTTTCCACCTTCAACTACCCGTGGAGGAAACACAGAACGACAAACGCCGCTGATGATGTCCTTGTTGCCACACAGAAGCACGGAGGCTACAGCCCAGCTCAGATGTACCAACACGAGGAAGAACTTCCAGCTCTTTTCACTTGGAAAAGAACAGAGAGCTCGTGAGCAAACCACAGCATTCTGCAGCTGCTTTCCTCAAGTTCTAAAAACAACCGAGGGGGTTGCCATGCTCTTACTGAGCAGAAAGTACAAACCCTCGAAAGAACATTCCAGCTCCAAGCTCTGTCCCTGCTGCTTTCTGGACAGTTCAGGTACAATGCAGTCGTTTCAGGTTTTGCTTTCAGTTTTATTTTTCAGCTTCATCTTCATCCCCAGGAAAGAGAAACTCAGTGCCTGCCAGGCACAGCCCTTGACTCAATGCCATTCAGTTTATATTCACTCACTCTGCTGTATCAAACCTAAACCAACAGAAGCTGCTCAGAACAATAGAGAAGCGAGCTATTCAATTGACACAAACCTTCTGCTGGGTGTTTCATGTGTCATGGAGCCCTTCCTGAAATTCCCCACCTTTTCCTCCACTGGTTGCTCAGAACACAAGTTATTTTCTACACCTGGCAGATGGAGGCTTAGTTTTACAGATGTTTTTAGGAGGGATAAAGAACAGAATAGACTTACACCTTGTTAGGAAATCACTTGAAGGTGGGGGACAAAACCAAAGAGTTAATGCAACTTACTTACTTCCAACTATAACATAACAAACTGTAACAGTCCTGATGTACCACAGAAACATTTCTACTATACCCCACCTGCTAGATATTTCTTAGAGAGGATTCATTTATGCACCTCTTCAAGCACAAGGATCTGTTGATGGGATTATTTATACTAGGCAAGGCCAAACAAGAGATAGCATTACCAGCAATAATCACTCAGGTCCTGGGGATACAAGCTGAAGTGTCCAAAGTGACAAAACACTCAACTGACATCAGACATGAACACAAGGCTCCGTTACAGCTTCCTGAATTTGGTTATCCTGCACTGCTGTTCTACAAACCATCTGTGCTACAGACACTTCAAATCATCTTTCAACTATCAACAGGGCTTCTGCAGTAAAACAAACAATTACTAATAGATGTATCTTAGAGACAGACTTTAAATCAAAAGGCGCAGTGCTTCAGCGTTCTGTTATTAACAAAAGATCAGAACAAATCAGTTGAGGTTTCTGAACATCCATTAGCAACAGAGTACAGAGATGGAAGGTGAGGGGTTGACATTTACCATCAACCTCACCCAGCCAAGGCAACAAGCACACACTCTGGATTGAAAGCCTGCTCCTGAATATTCATTCTAAAAGGATTTTGTGGTGTTGTTTTCTTTTCCTAATCAGACTTACACAAGCCAAAGGAACACAACAAGCTGCTACCATCACTTGCACTTGCAGAGAAGTACAACAAGCCACAATAAAGATGAGTTAACAGTGAAACAGATCTGGGCTGCTAATAGGCAACGCTAGAAGTGACACAACTTCTGCAGCTCCTACTGCAGACACCCCACAGCCACCAGAACAGACAGAAGCACGAGGCCTGCTGGAATATAAACCTGGTCAGCCTCATGTATAGCAGGAGATGCAAGAGGGGGATGCCACGGCCTGCCAGGTTCACCTCATCTGCAAGAGAAGACTTTGAATAGAGGAAGACTAAGAGCATCAGTTAACGCGAGCTCTTCACGTATAAGAAGAGTAACACACAGCATAACGCTGCTGAAGCACGGACCGCTTGGCTCAGCCCGCCCCGTGCACAGCGCGCTGCAAGCCGGCCTGCTGCTACCGCAGGGCCCAACATCGCTGCTCCCACACGGCCAGGAGCGGCAGCCGGCTCGCTCTGCTTCTCTGCCACACGCCGCTCGCTCACCCCCTAACAGCGCAGTTCTCAAGGCGGAAAACAACCACGGGCAGGAGATAATGAGGGCTGTCGGTGCGCGCTCACGAAGGCGGCCTGCAGGCAGCCGGGCCGGCCGTGAGACGCCGCTCCGGGCAGCTCTGCCAGCACCGCCTGCACGGGGAGCGCGACGGCACCGCGCCGACATCCGACAGGGCGCGACCCATCGCGGCGCAACTTCGCCTCGGCTGCCGAAACGAGGCGGCGGGACCCATTGCCGCTCCTAAAAGCCGTCACGGATCACGAGAAAAGCAGAGAGCGCGGGCGGTGCGAGGCCTCCCTGCGGGCGTACGAAGGTCGGGGCACAGCCGAGCCCCAGCAGCGGCCGCGCCGGGTCACAGCGCGGGCAGAGCCCGCCGGCAGGCAGGAGCCGCGCAGAGCCGCGCCGAGCCGCCGGCACGCGGGGCCGGGCGGAGGCGGCACGGCGCTGCTGCGGCCCTCCGCGCCCCACCTCGCAGCACCTCGGCGGGACACCGCGCCGCACCCCGCCCCGCCGCAGCCGGACCCCGCCGCTCCCCCCCGCCCCGCGCCCCCCCGGCGCCCCACCGCACCCCCGGGTCCCCACCGCGCCCCCCCTCCCGGCGCCGCGCCGCGGCTCTGCGCGGCTCCTGCC